ATGAGACATATGCAGATATGAAGGTAGTCTATATTAATGTATGAAAAAAACCAGATATTATAGCAGCTGTATTGTCAGAATATGACGTTGGTTGTTGTTGTTTGTTGTTTAACGCCGCACTCATCAATATTCCAGTTATATGACGGCGGTCTGTAAATAATCGAGGTTGGACCAGACAATCCAGTGATTGATATGAGCAAATTGGGATACGATGACCATCTACCAAGTCAACCTGACCACCCGATCCAGAGTTATTTTTGTACAATAACCCTATGTCAACGTCGTGACAAAGAACAAAAAAAGTAGCTATCCATAAAAAGTGTAATGTATTCAGGCATTGAATACTTCCTAAAATTGTATACTATTTGACTTAAATTACGGTACTCGATATTGTCAAATTCCATGTTCGTCTGAGAACGTGATGTAGTGATATTATTGGTCATAAAATTGACAGACATATTTCAAACATTTCAGTGTGCCTTTGCGGTTTATATTTGGAGTCTGCACTTCACTTCTTCTTAGCTTGTCCTATTTATCGTAACAATAGAAGCACAATGTACTACTCGGGGTACATGGGGTTTTATGCAACCTCACGAGGGACGCATTAAAGGGCAAGTTCACACGGAAATGAACCTAATTTTCTTGTACTTTTTCCACAATAAAAGTGTTAACCTAGAAGTGTCATAGACAAAAATATAAAAATATCACAATTAATTAACATATGTTTTGCATTAAAACGATTTATATTTTTCACATTTACCAAGTGTTCTATTTCCATAACAAAAACACCATGGCTTATGCCCCTTGCAATATGACGTCATTGGTGCCAATTGATAAACATTATGACGTCATCATGCTTTGTTAGAGCCGCTTCACGTGGTGTAGGTCTAGGTGTGTGATTCTAGCGTCTCAGATGCCAGCCAGCATAGTGTAATGCTGAGTCACCACTGCGCCGGAGTGTGTCGTAGGCCATGTTGTTTTACCGAAAACTGGTACTTGATATCTTTTGCGTTCAGAATAGACAGGGACCCAGTTGAACTGGCACCAAATACGTCATAATCTAAGGGGGATAACTCAGGCCTGTTTAGCTCGAAAAACGAAGGCCTCATAACGGCATATCATTTTCACACAATTGTGAGCTTCCTACTTTCACTGTGAAAAAAATGAGTGTATATTTTCAAACACAGATACTAACTAATTCTAAAATTGCGTTTTGTTTAGAAAAAGTAAGAAAGTGATTTTTGCGTGTACACTTCCCCTTTAAACCCCATGTACCCCGAGTGATCCTGCTACAACGAATGTATCTTACCCACATGTTTTAATGGCATTGTAAAAGAATAAAAACAAATTCAAAATTGATAGAAAACAGCTGTTCGACTGAGCTGAGGTCAACTTCTGCTATGCCACGTGACTCCATTGACTCTGAAAAAACGTGCGGCTTTTTGCTTTGAAGCGGGGAAGTAGGGATTTATTGTCTCTCAGAAATTCACGTGCAGCCTGTACTGCTCGTGGCGGGGTATAAGAGATTTATCCTCCCGCTAAAAACATTATTACCTGCCAAGACGGGTTACAAAGTATTTTATCAAGATCACGTGGACTAACCAGATCTCACCATTCTGACATGGCGGTATGATAAAGGGTTTTGATCTTGTATGGTTACAGCAATGTAACGAGTGACGTCATTCACAACATACTTATGTATATGTCCATGATTTCTTAGAAGTATGTGAGTTGAGTTTAACGCCGCTTTTAACAGTATTACAGTTATATCGCGGCGTGTCAGCTTGATATGGACAGAAAGCCCGAAGTGGTGCATGTCTCAGACGTTTACCACTTCGGTGAAACCCACAAGCTCGGGTATGGTGCTGACAAACCTAGAAACATAATCGGGGCGAACAGGGATTCGAACCGACAGATTTCATAGAAAATAGATTTTTACATTGGGTATTAATATATATTAAGCTATGACTAGTCGTGGTAACATGAGCGGTCTTCTTACTATATAATTTGTATTGTTTCTTGACCTTAAATGTCTACACAAATGTAATAATGTAACAAGAAGCGGTATTTAGAAAAGCTAGTTTGGCCAAATCTCTTTCAAGTAAAGTTAAGTAAGATATGTTTAAACTACCTATTAAACCTGCATTAAACGTGACTTAAGTCTTTGAAAGCCATTTAGAAGTGATACACATAAAGAAGAGAATTTATTGATGTCAACTTCTTTATTATGAGGAACACAACGTTTCGGAGTATATACTTACTTACAGGGGCGCTCTGGTAGCCTAGTGGTTAAAGCGTTTGCTCGTCATGCGTTCGATTCCCGACATGGGTACAATATGTGAAGTCCATTTCTGGTGTCCCCCGACGTGATATTGCTGGAATATTGCTAAAGGCGGCGCAAAATCATACTCACTCACCTTATAAGTGACTTATTCATGAAATTTATCCTCATTCTTCCATTATTCAAGAAACTTGTGGGCATTTTTACTTACCTATTAGAGTTCTTATGTTTGTTACCGACTTGGACACTGCTTTAACGCAAGATTCCACTGATGTGGTCCAGCTCAGTCCCGGTCAGGGAGATGTTTATACATATTGATGGGTTTTTCACTCTGGCAGTATCCGATACGTTAATAGCTGAATATTAATGGTCAGGACCTGTCCGCGTGTCACGTTACTTTCCATGTATGTATGGTAACGAAGTTGACCGTACTTTGTATATACAAAATCGTTGACTGCGGTCTACAGTGAGTGAGTTAGGTTTTACGCCACTTCGAACAGTATTTCGGTTAAATCATGGCATGTCCGCTAATTGTAGGACAGTCCCGGTGCCACCAGTGACCACAGTGTGGTGCTGACAGGCCAATGGTGATAACCGAAGGGGACCCGTGAAGTTCGAATTTGTCGTCACCAACCCATGCTTGTCGTAATAGGCGACTAACGGGATCGGTTGGTCAGGCTCGCTGACTTGGTTGTTGCTTGTCATCGTATCCCAATTTCGTAGGTCGATTCTCATGACGCCAATCACAGGATTGTGTGTCCCATTCTCGATTATGTACAGACCGCCGTCGTATAGCTGGAATGTTGCTGAGTGCGGCGTTAAACAACAAACATACAAACAAACACATACGCAGTCGACAAATGCATGCATAGAATGAAGAATAGTGCGTCGTCTCGCGCTGAGGGTGTATGTTGAAGTTGAATAAATTCAGACGAAAGAATAAAATTGTTCCTTTTTAAAAAAAATAAAAGTTTTTTTGTAATATTTGTATTTTTACATTAGATTACATTGTCCTTCCTGAGATGAACACATAAGCAGTCGACAAATGAATGCATATAGGTAGGATATTGGCAATGAATAATGAAAGACATATTCAAATATTCGCAGATACGCAAGAGCAAATCAGTTTCATCATAATTAATATCGCAACAGCTATATGACGGCGATCTGTAAATAATCGCGTCTTGACCAGACAATCCAGTGATACCATCATGAGCAAGGGATACGATGACTTGCATCACCCAAGTCAGCGAGTCTGACCGCCCGATCCTGTAAGTCGCCTTTTACGACAAGCAGTCGCCCTTTACGACAAGCACGGGTTGCTGAAGACATTTTCTAATAGCCAACTATAAAGTGAGGGGCAGGTTGTTACAATGTAACACGATTGTGTGTACCCCGACTCGTGCTCTTAATCCCTGCGTTGCCCCGCCCAGTCTTCAGTATTGACGGGCTTCCGTTGTGTACGTGTATGTAGCTTGAGCATAACTGACTGGTGCGGCGTAAAACAACATTAATTTACAAGCCTATTTACTGCGCTGAAATGTCAAGAAGTCTTTCTATTTGCTACGAAATAAAATTGATTCACATACGATACTTTATTTGCGAATAGCTACAAATCATATCCTTATATCAATTTAGAGATAACAATAGTCATCTTAAGATATCTAAGAGCATTTTCTGTGATATTAATAAATACTTAACATTCATTGATATCGAGAGTTTTATGTTATCACTAAAGGTATTACTTTTCTACAAATAAATGTGTTACTAACGGGGTCGGGTGGTCAGGTTCGCTGACGATTGATGCATGTCTTCGTATCCCAATAGCGTAGGTCGATTCTCATGATGTCAATCACAGGATTGTGTTGTCCATTCTCGATTATTTACAGACGACCGTCATATAGCTGGAATGTTGCTGAGTGCGGCGTTAAACAAACATACAAACAAACGCATAAGCAGTCGACAAATGCATGCATAGAATGAAGAATTGTGCGTCGTCTCGCGCTGAGGGTGCATGTTGAAGTTGAATAAATTCAGAAAGAATAAAATTGTTCCTTTTTAAAAAAAATAAAAGTTTTTTGTAATATTTGTATTTTTACATTAGATTACATTGTCCTTCCTGAGATGTGAATGTCATACAATCTCTATACCTTGTGTCACAAAGCGTTACCAGCTGGTTTCAATACTAATGTAAAATAATTATATAATCTTATTCCACAGGAACTCGTTATTGGTCAATAAATAAAAATATATACCCTCTCTACTTACATATAGGGGGTATATATTTTTATTTATTGACCAATAACGAGTTCCTGTGTCTTATTCACACGAATACCCCTTTGGCCGGAACTTGGCATCAATACTCCGATAAACTCAAATTACTTTTGCATTGTAATCGTGTTGACGGTTTATCAAAAAACATTTTTGTCACAGATGTATTTTCTTTTTGTAAAGTACTGTAAAAGTAATAGTGTCTGGTTATATCACAAATGCATACCTTATTTGTGATTATATTATAAGAGCAAAACTGGAAGTTCAATCAAAAATGACTGAGGAAATACTTGTGGAAGTCAAACATGTTATCTGATATTTGTTGGGGTTTTTTCAGGAACCTCGTGCCACGCATGTCGCGCTTATACATTAGCACGTGAACAGCTTGGGGAAAATTTCCAAGGGAGACTACTCTAAATGCTCTTTACACCGGAAATGAGATAATTTTCCATCGGCCATCCTGGCAAGGTTTAGGAAGATCACCAAGAGGAAGACGACTATAATTTTCGCAGGTGCAAGTGAATCCAGAGCTAAAGATGTCTGAGACGGCTGAGGGTGAACCCCAGTCGGTCCAGTCAGTGGCAGACATATCAACATTTGTCGCCTACATACGACGCGTCGTGCCTGTTTTGCTCGAGGATGATGACCCAGATCTCCGCTCGCTCCAGAAAGCGGTGCAAGACAAGAATAACATTGAGATTGTCAAGAAGTTCCTCAGCGATGTCCAAACACCAGCATTGTTGGTGCAGAGAGTCGCAATTAAAGGTATGGCCGTTTGCTTGTTTAGAACGCCGCTCCAGGATGCCTCCCCTCGACCACGAAATGACGATGACTCATTATGATAATTTATGGATTTGCTCTTGTCTGGTGACATTTGCCCACACTACATGGCTGCATAATCAATACGACCTGTTGAATTAGTGCGCATTTTATACATTTAGAGTCCAAATTTACAACGCCGGTACTCGACCCCCCTTACCTGACCCCTCCCCTACCTGCTGTAGGTCTTTAAAGAGTTATGCACCTTACATTAACGTATAAAACGGTCAGATCATGCTTACAATGAAGTCGACTAAAGTTATATCTCTCTTCAAACGTATAAAATTCAGAAAGAATTGCAGACATAAGCAACTTTTATTGTTATTGTAATTTAACAATATATTACATGACTAACCACGGGTTCGGGTAATCCTACTCAGGACCGACCCAAATACTGTCTTCGACATAATAAGCACCCATGGCAATATTTGCTTATATAATGAAGAATATATTGATATAGTGAACAATCCCAATTAGCACCCCTTCCGACTGATCAATGTACACAAGACTTATTTAAAAAATAATGCACCCTTAATTATGGGCAATTAAATTCTGGAAAAATACATCGGTTGTATATAAACATGTCAGGCTGTCAGCATAAACCACAAAATTTATCTTTGAACTCTGTTTTTGCAGAACTGGATGTGCATGAGTACAAGTATGTACACTATAAGCCTAATGCACTCATATATCACATTTAATTACCAGCATGTGTGACAGATCACATGATTGCCTGATGATACAATATTACAATCCTATCAGGCCATTTGAGTTCCCTGCTATCATATCTAATTTTCTTCATCAGATAAGTGCCAGGTAGTATCAACCTGGATACCTATTACAAGATAATAATCAGGACTATGCATGAAGTTTGAAACATTCAGTGTTATCATTTGCCCATGTTCATTGCACAATATCAATGTGTCTAAATTCCCGGGGCGGTCGGGTAGCATAGTGGTTTAAGTGTTCACTCATTACGCCGAAGACACAGGTTCGATTCCCAACATGGGTACTATGTGTGATGCCCATTTCGGGTGTCCCCCGCTGTGATATTGCTGGAATATTGCTAAAAGCGGCATAAAACCATACTCACTCACTCTAAATTCTGGTATTATCTGAGCGAGAGCAAGGGATATACCGGAATTTAGGCACGAGTGTTGTAAACATAGTGTGACATGAACACAAATATAATGTTCTATTTATTACGGAAGAAGATGTCCACATACAAAAAGAAATTTTAATGTTTACCTATAAGGACAGCAAGTCGCAACAGCAGCAGAACCACAATTTGTCAAATGACCTCAACAATCTTCAGCTATAACGTCGTTTCTAGTGTGATGTCATTCCGACATCACGTCACAATAAGATTCGAATGACGTCAACAATGCCATCCGGATGATGGAAACAATACACTGTCGTCTCGTGACGTGATATGACCCTAGAGCACATGATTATTATGAACCCTGATTTATTTGCCCTCGTAGGTAATATAATAAAGTATTTCTGCACGATAAGTTTCCCTGTTTAGTTTGGTAGAATTGTACCATAAACCTAAACTAATGTAACATAGAGAATGAACATGGTTTCATTATTTTATAAATATTTAATTTAGGGTTGGGTAACTGCATTGGAAGATGTGACCAAATGTAAAGTCACATGTCTGGTTGCAAGTCAGCGTTAGAAATTGGCCCTAGTCCTGTAGTCCTTGCCAAGCAGCCCAATAGTTAAGGTATCCTAAGGACTAGTAGACATTTGCCATTTTTAAGGGTTTTGCTATATGTTATCATTGTAAGGACTAGTGGACTACAAGTGTTAGTTTCTATCATTGCAAGTCAGAAAGCTCATAATGGATCATTGATGTGATACTAGATAACAATATGCTATTAATATGCAGCTCTTTTCACCAGTTAAAAGCCACTGCCCAGATATGATATTGCACAACAGTTCACATTTCACCAGTCTAATTTTACATTTTGATTAATATCTTGGTTGGTTTTTTTTCATTCCAAGAGTACACATATGGAACATTTATTAATCCCAAAGTTTCTGCTTTTAACTTTCACCCTAAACACTGAATCCAGAATGACGGCCATTTGTGTTGGAGAAAATCTATAAAATATCATTCTGGGCCCATCTTCCTGAGGCAAGGGAGTTAACTGACCTTAAAAGTCCAGTTTCCACCCTTGTCAAACAAGTGGCTATTACGAGTTATGTCCCTTCTATGTCTCTGTTGACCAATCAGATTCCATTTCTCATATCACCTGCATTTGCTTCAAACAAAATGATGGTGCCCAGTCAACTCATTAGTGGTGTAACGATACGGCAATACAGTATTGTATCCCGATGCACAGCCCACGATACGATGCATCGATTTGGAAAGCATGTATCGCGATACATACGATATTTTCATAACACAGTTTTACTTACGTATTTTCTTGAGTATAGTGCGCACTTTTTTTCACAAAAAAACAGCTGCGTAGAAGGGGGTGCGCATTATACACGAATTAATGAGTTTTGATGTTTTTTCCCCCATGGAAAGACATTACCCTGAGCACGTAACACCAGAAATACCATGTCAACAAATCCATACTGAAGTTCGCAAATTATTCAGGTAATTACACTGTCTGGCTAGAAAAAGTGTTCTTTGTATATTTGGACTTATGTTTGTAACTTATTTCATTAATTTTATTCCAAATTCCTTTTAATATTGTTTTAATTAATTTCGGCGAAATCGTGTCTGAAGCGATCGGAAGATCGCACAACTCACCGTTATTAACAGCAACCACGGTCAGGTTACCGCTATTGACGCCTTGAAACAAACTCTTGTTGACAGAGAATGGATACATATATCATAAATGCCATACTTTGATTCGTTAAAAGCCATATTTGTTTTTGTTGGACGATTCTATGTCAACAAGAAAATCTCGCGATCACGTGCACGGGAGCCTTGACGGTGACTGGTCAGACTGGTTCCATGTTAAAAATAATACCCGGCAATAGCGATCAGCTGCTTCGCTTAGGGTTATTATTATTTTAAATATGTTTAGTAAAAGCTGCATCTAAATTAACAAGATATTGGAATATGTTATTGCTGATAAAAAAATAGTTTCAGATACAACTTTTGCCGATCCTTGCATTAAAATCCTGTTAAGTTATATCATTTGGTGTGTCTTGACGGAATCACCGGTAGATTCCAAGAAAACGTGTGTACAGCTGGTTGCTGTGTCCGGCTTAGTTTACGAGAAAATACACAAGGTAATCTTAATCCCTGGATATAAAACAATGCCGAGCTGAACAAAAAATACAATTTAAACGGTGTAATCAACATGCCTGGTGATTTTTTATCTCAAATTTCGAATTTGTACTGACGAAGTCTCTCATCACCCGTTCGTTTGCCAGACTTCGCTGAAGGGGTACGGTGTATTTTTTTTCTGCGCATAATATTCAAATTTCTTTTCCAAAATATTGAACCCGCTAGAGGAGGGTGCGCACTATACTCAAGAAAATACGGTACTTTTAAACATGAAATACGTTGAACAGTTTCAAAGCCAGTTTGTTGTTTCAGTAAAACATACTGTATTGCTGACAAGATGCTATAACAGTAAATAAACACCTTATATATTCTCCAACTGTACTTGTCACATCTTTTAGAGAGCAGAAAGACATCAACTTGGCTTAGCTTGTACCAGTAAACACTGTATCGTGATACGTATCGTATCGCGACCCCTGTATCGTGATACGTATCGTATCGCGACCCTCCCGTATCGTTACACCTCTACAACTCATTGGGATCAATATTCAAGATCTATTTTGTAATAGACCCATAAAGATTCCGGGGTAGAATAGGTCTTCAGCAACCCATGCTTGCCGTAAAAGGTGACTATGCTTGTCGTACAAGGCAACTAACGGGATCGGGTGGTCAGGCTCGCTGACTTGGTTGATACATGTCATAAATCCCAATTGCGTGGATCGATGCTCATGATATCAATCACTGGATTGTCTGGTCCAGACATGATTATTTACAGACTGCTGTCATATAGCTGTAATATTGCTGAGTGCGGCGTTAAACAACAAAACCAACCAACAATTTTGTAATAAAACGGGCCTTACCGCACAAAGTGCATCAAATAACTTGAGCACCTTCATTAAAAACATGAAAGGCTTTGCAAAATATCTGTTGATGCCTAGTTGACAGTACACCTGCTTTACAAATCCTGCAGTCAACTGAAATCTGCTAATTGAAATCCATGTTGTTTACGAACCTGATGTCTAGTTCGTTATGTAATTTTAATTGGACTATGCATAGACTCGTTAATCCAGCCAAAATGTAACTCCGGAATTCCAGCCGAGTACAGCAAGGGTGGAAACTAGTCTTTAATAGTCCGTTAATCCTGCATAAAGCTGTGTGAGTGTGATCTATTTTTTACTTATCCTGCATTACTCTTTAATGCATATTACTGCTTGTTCTTGACAGAAAAGATCTGTTTGAAGATCTTGCTTGAAGATAAGAAAACATTATGCACAAGTTATTAACATATAGAAAGTACAAGATACAAACCGAGTGCACAGCACAAGCACAAGAAACATCAACTCAAGAAGCAAAACACGTGAGTTTTATGAGCAGATAAGAAAAACAGGTCTTCACTCAGCAAGTGACAAGAGTAAAGTGATGATCCGTGACATCACTTACCCTGGAAACGTGGGAGCTGTGTGATAGGGTTGGCCTCTCAGCTAGTTGAAACAACTTCTTCAAGCAAGATCTTCACACAGCTCTTTTCTGTCAAGAACAAGCAGTAATATGCATTAAGGTTTAATGCAGAATAAGTATACAAATATAAAAACTATCTAGAATTTTTCTAGTGCTTACACGTGTGTGTTTCTTGCCCTTGCAGAGGAAGAGGTGCCAGAAGGAGGAGGGGAAGGGGAGGGCGAGAGCAATGCATCCTACATCATCACCAATGATGTTCGCTTCAGCAGCTCCAAGATGAGCAGGTAAAATGCCAATATTAAAATGATTAACACATGTAACAAGCCAAGGCTGTATCCCAAAGGGGAGTATGGATAAGAATTGGTCCCCGGCAACCTTGCTCGTGGATGTAAGAGGCAACCAAATGGATTGGGTGGTCAGGCTCTGTGACTTGGTTGGTGGCATGTCATTGTACCCTCAGTGTGGGTCATTCACACTATCAATCACTGGTTTGTCTGGTCCAGGCTTGATTATATACAGGCCAATGTTAAGGCTAGAATATTGCTGAGTGTGGCATTAATAAAGATACAAACAATATATCATCATGATCATGTATAATGTTACCATGTGCAGCACTAGCTGTTGACCCATATCCAGTCAACAACTATTTTAGGTGTCATGGTAAAATTGTAGCAGATCAGCTGTCAGTTTTCCCAATTAATCTGATGATAACTTTAACAAATTGTCCCCCAAAAGGAAGGTGTTACCTGTAGCCTACATCAATTTAATTTAATCAGTAAATTAATATAAGATCAAAGTGAATTGATCAACAGGGTTTTTTAAATTTTGATGACAAAAATCATAAAATGACCCATATCCTTAGATTCTAACACTGTTAGCAATGGGTAGTATCATGAATATTTTTATGTCATTATTTTAATTTTTATAACAACTGTTGCATGTGATGCTTTTGTTTTTGTCAGTGTGGTGATGCTGAAGCGTGGTCCAGTGGTGGAAGGAGACAAGGGATTCCCATCTCAACTACGCCTGATGAACTTCAGCGAGGGTTCCCCTTACGAGACCCTTCATGCTTATGTGGCCAATGCCGTGGGGCCATACTTCAAGTCCTACATCAAAGAGACTGGAAAAGCTGAAAGGTAATATCTTTAGAAGATATTTTCTGATTTTGCTAACTTTACAATTATTAAGAATCTGTTGCTTGTAGCAGTGGGGTAGCCCAGTGGTAAAAGTGTTCGCTCACGCTGAAGGCCCAGGTTCGATTTCCCACATGGATTCAGTGTGTGAAGCCCATTTCTGGTGCCCCCTGCTGTGATATTGCTGGTATATTGCTAAGAGCGGTGTAAAACCATACTCATTCAATCACTCACTAGTTCCAATTTGAAGCAAAATGGAAGCAATTAGAACTGGTTCAGAATTATAGCCCACAAATGCTCAATGAGGACTGCCATTATTGGATTTTTACATGTCCTCATCACAATTAAGTAGTCTAGTGGACTGATGATCTGATTGAAATACAGTTGAGATGGGTATTATCTATCTTAATGTGATTTCGCTCCAGGGATGGTGACAAGATGGCTCCCACCGTGGAGAAGAAGATCGCAGAGCTGGAGATGGGATTGCTTCATCTGCAGCAGAACATCGACATCCCCGAGATTACACTGCCTGTCAACCCCACTGTGTCTGGCATCATCAAGAAGTGCAGTGACGAGAGCCGCAAGGCCAAGGTGGAAGACTTTGGGGACAAGGTGGAAGATGCTCAGTTCCTCAACAGTCTCCAGAGTGGTGTCAACAGATGGATCCGAGAGATTCAGAAGGTAGGCGGCCAGTATTGAAACATTCATGGCATGGTGCATTATCCACTTGTAAAGATTTACATTTCCTACCACCAACTCATTTCTCAGAGGTTTTATCCAACTTCAGGTATCTTGAATATGCCATGACAGATTAACTGTAGTGAGGCTAAAAAAAAAAATAATAGTCTTGGATCTCATCATAAAGTTCGCCGCCCGTTTTGTGATTATATTCATTTTTTTTAAAAACCAAAAAAATCCTTAAATAGTCCAACGGTAGTCCAATACTGTATTCCATTATTTACTCATCAAGGAATACATTTATGTTGAGAGGCCCTTTCCCAGGTTGATTGTACACAACTGTTTATTTGTTACATACTAGTTTGAACAACTCCCTCTACCACCACCACCACCACCACCACCATCACACCACCACACTACCACCACACTACCACCACACTACCACCACCCAACCCCCACCCAACCCAACCCAACCCAACCCAACCCAACCCAACCCCACCCCACCCCACCCCACCCCACCACCACCTGAAAAAAATGAACACTGCCCGCCTGCACTATGTTTTCAAGAACCAATTCTTTTATATAATTTTAAGTCTAATATGAAAGGATCAGGTGTTCCCTAACTCTTTTTTAGTAGTATATTACTGCTCCATTCACTTTCATTGATGGCCTTGATTTAATGTTTAGGTGACCAAGCTAGATCGTGACCCTGCCTCAGGAACTGCGCTGCAGGAAATCAGTTTCTGGCTGAACCTGGAGAGGGCACTGCTGAGGATTCAGGAGAAGCGCGAGAGTCTTGAGGTGGTGCTCACACTTGAGATCCTCAAGCATGGCAAGAGATTTCATGCCACAGTCAGCTTCGACTCAGACACTGGTATGTTGTGGCCATTTCATACTGTTCCTTTTTCACAAAATGTTGAGAAATTCCAGTTATTTTCCTACATTGTCAATGATGACTGAATGCAAATTATCATGAAACCTGTGAAGCAGTGTACAAGGATATCCTTTGATATGATAAAGTCTTGTATCAGACAAGACTCCTGGGAAGTTGAGCTCGCTCGCATTATTACCTTGATCATCGACACGCATGCACATGAAGATCCAGGTTAGAATTTGTTTTCAGCAAATCCAGGCTTGTTGTAAGAGGCAACTACTGGGATCGGGTGGTCAGACGTGCTGACTTGGTTGATGCATGTCATTGTACCCCAATTGCATAGATCAGAGTTCATGATGTCAATGGCTATTTGTAGACCGCCGTCATATAGCTGGACTATTGCTGAGTGTGGCGTTAATCAACAAACATAATTTTATCAAGATAACATATATCGGCTAATACTGTGGTTGACACCCTCGAACCATCATGTAGTTGGAATATTGCTGAGTGCGACTTTAAACAAACAAACACATAAGCGGTTGACAAATGCATGCATAGAATGAAGAAATATGCGTCATCTCGTGCTGAGGGTATAAGTTGAAGTTGAATAAATTCAGACGAAAGAATAAAACAACTGCTTCCTTTTTAAAAAATTTAAAAATCTTTTGTAATATTTGTATGATCGCCCTGTTGGAAACCCGGGCAGAATAAACAAGCAAACAAACTTTCTGTGCAGGTCTGAAGCAGGCAATGGCCACAGTCAATGACTACAACCAGCTGATGAAGGATTTCCCTATCAATGACCTTCTGTCAGCCACAGAGCTGGACCGGATTAGAACAGCTCTGCAGGGCATATTCCTCCATCTGAGAAAGATCCGACCTACCAAGTACCCCATCCAGAGAGCTCTGAGGCTAGTGGAGGCCATCTCCAGGGATCTCAGCTCACAGCTGCTCAAGGTCAGACTAATTTACCGAGATGTTTTCAGAATTACACGTGAGCAATGCGTTTGTTCACTGGTCCCAATTGTTTAGTTCAGTATATTTAATTCTGCAGTGTCATTATTCAGATTTATGTGTTGTAGTTTTCTGTGAAAATATTATTTTGTTTTAATCAAGTTTCTTATCTTAGGTTCTCGGAACAAGGAGACTGATGCATATTCCGTATGACGAGTTTGAGAAGGTAAGAATTTTTTTCAGATACATAGCTTCCGTTACATATAGCTTCAACCTGTTTTTAAATGATTAAGTTTAAATGGGTGCAGGATAATTTCTGAATAACATCATCAAAATTAATAAATTCAAGATTAACAGATCATGGGTATGGAGCTATGGCCTTTTGTATATAAGTGGACTGATGGAACAAATTACGTTGTACATTGAGTTCAAGAGTAGTAGGGGGCGGTCGGGTAGCTCAGTCGAAGACCCGGGTTCGATTCCCGACATGGGTACAATGTGTGAAGCCCATTTCTGGTGTCACCCGCCGTGATATTGCTGGAATATTGCTAAAAGTGGCGTAAAACCATACTCACTCACTCACTCAAGAGTAGTAAGAGCTTACTTAGATTAGCATCTGAATGAAAATAGTATCTAGGAATTCTTTACAACTTCTGGGAGACTGGTGGTTCATATATATTTAGTGTTGCATCCCTTGGGCACACAAAAAACTACGATTGTGGGTTTGAATCTCAGTCCGCCCAAACTATGTTTCTGGGTTTGTCAGCACCATGCCCATGCTCAGGGGTTGCACTAAAGTGGTAAACAGCTGAGACCTGCATCACCTTGGCCTCTCCTCCCACATCAAGCATTACAATTTACACGAAACTCACTCACTCACTTTACCACTTCTGGGGGCACGGGGGCGCCGTGATTTGCTGTGCAGAGTTGCGTCCCTTGGGCACGCCAGAAACCTATGATTGTGGGTTCGAATCCCGGGTTCACCCCGATTATGTTAACGTTTCTATGTTTGTCAGCATACCCATACCCGTGGTAAACGTCTGAGACCTGCAGCACTTCGGGCTTTAATCCCACATTAAGCTGACACGCTGTGATATAACTGGAACACTGTTAAAAGCGGCGTTAAACCCAACTCACTCACTCACTTTACCACTTCTGGAATGTGGTTTATGATTATTATGTCTGCAATGTGCAGGTGCTGAGTGCATGTTTCGATGTGTTTGGAACGTGGGATGATGAGTATGACAAGCTGCAGGGGATGTTGCGAGACCTGGTGAAGAAGAAGAGAGAGGAGCACCTGAGGATGGTGTGGCGAGTCAACCCAGCTCACAAGAGACTGCAGGCCAGACTGGATCATATGAGAAAGTGAGGATAATGTTAATGTCGTCAGCAGTTGTTAGCAGGGAAACAGACAGGAATAACATTTTATAATATTTTTGCATAACTTATTTAGATGAGGCAACAAGAAGGTCTGATTTTGTTTTTCCCGCTTGCATGTCGGGTCATTCTTCTAATGGAGGTAAATGGCAAGGTCAGGAAACTCGAGTATAGTTCAGATTTTTGTGACATGTTCCTAATTGTCACTCTTTGAGTTTCCATGCTTTACTGGGACACTTTGAAAATGTTTGAAAATGAAATATTTGACTTTTTGTAATATTTAAGAAAATAGGCCACAAGAATCAAATTAAATTCTGGATATTTAGGCTTGATGTCAACGTACAAGTTCGGTCCCATTCGATGTGAGCACAAGAACACATTGTTATTGATTTTGAGTTTGGGGCACAGGTGGCTCAGTCGCTGTGCAGAGTCCCTTGGGCACGACAGAAACCTATGATTGTGGGTTCGAATCCCAGTTCGCCCTGATTGTTTCTAGGTTTGTCAGCACCATACCCGTGCTCGTGGGATTCACCGAAGTGGTAAACGTCTGAGACCTGCATCGCTTCGGGCTTCCCTCCCACATTAAGCTGAAACGCTGCGATATAACTGGAATATTGTTGAAAGCGGCGTTAAAACCAACTCACTCACTCACTCACTGATTTTGAGTTAAAGTTGATTGTGTTTTCATTTAGTTTCAGTATCTATTAACATGATTAAGAGGTATAAAGCTACTTTTATTTGAGTTTGATGAAATCAATAAATATTTCAAATTCTGATCCATAAGATCATAAATAGTATATTATTCAATGATACAACATTTTTAAGAATTAGCATTCGATGTGAAAGTGTGTCTATCATGAAAATACAAAAAGATGACAGGCATGTTCTCAAGAAACAAATGATCAAGTAAGTATTTGCCTGCCATGTTAGATTCCGACGCCAGCACGAGCAGCTTCGTCAGGTGATCATGCGAGTACTTCGACCTTCAACTGCCAAGGGCCGAGCCGGAACCCCGATGGCTGAGGAGCCTGAACCAAAGGCTGAGCCAGTGGTAGATGAGGCTGCTGATGCTAATGCTATTGAGGTAAGATACAGCTATAGGAAAGCTGGGGGTGGTCGGGTAGCCTAGTGGTTAAAGCGTTCGCTCGTTACGCCGAAGACCCGGGTTCGATTCCCGACATGGGTACAATGTGTGAAGCCCATTTCTGGTGTCCCCCGCCGTGATATTGCTGGAATATTGCTAAAAGCGGCGTAAAACCAAACTCACTCACTCACTATAGGAAAGCTAACAGTGACCTAAGGTCGGGTAACTGCATGACCAGCTATGGTCTTGGTATAAATTTTCACTTTCCTGTTTTATTTTCAAGATGCAGTTTATGCAGGATGTTTTAAACTACGACATGTACAAGAAACTTGAATTTGTTTTGTTTCTCCTGAACAACATGAATATACTACTCAAAAGAAGTTAAAGAACGCCAGACTCCTTCATATAACTATGGTTAATCTGTCATCTCTCCAGAGGGGCGGTCGGGTAGCCTAGTGGTTAAAGCGTTCGCCCGTCACGCCAAAGACTTGGGTTGGAATCCCAACCTGGGTACAGTATGTGAAGCCCATTTCTGGTGTTCCCCGCCTTGATATTGCTGGAATATTGCTAAAAGCGGCATAAAACCATATTTGCTCATCTCTACAGAATGGGATGTTCTATAGCTTCTTTTGAGTAGTATATAAGGCTTATGGATTATATTTTAAATATTTTCCACTTGGAAAAGTTGAGATTTGGAATAATACACTGAGCTGATTAACATGATCAAAGTGCTGAAACCGTCTGTTTATATCTAGTTACACCCCTTGTAATACGTGTATGCCTCCTGTTTTCCTCCATCAGGAAGTTAACCTTGCGTACGAGAATGTGAAGGAAGTTGATGTCCTGGAGGTGACCAAGGAGGGCACGGATGCCTGGGAGGCCGCCATCAAGAGGTGAGGGTACTGGGAGCACCTTGCTTTCTGGTAGACATGTTAGTAGTCCACGAGAGCTTTTCATTACTAGCAACATCATGACATGTCAAACCTCTCAATAAGAATTGTTTTGCCATTTTGTCTCCACATTGTTATCTGGTGCATTCGACAATATCATGTCCGAATCTTGGGTTTGGAGTTATAACGTTTGGAACATTTGACTGTTAAAGGCAATACTTCTAATGAAAACACTTTGGATATTTTTGGATGGAAAACATCCTCAATACCTCTTGCTTGTGGTGATATGTAAAGATAGTAGTACAAGGGTTGATACTGAGAAGCATGTCCTGGGAAATAGGCCACCCTCATATTTAAGGCACTGGATTGTTATGTCTGGGGCCCACTCAGTTCTCCACTCGGGGTCCATGTGTGAAGCCTATGTGTTCCCCACTTGGGGTCCATGTGTGAAGCCTCTGTTCCCCACTTGGGGTCCATGTGTGAAGCCTGTGTGTTCCCCACTTGGGGTCTGTGTGTGAAGCCTGTGTGTTCCCCACTTGGGGTCCATGTGTGAAGCCTCTGTGCCCCACTTGGGGTCCATGTGTGAAGCCTGTGTGTTTCCCACTTGGGGTCCATGGGTGAAGCCTCTGTCCCCCACTTGGGGTCCATGGGTGAAGCCTGTGTGTTCCCCGATCGGGGGTTTATGGGTGAAGCCTCTGTTCTCCACTCGGGGTCCATGTGTGAAGCCTGTGTGGTCCCCACTTGGGGTCCATTTGTGAAGCCTGTGTGGTCCCGACTTGGGGTCCATGGGTGAAGCCTGTGTGGTCCCCACTTGGGGTCCATGGGTGAAGCCTCTGTTCCCCACTTGGGGTCCATGTGTGAAGCCCGTGTGTACCCCGATCGGGGGTTTATGGGTGAAGCCTCTGTTCCCCACTTGGGGTCCATGGGTGAAGCCTCTGTTCCCCACTTGGGGTCCATGGGTGAAGCCTGTGTGGTCCCCACTTGGGGTCCATGTGTGAAGCTGCACTGCAGATTTTGTTGTAATATTGAGGACTGAAGCATAAACGTCACTCACCTGCTTTAGGTCATGAAATACAATTTGAGAGAATACAAAACTGATGTTTTGTTATGCTTTTTAATGAACAGGTACGATGAGAGAATTGACCGTGTTGAAACAAGGATCACAGCTCGTCTGAGGGATCAACTGGGTACTGCTAGAAATGCCAATGAGATGTTCCGCATCTTCTCCCGCTTCAATGCCCTGTTTGTGAGGCCTCACATCCGAGGTGCCATCAGAGAGTACCAGACACAGCTGATTCAGAGAGTGAAAGATGACATTGAATCCCTTCACGAGAAGTTCAAGGTTGGTGTATTGCTGTATAGCATTACTATTCACTAATTATCTCTGGGAGAGGTTGACCATTGTGACGTCATCTCTAGGTGTAAGACCTGTGAAGATTCTGGGATAGAATAGGTCTTCAGCAACCCATGCTTGCCGTAAAAGGTGACTATGCTTGTTGTAAAAGGCGACTAACAGGATCGGGTGGTCAGGCTCGCTGACTTGGTTGATGCATGTCATCGATCCCAATTTTGGGATTGATGCTCATGATATTAATCACTGGATTGTCTGGTCCAGACTCAAATATTTACAGACAGCTGTCATATAGCTGGAATATTGCTAAGTGCGGCGTTAAACAACAAACAAACAAACAAACTCTAGGTGTAAAGTTACTGATGTGTGAAATAGCAGAAATTCCTAATCTTTTTAGAAGTTAAAAGATTGTATGAAAAGAAACTGAGTTTACGTTGACATCATTTCTAATATTTCAGGTCCAGTATGGCCAGAGCAAGGCTTGCAGAATGAGCAAAGTAAGGGATCTGCCCCCAGTGTCTGGATCTATCATCTGGGCCAGACAGGTAAGTGCTTCATCTCTTTCTAGGCTTGTCTAGTGGATAGAGTCTGGAGAGCCAACATCGGTGGTTCGATCCCTGGCTGTGTCATACCAAAAGACATTAAATGGTAGTAGATGTTGTTACCCTGTCTGGCATTCGGCATTAAGGGGCTAAAACAAGGACTGGTCGGCTCGGAGTCAGTATATTGTGTCAGTGTGGGGTATTCATGTTAAACTGCGGCATGGTATCTCGGTTGTTTAGCAGTATAAAATTGGCTTAAGACCAGACTAGTACAAGCAGCTACATGTGCACACAAGTCCATGCACATCGCTTTATAAGTGAAATAATCTTGAACGGGATGTTAAACGTTATTTCACTTCTCCTTTCTAGGCATGAGTTTGTTGGCAAAAATATATGCATTCTTGTTTTTTAATACATCTCAGTGGGCTAGCACTATTAAATGGGTGTTAGTCCGAACTAGAGCACACAGCACACACCAAACACCACGCACCACACACCACACACCACACACACACACACACACACCACACACACCAAACACACACACACCACACACCACACACCACACACACACACACACACACACACACACACACACACACACACACACCACACACCACACACCACACACCACACATACATCGCTATATAAGTGAAGTAATCTTGAACGGGATATTTCACCTCTCCTTTCTAACAATGGCTGAGTACCCGCAAATGACATCCATAGAATATTACCTGAGTGAAGAAATTAAAAAATTGGATGGAAAACCAGACTATACCAAACTTTTTTCCCTTCCTATTTTTTTATTCCTTGTGTTGTTCAAGCAGGGTTTGGATGTCACTACTTTCAGATTGAGCGACAGCTGAATGCCTACATGCGTCGTGTTGAGGATGTGCTTGGGAAAGGCTGGGAGAGCCATGTTGAGGGTCAGAAGCTCAAGAGTGATGGAGACAGCTTCAGGCAGAAACTCAGCACGCAGGACGTCTTTGACGAGTGGACCAGGAAGGTGGGTACATCTGAGGATCTGTGCCCCTGGTAATGTTGTGGAACCTATCACCTCCCAGTTGTTTCCTTTATTCTTATGCCGCCGTGAATATCCGGGGTAGAATAGGTCTTCAGCAACAAATGGTTGCTGTAAAAGGTGACCATGCTTGTCGTAAGAGGTGACTAACGGGATCAGGTGGTCAGGCTCGCTGACTTGGTTGATGCATGTCATCGATCCCAATTGCGTTGATCGATGCTCATGATATTCATCACTGGATTGTCTGGTCCAGTTATTTTACAGACCGCCGTCATGTAGCTGTAATATTGCTGAGTGCGGCGTTAAACAACAAACCAAGCAACCAATTTTGTTCTTATGATATACCAGGCCAATTTCCACTTTGACAAGATCATTTTGGTCGAAGTCAAAACCCCTGCAGCTTGTAAACAAATCTTTGAAATTTGGAGTATATTTCTATTTGGCATAGTATAAAGCTCATCTTGTAATCATATGTAACACTTGGTGACCAGTCGTATGTTAATTATCTGCTTTGGCAACTGCATCAGATGAAGATGGAGTGAAAGACATGTCTCTTTTGGTTTAAGATGTTTAAATTGGACTCGCTTTGATATGTTTGGTTGAAATGCTTCAGAACATATTTTGAAGATTTACATATGTAGAAAATTGGCTTGTTTCACTAGTGTGTAGTTGTATAGTGTGAGAAGCTAAGGTTAAACAACCCCCTTTTTTATGTATAATGTTCTAATGTACTTATGGCTTGGCATTTTTGTTTTCCAACAGGTTCAAAACCGACAACTGAATGTGACCGGGCGAGTGTTTGGCATTCTCAGCACCAGACTGGCTGTCAAGGGTAATGTCCTGAGACTGACTGTCAACTTCCAGCCTGAGATCATACAGCTATCCAAGGAGGTATGCTTATGCCTCCGAAAATTCCTTTCAGTAGTTTTGAAACAATTGGTTTTCTTCTGTTTGTTTGTCTTACAAGTGTATAAGTGGTATGGGATTGTTTCCAAATCAAATGTGCGTAAGTGGTATATTTCATTTACATATGAAATATGATGAAATATTTAGAAGATAAATACTATGTGTGTGTCTATTTCCGGGATTTTCATTCGAGCCCCTCAAGCTAACGCTTTCGGGTCTCGAGATGAATTTCCAAGATGCAAATACTCGATAAAATCCCGGAAATAGACACACACACAAAGTATTTATCGATATTGTAAACCTATTGTTATCGATATTGTAAACCTATTGCTTGCTTCAGGGAATGCAAATCATATTTTCACCCTTTGACATTTGGTCATGTGACCCAAATTAGCCAATCACAACACAGAACACACTTTCTATAGGTTTCCAATTTGTTTTCTAGGTGCGTAATCTTCGTTGGCTTGGATTCCGGGTGCCTCTAGCCATCGTGAACAAAGCTCACCAGGCCAACCAACTCTACCCCTTTGCCATTTCCCTCATCGAGAGTGTCAGGACGTATGAGAGGACACTGGACAAGGTAATATATTACTCATACCTAACCCAGGAATTAATAAATTATACTTAAAACTAAATGTTTAAATAGGCATTCATCTCAAGTGAGATTTTCTATCTGTAGCAGTACATTGTTTGCATGTGATCTGATCAAGCATGTGTTCGAAGTGGGGGAATATATCTCCCTTCATATCATCGGCTGCTATTTCAGCAAGTACTTGATTTTCACAGATTGAGATCAAGCCATCCATTACACTGTTGGTAGCCGGGCTGAGGAAGGAGGTGCAGAACTTGATTGCTGAGGTGAGTTGGAGTTAGCAGAATATTGGAACACTGATCCATTGACAGTGGTGATAACAATGCAGCGCCTATAGCATACATTGTGTTTGGAGTTATGTATTTTACAGATTATCATCATCATCATCATCATTATACTCATTATTATTATTATAGGGGGCGGTCGGGTAGCCTAGTTGTTAAAGCGTGCGCTCATCACGCCGAAGACCTGGGTTCGATTCCCGACATGGGTACAATGTGTGAAGCCTATTTAAGGTGTCCCCTGCCGTGATATTGCTGGAATATTGCTAAAAGCGGCATTAAACCATACTCACTCACTCATTATTATTATCACTATTATATGTAAACTGAATTGATATAATGTTTTGACTGATTTGTTTAAAACAAGCTGTTTTATAGTAGAACGTGTTGATTGATATTGTCAGCTATTTAGATAAGCACTTTAGATAAGCAACTGGTGTTGAAATTTGTGATGTATAAAGTATTGTACTCAAACAAGCAGAGATGAAGTAATATATATCATGTAGCATGTATCCAGCTTGAGGGACATTCATACAGATGTTTGACATAGAAGTTTATCACTGCTGAGCATATTGTGCAGTTATTGTGGTAATTCTGACAAGTGCATTTGTTACCCAGGGTTGCAGCCTGGTGTGGGAGTCGTACAAGTTGGACCCGTATGTACAGAGGCTTGCCGACATCGTCTTCAACTTCCAGGAGAAGGTGGGTACAAGTAGCATTGTAATCATGTATTTGTAAGGTTGATGTCCGGTGACTGGTTGTATGTGGGGTAATTACTGGAGCTCCACATGATGCTGTTACAGTGATCGCTCGCTATTGCGCTCTTCGATAAAGCGCTACTTCGGTTATTACGCACGGTAACGCATGGCTCCCAAAATTTATGTACACTTTTAATACTGAGAGTTTTACACAGACATGATTGTATTGTTGTTCGTTGTTTATTTGCACATAACGCTTCTCATTGCATAATCAACGGTTTATCGCTGAATGGAGTTCTAATAATCTGTTTGAAAACATCCGCGGCAGGTCCCGGAAATACGATTGTTCTACTAGTTAACTTTTCACACTATACATCCTTTGATCTTAGAAGCGCATGCATGCAATAAAAGAGAACCACAAGTGAAGTTTATATTCTTAATTAGTGGGCAATCCAATTTAAGGCTCAACTGTCACACACATGTAGTTGCTGTCACAACAAGGCGGTCATTCATTTCGTAATTGCGCTTTCGTAACATCGCCTGTTTTTTCCCCGTAGTTATAACAAGCGATTTCATTGGATTAAAATTTGTTTCTAATGACGCTTTCTTGCCGAAATCTGCTACAAGTTTCGTGATTGGTCAATTTTGAGCACGTGACCTCAGGCAGCCAATCAAGCTGTGATACAAAGCTCGTGTTTGATAAATTTCAGAAGTTAGCGAAAGATTTTTTGTTAAATCGTGTTATTCTGAACGTTTTAAGCAGGAAATCACGATATATATTAAAAATATGGAACTTCGCGAATGTATCGTGCTAGGTTACGAGCTGTGACAAAGATTTTTCATGCATATATTTTTGCATTAAACGTTGTGTCCGAGCCGAGGAATTCAAGGCGACGAAAGCCGAGATGTCATTTGACTTACATTACACGCGATCGCACGAAACGATGGAAATAATAACTTAGATGTAAGTTTGATTACTTTTAGATATATTTTTGTTGATTTTATTTATCACTTTGTATAATATATTTAAAGATTTGCTTAAAATAGTCTTTATTTTGCTCTTTGACATGTTCGATGCGGACCCGTTGTCGAAATGTGTGTCCGAGAATTTTATTTTCAATAACATCGCGGGAAATAGTGAATAATTTTTTAATTTATTGATAAAAAATGATAAATTAGAATGGAATACGTATTTCAGACATTGTGAAATATAAAAATATATACTATTTTGACGTGACGTGAGATAAACACATAGGCCTATTGATGATTTGAGATTTGCCGAGCGCGCTCCCCCGCCTCGGCCTCGGTTAAACGGCTCATCGTCTATAACGCCCACCAATTATTTGGACCCCATTGGTAGCGCAATAGCGAGCGATCACTGTACTTTGAAACTCCTACAGCTATGAAGCCAGAACTTTGTGAGCAGGAAAAGGTTTCTTTTTTTTGTGACTAAATAAAGTGAAATATATGATCTACATTTTGTGTCCTGTATGTAAACCATGTCTGTCCAGGTATATAACCTGTGTTCTGTATGTAAACCATGTCTGTCCAGGTGTATCCCCTGTCCCCTGTATGTAAACCCTGTCTGTCCAGGTGTATCACCTGTATATGTAAACCCTGTCTGTCCAGGTGTATCACCTGTGTCCTGTATGTAAACCCTCTCTGTCCAGGTGTATCACCTGTGTCCTGTATGTAAACCCTGTCTGTCAAGGTATATCACCTGTATATGTAAACCCTGTTTGTCCAGGTGTATCACCTGTATGTAAACCCTGTCTGTCCAGGTGTATCACCTGTGTCCTGTATGTAAACCCTGTCTGTCCAGGTATATCACCTGTATATGTAAACCCTGTTTGTCCAGGTGTATCACCTGTGTCCTGTATGTAAACCCTGTCTGTCCAGGTGTATCACCTGTATATGTAAACCCTGTCTGTCCAGGTGTATCAATTGTGTCCTGTATGTAAACCCTGTCTGTCCAGGTGTATCACCTGTATATGTAAACCCTGTCTGTCCAGGTGGATGACCTGTGTCCTGTATGTAAACCCTGTCTGTCCAGGTGTATCACCTGTATATGTAAACCCTGTCTGTCCAGGTGGATGACCTGTGTTCTGTATGTAAACCCTGTCTGTCCAGGTGTATCACCTGTACATGTAAACCCTGTCTGTCCAGGTGTATCACCTGTATATGTAAACCCTGTCTGTCCAGGTGTATCACCTGTATATGTAAACCCTGTCTGTCCAGGTGTATCACCTGTATGTAAACCCTGTCTGTCCAGGTGGATGACCTCCTGGCTATGGAGGAGGAGATTGAGCTGGAGGTGAAGGGGCTGGAGACGTGCAACTACAACGCCAACACATTCCGCGAGATCCTGAACCGCATCCAGAAGGCTGTGGACAACCTGAGTCTGCACTCCTACTCCAACCTGCCACAGTGGGTGGCCAAGATGGACGAGGAGGTGAGTCGGCCTACAGGGCTCTCATGTTGTAATGTAGTAACATGTGTTTAGTGAATTCATGTTCTTTAAATATTCAAATACTAATCAGATACAACCAACGGATGGTTAATTAGCCTACAAACACAGTAAAACACATTCCCACTCCAGGGTTCACTCTAGGAATTTTCTGACATGGCCCCTTTATGTGAAAATTTCAAATATTCCAGAGGTACGCCCACACTTGCCCATACAGCACAATGTTAAAATACCCCATTGTATTTGAAAATGTGAGCTTTTTTTTTTCAAATTTAGGGGCTAAAAGCACAAGGCCCCACCCAAAGAATTATCCCTGGAACTCACTTGGTGTCCATTTCATGCCATCTTAAAGTTTTGTGAAGGCAAATTTGATTTCTAGTCCGTCATTTCATCATCGTGTTCATAGCCCACAAAGGAACATGTACCCTTGGGACACCTCAGCTGCCCCAAATGAGGAATCCTGCACACTTATGAATATAACCATGATGTAAATGTTAATTGGTCTCTGATGTATGATGGCATATTTATGAGAGGGGGCGGTCGGGTAGCCTAGTGGTTAAAGTGTTCGCTCGTCAAGCCGAAGACCCGGTTCGATACCCGACATGGGTACACTGTGTGAAGCCCATTTCTGGTGTCCCCATCGTGATATTGCTGGAATATTGCTAAATGTGGCATAAAACCATACTCACTCACTCACTCACTCACTATGAGAATAGTTCAACCATCACAGATTGAAAAAAATCAATTCAACCATCACAACATTAATTCCTTTGTTGAAAGCTCTGATCATATTTAGTTCAATCAGTCCTTGGGTAATAATGCCTGTCTATGGTTGCCATCAGGTTGAGAACAAGTTGGCTGGGCGTCTGGAGGCTGGCCTGATGGCCTGGACCCAGTGCCTGCTGGAGGACACGAAGGAGGATGATGCTGTGGACCACTCCATGGACACCGACGAGCCGAAACAGCCGGCCCACAAGTCTGGCGGAGAACCCAACATCAAGGTCAGTAGGTCCTAGGCCCACAAGTCGGGGGGAGAACCCAACATCATGGTCAGTAGGTCCTAGGCCCACAAGTCGGGGGGGAGAACCCAACATCAAGGTCAGTAGGTCCTAGGCCCACAAGTCGGGGGGAGAACCCAACATCATGGTCAGTAGGTCCTGAGCCTACTAGTCGGGGGGAGAACCCAACATCATGGTCAGTAGGTCCTAGGCCCACAAGTCGGGGGGAGAACCCAACATCATGGTCAGTAGGTCCTGAGCCTACTAGTCGGGGGGAGAACCCAACATCATGGTCAGTAGGTCCTGAGCCTACTAGTCGGGGGGAGAACCCAACATCATGGTCAGTAGGTCCTAGGCCCACAAGTCGGGGGGGGGGGACCCAACATCATGGTCAGTAGGTCCTGAGCCTACTAGTCGGGGGGAGAACCCAACATCATGGTCAGTAGGTCCTGAGCCTACTAGTCGTGGGGGAGAACCCAACATCAAGGTCAGTAGGTCCTGAGCCTACTAGTCGGGCGGAGAACCCAACATCATGGTCAGTAGGTCCTAGGCCCACAAGTCAGGGGGAGAACCCAACATCATGGTCAGTAGGTCCTAGGCCTACAAGTCGTGGGGAGAACCCAACATCATGAGAACCTACAATCCTGACAGCTGTCCTGTCTTTGTCTTGTCAGGAGATCCTATAATCCTGTCTCCGTTGTCCTGTCAGTTGATCTTGTCTTCATATTTCACGTTCATATTTCAGTAGTGTTAGTATCTGGTTGGTATTGGTCTGTTCTGCACCATTGTGCAATAACCTTGTACGCGACTTGTAAGCCGTTTTCAACTCACCAGGAGGTTTCAACTTTCGGATTGCGGGACAGAACGGGTCCCTAGATTGTCTCAACAACTGATTAACTCAAGATCAGGAGACACAATGTGTGACTTGGCCTATGGTGCATCTCACATATGAGGATGGGTATTATGCAGTCTACTTTTGGCGTGCCTGGTCCTGAGTTGATTAGTTATAGTCCACTGATATTGCTGACTCAAGTGTAGTTGATTAGTTATAGTCCACTGCCATTGCTGACTCAAGTGTAGTTGATTAGTTATAGTCCACTGATATTGCTGACTCAAGTGTAGTTGATTAGTTATAGTCCACTGCCATTGCTGACTCAAGTGTAGTTGATTAGTTATAGTCCACTGATATTGCTGACTCAAGTGTAGTTGATTAGTTATAGTCCACTGCTATTGCTGACTCAAGTGTAGTTGATTAGTTATAGTCCACTGATATTGCTGACTCAAGTGTACAACAACATGCATTCACATGGGATGCGTACTCTAGATTGATTTCCTCAAAACATTTGTATGGAAGACAATTGTTCATTTACTTTTCCACTCCCTTCAGCGACTAGTCCATGAGCTGAGGATCACCAACCAACTGATCTACGTCAGCCCGCCAATTGAAGATGCCCGCTTCAACATCATGCAAGAGCTGTTTGGCTGGGAGGCGGTTGTGACAAGCCTGCCTCGTCTGCAACACTCCAGATACCAGGTGAGGCCACTAGCTGTGTGAATAACACTTTATGTGGCTATTTTAGTCAGTTAATAAATAGTTGGTTATAGTAACATCAGTACGAGGAAATTATGAGACTTTATGTACATATTAATATTTGTGGACCAAATGTTGCTTGCAAAATTTGCAAGTCTAATAATGTGTGTCCAGTGCTTGGAATTCACTTGCCAAATTTACAATGATCACGTAGCGTAATTAAGCCTTGGCCCTTGAAAGCAAATGTTCTTCCTTGAAAAGTGCTTAAATTTAGAGTCAACAGATCTGTATGAACCCTTCAAAGGGATGCCCTTATTGTATGTCTGTGTGTAATGACACTGTATGAACTTGCTGCAGGTGGGTCTGGGAGTTGAGTCAGACGCCGACTCCACGTACAGGAACGTGCTGACCAAGCTGCCTGGTGGCTCCCTCATCCTAGAGGAGGCCTACTCCGCCATCAGTAAGGTCGTGCAGGACTTCCAAGGATATGTCAATGTGAGTCCATGGTTACCGTGCATCCTCTACCTCTAACATAATACCCTCTGGCAGACTTGGGGGAAGAATATGGTTCCCAGGGATTTATCTGGGATTCCAAACTATGTGCTTGGCAGGCAAATTGGGAAAATATTGTGGTATTGTTCAAAATTCGATGTTTTTAACGTTATTTTTTGTAAATTGGGGAATTGGGGAGTGTTTTATTTCACATTGGGAATTTTGACTGACACTTGCTGCAGACTTGGGCAGATATCTGAGCAGATCTAGATAAATTCCTGGGCCCCAGTATGAAATGCTTGCTGAAAGAGTTGACATATAAGGATCAGAGGGTCATGAGGGATCTACACTGCACTGATTCTGCACTGATGTCGTAGATGTTGCTGAACCTATCAAAGGGGGCATGGGTGGCCCAGTCGTCTAAGGCACCGCAATTCGCTGTGCAGAGTTGCGTCCCTTGGGCACGCCAGAAACCTATGATCGTGGGTTCAAATCCCGGTTAGCCCCAATTATGTTTCTAGGTTTGTCAGCACCATACCCGTGCTCTTGGGTTTCACCGAAGTGGTAAACTTCCGAGACCTGCATCACTTCGGGCTTTCCTCCCACATTAAGCTGACACGCCGCAATATAACTGGAATAATGTTAAAAGCGCCGTTAAACCCAACTCACTCACTCATTCTATCAACCATTGTTCTACCTGGCCTAATCTTGATTATTTCCAGGTTGCCATGATGTCTGGAATGTTCTTAAATTAACATTCACTAATGCAACAATGAGCTACAAACCATTTGTTCTTGTGTGGAGACACTAAACATATTAAAAGCAATGTCTCTGTCAACCTTATGTCTGTTTGTGTAAGAATTTCATCACTACTGCACATCAACTGATATTGTTGTCCTGGTTACAGGTGTGGCTGAGGTACCAGTCCCTCTGGGATCTCAACCCGGATGTCCTGTACGGTCGTCTTGGAAACAACCTCAAACTGTGGATGTCCACACTGGAGGAAATCAAGTACGTATTTGATAAGTTCAAAGTCAATAGTCTGTCTTGTATGTGGCATATACTTACGATGTATAGGACGCATCTCTAAATCTGTGACAAATATGAGTATTGACATTTGCGTTACAGATCCTCTCGCAAGACCTTTGACACATCTGAGACTGCCAAGGAAATTGGACCCATTGTTGTTCAATTCGGCAAGGTAAGATTCAAGCATAAAATCATGCTCTCAGTTTGTTAAATCTGATCGTGAGAAATGTAAACACATCATGCTTTAGTCAGTAGAGAATTGCACACTGAACTCTAATGGAGACAGAAAATACCTTATACCCAGAACTAGACTTGTTTTTTTATACATCAGATTAAACCCCGAAAAAAACAAAGGGATTCAAATAAGATGTGCAGAATTCAGAGAATATGATGGGTTATGAATCATTTTATATCTAAATCTTTGTTGCTGGCAATAATATCACCAGGATAATATAATGTTCAACTCAAATCTGACCCACATAGAAAGTTTGACACCGATTCATTCGGTGTACATAGTTGAGTTTTGGCATGATTCTGCATCACAGGAACTAGTACCTGTTCCACTCACGTGCATTAATAGCTTTCATGAGTGCCATTGTAGAACAGTAAAAGCTAGAAATTGTGCAGAATGAACACCTTTCAACTTCCCCTCCTCAAATGTCATCATCATCCTGTGTCAGTTTACAACAGTTAGCCGTGTCTTTCTGCTCATGATGTGGGTAATGATAGTTCATAAGCATCCAAAATCAAAGTTTGACACAACAAAAAATACTTTGTTCTGGAGTTATGATTCCAGATGGAGACTGATCATCTTTGTCCCTTGTCCAGGTGCAGTCTAAGGTGACACTGAAGTATGACTCATGGCACAAGGAGGTGCTCAGCAAGTTCGGCTCCATGCTTGGCAACGAGATGGCAGAGTTCCACACAGTCGTCTCAAAGGTATTCATGCGTTTCTTTTCAGAAAATAGTTGCATTTTCTCAATACATAAGTTGCTCGGTGATCATGAATGGGATATAAGAGTTCATCCTTTGGCCCAGTGTTTTTTATAGATGTCCTATTGAGGGGCTAATGAGGTTCAAGTCAAACACTTGTTATTTAATGTTAATGTAAATAAATCTAACAATGACTCGACCTATACTCAAATTTACCAACACGTTGTGGAACATGGTCCCTTATATTCTGTCAACAGTTACAGGAATCTAGTTCAGCAGATTTATTTACGGTAAGAATGTGCTGTTGCTTATCAGGAAGTACCTAACATGGTCTTTGTTTCGCCAGTCTCGCTCCGACCTAGAGCAACAGTCCATCGACACTGCCAACACATCAGATGCTGTTGGACTCATCACTCACGTCCAGTCTCTCAAGCGCAAGGTCAACTCCTGGGAGAAGCAGGTTGAGGTAGGTCACAGCTTGCTGACGTGATGTGCTGGGATGCTAACCTTGCTGGATACATGTAAAAGGCGACTATAGTTGTCGTAAGAGGCGACCAACAGGATCGGGTGGTCAGGCTCGCTGACTTGGTTGATGCATGTAATTGTATCCCAATTGCGTGGATCGATGCTCAGTCACTGGATTGTCTGGTCCAGACTCCATTATTTAAAGACCGTCGTCATACAGCTGGAATATTAAATAACAAAAAACAAACATGTAGTTGTTGAAATGGATTGTCTTGAAAGTATGATTGATGTTAGAATTGAAAGTTGAATTTTCACATGGTTTAATTTTACGGACTGGGTTAAGATATGTTACATATGACATCAGGCAAAGCTGTAAATCTGAAATCAAAAGAATATGCTTGTCGTAAGACGCGACTAACGGGATTAGGTGGTCAGGCTCGCTGACTTGGATTGATGCTCATGATATCAATCACTGGATTGTCTGGTCCATACTCGATTATTTACAGACCGCCATCATATAGCTGGAATATTGCTGAGTGCGGCGTTAAACAACAAACCAACCAACCGCATGACAGTTCACTTTTGTGGATCAATGCTCATGATATCCATCACTGGATTGTCTGATCAAGATTCCATTATTTACTGAAAGCTGGAATATAGCTGGAATATTGCTGAGTGCGGTGTTAAACAACAAATAAACAAACAAAACTTTTGTTGCTGTTAGATGTACAAGGAGGGTCAGCGTATCCTGGAGCGTCAGCGCTTCCAGTTCCCTTCCACCTGGCTATACATCGACAACATCGAGGGTGAGTGGGGAGCGTTCAGCGACATCATGAAGCGCAAGGACTCGTCCATCCAGACCCAGGTGGCCAGCCTGCAGATGAAGATTGTGTCGGAGGACAAGCTGGTGGAGACCCGCACTGGTGACATGCTCACAGACTGGGAGAAGGAGAAACCTGTGGAGGTGAGTCAGTCATCCCATTGTGTACATGCAGGGCTAGGACTACAGGGAACAACACCAGACAATATGGGTAACATTAACCCTGTATTGGGAGTGGCCATTTGGAGTACATTCGGAGACCACTCAGCTGTGACCGAGCAAATTAATTTAACCTTGTCTCAGGTAGTCTGACATTAGGAAGTCAAAACCAGAACAGTTAACATTCTCTTTGGACTTGTTCTTTCGGAATATCATTAAAGGTTATAGGTTTGATATGTTATTGATCACATAACAGTGCTTCCGTGGAATAAACAACCGCCTTCATGGTCTAGTGGTAGAGCGTCCGCCCGGAGAGCGGAAGGTCCGGGGTTCGATCCCCAGCCGCGTCATACCAAAAGACGTTAAAAGATGGTACTTGTTGTTACCCTGTCTGGCCCTCGGCATTAAGGGGCTAAAACAAGGACTGGTCGGCTCGGAGTCGGTATACTGTGTCTGAGTGGGGTATTCATGTTAAGCTGCGGCTTGGTATCTCAGTGTGCTAGCACTATAAATTGGCATCCGTCCGGACTAGTACAAGCAGCCACACACACGCCACGCCACGCCACGCCACGCCACGCCACGCCACGCCACGCCACGCCACAAGAAGAGTGCAATAATCTTGGACGTGACATTAAACCCCATTTCACCTCACCTCCATGGAATAAACAAATCCAATAAACTTGGTATCATTATGTAATAAATATGCAAATGAGGTCACCTTGCAGGAACATTTTTCAAGCTCTGTACATCAATTCGATGCCTTCTTTCTAAAGGGCTGCATGATAAAAAATTATTCCTAATATATAATGTTTATGTTACGTTATAGTAATCCCTCCCTATATATCCACTATTTATTGTCTGCCTATGGACTGGTTGTTCTTTGCCTTCTTGAGAAACAAGCTATACCCTGTGTGTTGACTCATTCTAATTTTGCTGTGTTCAGGGTGAACTGAGACCAGACTCAGCTCTGAAGGCTCTCACTATCTTCGAAGGAAAGTTCTGTCGTCTAAAGGAAGAGAGGGACAATGTCGCACGAGCTAAGGAGGCTCTTGAATTAGCTGAACCAGGTGTGTGAGTCTGTGTCCCTCTCACAGCTTATCTGTGTAGTTACTATTGGACTTGTATAATGTGTTAAATTTGTACTGATCTAGAGAAATTGTTCTGAATAGTCCAGTGAGTTCTCGTTCCCAAACTAATGGCTATCACAAAAGATACATTCCACTTCCAGGAATGTTTTTGTTGACTAAAATTAACATTAACTGTAATGTAACTGAAAGTGTTGAAAGCACTGATTAGGACCCATATTGTAAGACATTGTTCCCTTTTCAGGTCACATCAGTCCCAGCCAGGAGCGTGTGCAGGTCGCCCTGGAGGAGCTGCAGGACCTGAAGGGTGTGTGGTCAGAGTTGGCCAAGATCTGGGAGCAGATAGACGAGCTGAAGGAGAAGCCATGGCTGTCTGTAGCACCAAGAAAGGTGGGTAACAGAGATTACTACACAGGGCCCACTTGCACAAAGCGATCTTAGCGCTAAAATGGTCTTGATTCCCATACTTTAACATAGGCTTACGATAGTCTTAGCGCTAAGATCGTTTTGTGAAAGTGGGCCCTGGTGTCTGTCAGATACTATTTACCTTACAACATGTTATAAAATGTGTGTGGTATAACAGGAACAGGTGCTGTAATCTGTTTCTAACACACCCTAGAATCACACCATTTTAGCATCCCATTGATATGTCATCTATTTCCTCCTTTGTTATTTGCAGCACATTTTATCATTTATATTATCTGCATACCTATCATATACTCAATGCCAAAAGAAACGCGAACCATAGTAACAAACAAAGAAGTATGTACGTTAAGAAGTGATGCTTCCAATGTGTACCACTCAATGACAAAACTAACAACCAGTCAAGTGTTACCACAGAGTGTTTTTATTCTTATCACGTTATGCTGCACATGATTTCCAGACTTTATACACTAATCCTGCATGACAGAAATAGTGCATCTCGAGTCATGTATCTATGACATCACATGCGTTAATGAGCGTCAATTCACACAACATACCAGTATGATGGTTAGTGCATCAAACTAATCTAATATCTCTTGAATATGAGTAATTCTTCATGTATTGACCAACATGTATGGTATTTGTTTCTTTTGTTGGTGAGTATATTTACATTGTAGTGATTTGCAGTCACCTTGTGGTTAAAATGTGACACCGAAGAACATCGATTCCCGATATCTGTACAATGTGTGAAGCCATTTCCTGCCAGTATCTTTGTTGATTCTTTCTTTCGCTCGTCACGCCGAAGACCCGGGTTCGATTCCCGATATGGGTACAATGTGTGAAGCCCATTTCTGGTGTCCCCCGCCGTGATATTGCTGGAATATTGCTAAAAGCGGCGTAAAACCATAACACTCACTCACTTACTCACTTGATTTTTTTCTATGAGGTGGAAACAATATTACTCATGTTCATTAATGTTTTCAGTTACGGCAAGCGCTGGACACCCTGTTGAACCAGATGAAAGAACTGCCGGCTCGGCTTAGAGCGTACGGATCGTACGAACATGTGAAGAGAACTCTCCAGAGCTATGCCAAGGTGGGTGGAGTAGTCGAACATGTACGATAAAGTTTCATGCCTTCCGATGAGAATAAGGAAGTAGCGACATTGTTTAGATCACGCTTAACTTTTTCGTCTCTTTGACAGGTGAATGTGCTTATTGTGGAGTTGAAGTCAGAGGCTCTGAAGGAACGTCACTGGAAGCAGCTGATGAGACGGCTGAATGTGAACTGGGTTCTGTCTGAGTTGACGCTCGGCCATGTGTGGGATATTGATCTGCAGAAGCATGAGCCCATTGTCCGGGACATCATCATCGTCGCCCAGGGAGAGATGGCCCTCGAGGAATTCTTGAAACAGGTGAGGGGAACGTATACGTGAAGGATAAAACAAGACTACGAGGCTTTGGTTGAAAATGTATATACAGTGGAGAGGGAAAAGCCTGCAAGCCGAAGGTCCTATTCCTGACCCCAAGAGTTTACGTTTTCAACCAAAATTGAGATTTATGCACCGTCTAAAAGTGGCTTACAAATACAAAGCTTACAGGTTCGATCCCACTGAAATATAAGTCACATTTGTTGTTTAGATTTTGCATCAATCCTCACTTTTCCTAAGTTAGAATTGTATTTTGTATTGTATGATTTTTATTCAAATGCCAAGTAAACCTCTGGGACAAAGGGTCTCTCTTTTGAATATCCCTTGGACATATGACAGGATGATGTCACATGAGGTATTTCAAAGAACTTAATGACTGGTTGAAGTAACTGGAGGTTTATAATATTACAACAAGCACTTGTTCATCACTTCTCAGTGGGACTACATAGAAGCAATTTGACCTATAAATCTAGCCTATTATATGCAAACCATTAAACCAAACCAATTATGCATCCTATTTATTACCTCATTGAAGGAATACAGTGAGGATTATTTTCTCCATGAACGTGTTAACTCAGACTAAATCGAACCGTTCATTTAATTGTGGTTTCTTTTTATGTGGAATAAAGTTTGTTGAAACGCCAGTATCATCTTAACCTTGCATCTTACAGGTCAGCGAGGTTTGGCGAAGCTATGAGCTGGACCTCATCAACTACCAAAACAAGTGTCGCCTCATCCGAGGATGGGATGACCTCTTCACCAAGGTCAAGGAACACATCAACAGCGTCACTGCCATGAAGCTGTCCCCCTACTTCAAGGTATGTACATTCATAGTTCATGTTGTACTTTTACCAGGTGTCATGTCATAGATAAAACACAGATAGCATTAGTAAGCTGATTAGCAGAGAAAAGGTAATGTACTGATAATAGATTGATGGCCACGCTTTCTTAAGTTTAAGATGGCAACTACAAGAGGACCCCGAGGGATTTCTAAGCATCTTGAAAACACTTTCAACCTCAAAATATGATACTTTCTTGTCTTGTTACTTAGGTTTTATCAGAGGCAATAATAACTAAGGCAGGTAGGGTTAACTTATAATAACTAGGTCAGGATGTGCTGAGTAGGAACTGGGAATCCACAGGACAACATGGACCTGTGGTTAGTCATGTGACATACTGTTTAATGACGGTAACAATAAAATTTCATGGTTACATTTCAAGTCGCTAATGTTTGCATTATATTCTAACTATGTATACATTCCATCTCACTTATATATGTTTGAGTAAAGATAAAGCTTCAGTCAAATTCAGTATATGCATGATCAGATCGTTCTGTACGTGTATCTAAATAGTTTTGCCGGGGCTCCGGTAAAACAATTCCCATTTGGAAATTTTGTACCCAACTCTTGAGACCTACAGCAGGGACCCGTGTAGGGTCGGGTACCAGAGTAATAAATTGACTCGACCCATCTCTATTAATGTCTAGTGAACACCTGTCATAGTCCATGGTTATAAGATTCTTTTGCTAGAAGCTTAGTGCATGCAGTCCATACTTTGTACTTCTTTTGAAGATCCCACAACTGTAAGACGTGCTTGTAGAAGTGTACTGATATGTAATGGTTCCTCTTGCAGCAATTTGAGGAGGATGCTCTGGCCTGGGAGGACAAGCTGAACCGCATCAATGGACTGTTTGATGTGTGGATCGATGTCCAGAGGCGCTGGGTATACCTGGAAGGTATCTTCACCGGCAGTGCTGACATCAAGCACCTGCTCCCTGTGGAAACATCCAGATTCCAGGGGTATGTGTCATAGGCTCACTCACCTTCACTGCATGAAACTGAAGGTGTATCAGGGATTTACCTAGGATAGTCCATTTGCAATTTTATGTGTATATGATGCAGGATTTCACATCTTGTAAATCCCTGAGGTGTATGTTGATAGTCAGAATAAAATACAGTGTATAGAGTAGCAGCTTGTATACGACTCAAAAGAAGTTAAACAACACCAATTCTCTTATATTACCATAGTTGATTTGTCATGCCAGATTAACAGTAGTAATATGAAAGAATTGGGGGTTCTTTAACTTCTTTTGATTTGTATATTTGACACCTACTTTCACTCAAATCTCCCTTTAGACTCCTAATTTTAACTGAATTTCTATGTTCAAATATTTTGTTTATGTATGTAATATGAATATGTTAACATAAACCTCGGATGTTGATGTTCTGTTTTGTTTTGTCATGTTCATATCTTCTTCACCGTGAATTCAGCTGATGGCTACATGATGGATATTGCACCTCTCTGTTGTAGTGTTAGCACAGAGTTCTTGGCCCTGATGAAGAAGGTCACCAGGTCACCGCTGGTGATGGACGTCCTGAACATCGCCAACGTACAGCGGCAGTTGGAGAGACTGGCGGACATGCTACAGAAGATACAGAAAGCTCTTGGAGAATACCTGGAGAGGGAGAGAGCGTCTTTCCCACGGTGAGATTATGGGAACCCTTTTGTTGTCACCCCAAGGGCAATCTGAACCAGAGTACATCCCCAGTACCCCATGCTTGTCATATTAGTCATCAAAATTAGGAACCTGTTTTTAGTGGTTCATTGTGTTAGATGTCACCCACATTGAGTTGGAGATTTCTTGAGGTGTATCAGATTTATTCATTATTGCTGTTTCGCTGGATAATAACTCTCTAGTCTTACCAGCAAATACAAATAAATACAGTGTGGCAACAAACAAATAGTGTTCTATGACAACTCTGAAATATTTATAGCACACACAAAAAAGAAGTGATGTTTTGCAACAGAGTGGGTCGAAAGATACTATTACTTGCACAACTAACTATGGATAGTTGTCCGTGAAGAGGACTTCTGTTGAAAATCTGAAAATTTTAATGTTGAATGAAGGCCAAAATACAGGAATGTTGGCGAGGATATAATAGAGGTATTATTCTTTGAATTATTAACAATGGCAACTATTGTTTGATTTCTCTATATTTTGAATTGTTTTCTCCTAGATTCTACTTTGTTGGTGATGAAGATCTCCTGGAGATTATCGGTAACAGCAAGAATATACCACGGCTTCAGAAACACTTCAAGAAGATGTTTGCTGGCGTTGCATCGATCATCCTCAATGATGATGACTCCCAAGTTATTGGTCTCACATCCAAAGAAGGAGAAGATGTAAGTCTTACAATCATCAACTCAAACTGTTACTGTCACAGCAGTGTAGGCCAATGTGTTCTGATTAAGTTGCCAAGAGTTTGGGTATGGGCTATAACCCACTAGTGATGTATTGATAGCTGATAACTGTTTTATTGTTTGGTAGTTTGGTTAATTGACTATGCGGGGCGGTCGGGTAGCCTAGTGGTTAAAGCGTTCTCTCGTCAAGCCGAAGACCCGGGTGCGATTCCCGACATGGGTACAATGTGTGAAGCCCATTTCTGGTGTCCCCCGCCGTGATATTGCTGGAATATTGCTAAAAGCGGCCTAAAACCAAACTCACTCACTCACTAATTGACTATGCTGTTCAAACTGTGCCATGGTCATTGCTCAATGGTGGCAAAGTTTGTTTTTGAACAGAAAAAGTTAGGGATCGTGAATATTTTTGGGGATATTATTATGAAATTGTCAGCCTTCACAACAACAAAATTCCCAAAACATATTTGTGATCCCTAAAAACATTTCTTCAGTATATATTGGAGATGGGCCATTGGGACAACCACCGTTCAACTTACAGTTAATAAAAGTGCTTGAAGATGGCCCTATACGCACAACGCTATGGTGTACGACTATATGTACTTCAACTAATGTTTATGATTTGCTCAGGTATTTTAGAACACTCATGTGTAAAGGAATTTGTCTGTAACGATTTACTCTGGGACAGTGAGAAAACCTCGTGCTAGCCAAGAACCTTGGTCTGTCTATAAGTATGTGCTTTCCAGGAAGGTCAAAGCGGTCTTAACCCTAACTCCCTGCTGTTTTTCAGGTTGTATTTGTCACCCCGGTGTCCATCGCTGCCCACCCTAAGATCAATGAGTGGCTTACCCTGACTGAGAAGGAGATGAGAGTGACACTGGCCAAGAACCTGGCCGCCTCTGTGGGCGATGTCAGCGCCTTCAAGTCCGGCAAGATCGACCCCGAGAAGTATCTGCAGTGGGCTGACAAGTACCAGGTAGGGCCGCTCTTCATGGTCACGGGTTCATATTTGAGTCGGGGCCCAGTCGTCTAAGGGGCTGCGATTCGCTGTGCAGAGTTGCATCCCTTGGGCACGCCAGAGACCTATGATTGTGTGTTTGAATCCCGGTTCACCCCCATTATGTTTCTAGGTTTGTCAGCACCATACCCGTGCTCGTGGGTTTCACCGAAGTGGTAAACGTCTGAGACCTGCATCACTTCGGCTTTCCTCCCACATGAAGCTGACACGCCGTGATATAACTGGAATACTGTTAAAAGCGGCGTTAAACCCAACTCACTCACTCACTCACTCATATTTGAGTCGTCTCAATTATGTCAGCACTATACCTGTGCTATACCAGAATAATGAACACAATCTTAGGCTGCCCTCCCACAATATGATGATAAAACAAAGTCTGTTTGTTGTAGCGTTCAACTTAACTTGCTCACTTTTAAGATTTGTCTCTATTCAGTCAACATTTTATGGATCACTATGAACAAAAATATTTTTCAGTTGCATTTTCTTATATAATGTAAAATGTGACAATTGTTTATTCTTTGTCTTGTATGTTACTTATGTTGTAATGTTGCAAGTCATCAATCAATGCAATCTCCAGATTGTCTACTGGCTGGATTCTTTAGTAGCTGGAATATTGCTGAGTGCAGCTTAAAGAAGAAAACAAGTCAATGTTATTTACATTTCTGGGTTCATTCAGACACCATTTTGACATGCCCCCTCTCCCCTAGGCCCAACTGATCGTGCTGTCAGCCCAGATCTCGTGGTCAGAGAGTGTAGAGAACGCCCTACAGACAGCCTCCAAGACTGACATCGGCCCCGTGAAGGAGGTGTTAGCCAACGTGGAGTCCACTCTCAACGTGCTGGCCGACTGTGTCCTGTACGAACAGCCCCCAGTCAGACGGAAGAAGCTGGAGAGCTTGGTTGGTCTACTTTCGTCTTCAGTAGCTGTTGATAGTCACTTCTCGTATTCTTGTGTGTTCAATATTCCTCTAACATGGCTCATTCCTTGCTACCCAATCAAGCGTATTAAACTTTTGAATATTTCCCATAAGCGAAGACTGATTGTGTGTAATAACTTTCTGATATTTGCGTGTGTGTTTTAGCCATTTTCAATGCTGATTAGTCAATTGAAGCCATATGACATCACATTGCTTCATTGTTGAGGAAAATAACATATGCCGTCATCCATTCATGACGTCACAATTTGATAACAACACGTCATCTGACTGCCTTCAGCAAAGTCTCTCTGTAGGGTCAGGGGCGGTCGGGTAGCCTAGTGGTTAAAGCCTTCAATCGTCACGCCGATGACCCGGGTTCGATGCCAGACATGGGTACAATGTGCGAAGCCCTTTACTGGTGTCCCCCGCCGTTATATTGCTGGAATATTGCTAAAAGCAGCGTAAAACTATACTCACTCACTCACTCTATAGGGTCAAATGTTTTTTCATTTTCTCATAAAATGTCAATGAGTAATATATAGAATAACTCGACTTGAAACTCACTGCGTTCTTTCCGGAGATACTAATTCCCTTACCAAAGGCTCAGGATCAACATCATTCATTCACTCTGGACAGATAATCTCATTACTCTTAGCTCACTGGTTATTCTTTAATTATCCGAGGTAGTTTCCATTCATCAACATTTTACATGTCATTAAACCATCATAACATATCTACCACATAAATATGGGAACTTCCCCTTACAAACTTGCTTCGGACACTGATCGTTACCAAATAACCTTATAATTCCTATAGACTGGCCTATCCTTACTATATGTCTTCTGAACTGATGTACAAATATACAGTTTGAATGTCTTTCTACAGATCACTGAACTGGTTCACCAGAGAGACATCACTCGCATGCTGGTGAAACACAATGTGAGCTCTCCCAAGTCCTTTGACTGGTTGTGTCAAATGAGATTCTACTTCGACCCCAAGAACTCCGACGTGCTGCAGCAGCTGTCTATTCAGATGGCCAATGCTAAGTTCAACTATGGCTTTGAGTACCTTGGTGTCCAGGATAAGCTTGTTCAGACCCCGCTCACAGACAGATGCTACCTCACCATGACACAGGCCTTGGAGGCCAGGCTTGGAGGATCACCATTTGGTCAGTTCACAGATATTGATGTTGCACTTTTTTCAGACAAAGTAGGGGGGCACGGGTGGCCCAGTCGTCTAAGGTGCCGCGATTCGCTGTGCAGAGTTGCATCCCTTGGGCATGCCAGAGACCTATGATTGTGGGTTCGAATCCCGGTTCACCCCGATTATGTTTCTAGATTTGTCAGCACCATACCCGTGCTCGTGGGTTTCACCGAAGTGGTAACGGTCTGAGACATGCATCACTTCGGGCTTTCCACCCACATTAAGCTGACACGCCGTGACATGACTGGAATACTGTTAAAAGTGGCGTTAAACCCAACTCACTCACTCAGACAAAGTAGATCCTCCATTCAAGAATAGACTTCATATATTTCTTGCCTGCAGTAACAGATACATATTTATTGTAAGAGGCAGGGAGAAGTGGGAGAAGAGCGTGGCCTGCTTGAATGTGATTCAACTTGGTCATCTGGGGAGTATATGCTATTCTAAAGAAGTTAAGGGGCACACGTGGCCCATTCGTCTAAGGCGCCGCGATTCGCTGTGCAGAGTTGCGTCCCTTGGGCACGCCAGAAACCTATGATTGTGGGTTCGAATCCCAGTTCGCCCCGATTATGTCTCTAGGTTTGTCAGCACCATACCCATGCTCTTGGGTTTCACCGAAGTGGTAAACGTCTGAGACCTGCATCACTTTGGGCTTTCCTCCCACATTAAGCTGACACGCCACGATATAACTGTAATACTGTTAAAAGCGGTGTTAAATCCAACTCAATCACTCTAAAGAAGTTAAAGAACACCTATTTTTTTCATATCGCTATAGTTAATGTGTCATGCTGGTGGTTATTGCGACACACAGCGTTCCAGTTGTAACAGTACTGACAGCGTCATGGAACATCGTTTTCCTGGAATGCTGAATTTCATTGCGCATCAAGAATTCGTCTGTATTTAAGTCTTGCATAATGAATGACATTGGGACTCTGCGGTTCTGTGTAGAGAATGCTAAGTGTTGTTCATCCCCTCAGGCCCTGCTGGTACTGGAAAGACTGAGTCTGTGAAAGCTCTAGGAAACCAGCTGGGACGATTTGTGTTGGTCTTCAACTGTGACGAAACCTTCGACTTCCAGGTATAGTGAATGGCTGTGAATGTGATTGCTGAACATTTCAGTTTCATGATACTATCGAGTATTGTGTACTTTTCCAGCCCTTGTGTAATTGCATATGTAGTTAATACAGATATTCGACCGCCTCCGTGGTCTTGTGGTAGAGCGTCCGCCCAGAGAGCAGAAGGTCCGGGGTTCGATCCCCGGCCACATCATACCAAAAGACGTTAAAAGATGGTACTTGTTGTTACCCTGTCTGGCACTCGGCATTAAGGGGATTAAACAAGGACTGGTCGGCTCAGAGTCAGTATACTGTGTCTGAGTGGGATATTCATGTTAAACTGCGGCATGGTATCTCAGTGAGCTAGCACTATAAATCGGCATCAGTCCGGACGAGTACAAGCAGCCACACACACACACATGTACATGCACGTCGCTATATAAGTGCAATCATCTTGGACGCGACGTTAAACCCAATTTCACTACACCCAATACAGATATTCAAATCCCAGTTTGCCCTGATTATATTTCTAGGTTGTCAGCACCATACCCATGCTTGTGATTTTCACCAAACTGGTAACATCTGAGACCTGCATAACTCTGGGCTTTCCTCCCACATTAAACTGATACACTTTGATATAACTGGAATACTGTTAAACGAGGTGTCAACCCAACTCACTCACTCGGTACGGAGATGTTGCTCAAACTATTGTGGCTTGTCATCTTTCAGGCCATGGGACGTATCTTTGTTGGTCTGTGCCAAGTAGGAGCGTGGGGCTGCTTTGATGAGTTTAATCGACTGGAGGAGAGGATGTTGTCAGCTGTGTCCCAGCAGATCCAGACCATACAGGAGGCGCTCAAGGAACTCAACACACCCGAGAAGAGGAGCGACAAAGGTAAGCTCATGTTAGCACTCGACTCAAGTTTAAATTAAATGCTGGGGATGTTTCTTTGAATGACAAGTGAAAGTTACTCCCTTCCCATATCGGTCGACGGTACTTTTATTACAGTAGGCAGATTTATATTTATGTTTTAGTCCTTTTATGTGAAGTTGTGGGCAATCTAAACAAACTGGGGGTGGTCGGGTAGCCTAGTGGTTAAAGCGTTCGCTCGTCACGCCGAAGACTTGGGTTTGATTCCCGACATGGGTACAATGTGTGAAGCCCATTTCTGGTGTCACCCGCCGTGATATTGCTGGAATATTGCTAAAAGCGGCGTAAAACCATACTCACTCACTCACTAAACAAACCATTAAAGATAAGGTTCTATTCAGCTATAGGATACCTGTACATTGGGCTGAGAATTGATAAGGGTTACCAGTCATAGGTGATTGGATGAGTAACATGCAAAGTATAAGTAAATGTTTTGTGATAGTTATACGATATATATAACCAGTAAAAAGTATTCTTATTGAATTAAAACGTCCTGTCCTCAGCAACTCAGATTATTGTGGAGATCATCGGCAAGCAGGTGAAGGTGAACCCTGACATGGCTATCTTCATCACCATGAACCCGGGATATGCTGGCAGGTCCAACCTGCCGGACAACTTGAAGAAACTGTTCCGAAGCTTGGCCATGACCAAGCCCGACCGCCAGCTGATTGCCCAGGTCATGTTGTACTCCCAGGGCTTCAGGCAGGCTGAGAAGCTGGCCAGCAAGATAGTGCCGTTCTTCAAGTAAGAGATTTATTTCATGTTCTGAATACTTATGAATTGAAAACATAAGTTGATGGACAAGTTTTATGTTTTTGTTACATTGTAATTTGATAAAATATCAGTACTCATCCACCTCTTAGGGCACGGGTGTCCCAGTCGTCTAAGTCACGTAATTTGCGGTACAGAGTTGTCCCTTGGGCACCCCAGAAAATTATCATGGGCTTGAATTCCAGTTCGCCCCAATTATGTTTCTAGGATTTACAGCACCATACCCGTGTTCGTGGGTTTCACCATATTGTTAAACGCCAGAGACCCGCATCACTTCAGGCCTCCCACACTAGGCTGACACACCATTATAGAACTAGAATAGTGGTCAAGGCTCACTCACTCATCCATATCAGAAGTGTATAGTATAACTGTAGGTACATATGGGCCAGTTACTTTATATCACTGTCAATAACATCTAGTGTGTTTTGTCAGTGCATGCATGATGTTTTATATTTACAGTCAAATCTCGTCTCAAGACCTATACGACCACTTGTTTTCATGTTAATCTTTAGTCTAGGTGACAAATAATGCTATTAAATACTTTGAGGCCATCAGAATTGGCTTCATTGTTGCTATCTCCCTCCTGTTCGAAGGGATCCATGAAGATTCCGGGGTAGAATTGGTCTTCAGCAACCCATACTTGCCGTAAAAGGTGACTATGCTTGTCATAAAAGGCGACTAACGGGATCGGGTGGTCACGCTCGCTGACTTGGTTGATACATGTCTTCGATCCCAATTGCGTGGATCGATGCTCATGATGTCAATCACTGGATTGTCTGGTCCAGACTCGACTTTTTACAGACCGCCGTCATATAGCTGGAATATTGCTGAGTGCGGCGTTAAACAACAACAAATGAACGAACCATGGTATCATGATTCGATGAGTATGCAAATGAGGTCACTTAGCATGCTTAGCAAGAACTACTTTGAAGCTCCGTACATCGATGTAATGCCTTCTGTCTCAAACTAGTGACTAATGTTCCAAATATGCTTAGATAGGTAGAGTGCGGCATTAAACAACAAACAAACAAACGAAAAATCCTGTTCAAAGTTAAGTGTTTTGCCATGTTTTGCTATGTTTTGCCATGTTTCTTCCAGACTCTGTGACGAGCAGCTGTCGCCCCAGTCTCACTATGACTTTGGTCTGCGAGCCCTGAAGAGCGTGTTGGTGAGCGCGGGCAATGTGAAGCGTGAGAGGATACAGCGAGTCAAGGAGGGACTCATAGAGAGGTCGGAGCAAGTGGATGAAACATCGATTGCCGAAAATCTACCAGAACAGGAGGTAGGTGTATTGTTATGATGACTGGAAAGAATGAAGCAGTCAATGTACGATATTTAAAACTATCAAAGGGGCGGTCGGGTAGCCTAATGGTTAAAGCGTTAGCTCGTCACGCCGAAGACCCGGGTTCGATTCCCGACATGGGTACAATGTGTGAAGCCCATTTCTGGTGTCACCCGCCGTGATATTGCTGGAATATTGCTAAAAGCGGCGTAAAACCGTACTCACTCACTCACTAAAACTATCAAAACTATTATAGCTGTATATCTGGCTATGAGTGAACTGCAGTGAGAAAATTTATGTCATAATACACAGAGTTTGTTTTTCTGAGAGGATACATCTTGAAATAAAAAACTAAGTGTGAGAGACATGGAGCAATATATTTTGGCCAAAAATATTGAACATGAGATTTATTTGTGTATAAATATGTATATATGTTTGTATAATTTTGAATTTTGAATATTGTTATGAATTTGAGTTAAAAAATAATTAAAAAGTGAAATATGTGTAATAAATAACCAGTCGATGTGGTGTATGTTTGTCGTAGATCCTCATCCAGAGTGTGATGGAGACGATGGTGCCCAAGCTTGTGGCTGAGGACATCCCCCTGCTCAACTCTCTGTTGTCGGATGTCTTCCCTGGTGTGCAGTACACACCCAACGAGATGAAGCCTCTCCGAAAGGAGATCAAGAAAGTGTGTCAGGAAATGCACCTGACGTACGGTGAGAACGACGAACTCGGAGCACAGTGGGTGGACAAGGTCAGTACTGGAGCCAGGACACTGTTTATGGCTCACACGAGACAAACATGGCTCACATTGGCACTATATGATTAAAAAGGGCGGTTCACTCAAACATTGTATTCATACTGTTTCTAAAGCTATATGATAAAAAGATTATTACCATTGTGTATTATCATTATTATATATAAGGAATTAATTTTGTACTTTACGAGCCAACCCCACAACAAAATAAAAATGTTTTTTAAAAACTCAGCACCAGCAGTATGTATTGTTTCTGATAGTGTTCTGAAGTGTGACAAGTTGTAAGCAATAGATTAAAAAAGCTTGACTTGACACTCCACTGCTGGTGTGTTGTAGGTCCTACAGCTGTACCAGATCACACAGCTCCACCACGGCCTCATGATGGTGGGCCCTAGTGGCAGCGGCAAGTCCACGGCCTGGCATGTCCTGCTGAAGGCGCTGGAGAGAATGGAGGGGTTGGATGGAGTCCCCCACGTCATTGACCCCAAGGTAAGTGATATTGCACAACACTGAAGTAGCCGACAACCTGAACTCAGCATAACCTCAGTGTTCAGATCTTGATTCCTGTTCTGGTGGCCCTGTTGGAGGAGAGACCGCCTCCGAGGTCTAAGAGTAGAGCGTCATACCAAAAGACGTTAAAAGATGGTACTTGTTGTTACCCTGTCTGGCGCTCAGCATTAAGGAGCTAAAACAAGGACTGGTCGGCTCAGAGTCATTATACTGTGTCTGAGTGGGGTATTCATGTTAAACTGAGGCATGGTGTCTCAGTGTGCTAGCACTATAAATCGGCATCAGTCCGGGCTAGTACAAGCAGCCACACACACACACACACACACACACACACACACACACACACACATATATACACCTGCATGTACGTCGCTATATAAGTGCAATAATCTTGGACGGGACGTTAAACCCCATTTCACCTCACCTGTTGGAGGATGTCCCGCTCGGTTCATCTATGAAAGAAAATATATGGAAATTCCAACAAATGTTCTCGGGCCATATGCAGGGATGAGAATTTTCCACGAAATTCTGCGGATTTCATTTCAAGGATCACTTTTGTGATACAAAGCCATTACAACGTAAACATAAATCAAAGTCCCCCAGACCCCTGGAAAACTTTCAGTGTTTTAAAAAAAATATAGTTTCAAAGAATTTGGTACATATAGATCTCCAGATTCTCTAATGATGCAAAAGGGACTAAAATCTGGAATATTCATCACAAAGTAAACTAGTTCAGTTGGCAGTTTTACTGACATCAATTAGCCTTTTTGATCTATGAATGGTGTACATATGTCTGTGTCTGTTTGTAGTCTATCTCCAAGGATGCCCTGTATGGTAACCTTGACCCCAACACCAGAGAATGGACGGACGGTCTCTTCACACACATTCTCAGAAAGTAAGTAACATGATCTAGAGCTCCAGATAAGCTGCGTATCTGCGTGAAATACGCATCAGAAATGCAGAAATAAGCAGTAAAATAAAATCCAAGCGTATCAAATACGCAACAAACATTACAGATACGCTACAAAAATAAAACTTGTGCGTATCATCAAAATATTGTGAAGTAACCCTACGTATTCGATTAGCAAATCAGCAACTTATTTTGAAATTATAAACGGGCATTCCGTCAACCTTGCCAAACTCCACAATGACAGTTACATCATGATCATTTGCCATCACACTTTCTTGTGGAAGTATCGTGGTATTTTTGAGTCCTATAAAGCTCTTGAACCCACACAACACCAGTTTGCAGGCACTAGATGAATAGTGTTTTTAAATATTTAACTTAAATACCCACATGTGTAAAAACTAGTGGGTAACAGAAACTTGAATACCCAGATAGAATTACTGATACCCAATGATTTTAAAATGCATGGGTAAAATACCCACAACACCAAAAGCTTATGATGAGCTATGATAATCCCGATGTCATAGCATACACCATACAGTGGAAACGAAAATTACAAGCTTGAACATTCATTTTCTCCGTAGTATTTTTTTTTTAAGTTCAAGTCTTATAAACAGGAATATGTTCTAGGATCATTGACAACGTTCGTGGTGAACTTGCAAAACGTCAGTGGATCATCTTTGATGGTGATGTGGACCCCGAGTGGGTGGAGAATCTCAACTCCGTCCTGGACGACAATAAGCTCCTGACACTGCCCAATGGTGAACGACTGGGAATCCCCCCAAATGTAAGAACACAACTATGTGTGTATGCTGTAACAAGTTGAGATTGAGTGTATCTATCTACATGGTGTTCACATGTGTGTACTTGAGGCTGCCTGCTTTGAGCGCTTTCTTCATGGCACCGGTGGCCCAGTGGCGTAAGATGCCACACATGCACAATGCCAATTGTTCTGCCAGGATTCGCTATTCATGGGTTTTAATCCCGGAGTAACGTTCTATGATTCATGTTCTTACAGTAGCTTACCTATCATCATGTTTTGGCCCATTTGAAGCAGTGACACCGTGATATGACTGAAATACTTTTAAGAGCATCATTTCCACCCAAGTCATTTCTTCTTTTGTTTTTTTACAATAAAAAATCACAATAAATAAATGAATTTGATAAATATATGTATCATGTTGTGCATTGTTAAAAGCAGTTTTCACCACACTCACTCATGACATGCAAATATTAACAAAATGTTGCCTGTCTTCAGGTGAGAATAATGTTTGAAGTTCAAGACTTGAAGTACGCCACTCTGGCCACAGTCAGTCGATGTGGCATGGTGTGGTTCAGTGAGGATGTGCTGTCTACGGAAATGATCTATGATAACTTCATGCAAGAGCTGCGCTGTGTCCCTGTGGAGGAGTCTGATGAAGACCCCTACAAGTCCAGACTAGGAGAGAAGGACGATACACTCTCACCCAACATGCAGGTAACTTGCAGCAAGGATAACTAGCCATTTACTGACTGCATGTCGTAAACATGAAATGGCCGTCTGACAGCTGATGTCGTTACAGTGATCTAAACATTTCACTCGGGCAAATAAAATGAATTAGTCGGGGGAAGGGGTTGGTAGCCATGAGTCGGGCGGGTATGATAATTTAGCAATTAATTTATTATGTCCTTATGAATGTGTTGTGCTGGACCAGATTTTCATTTTTGTTCTTGTCTCAGTTCATTTTACATTGAAAGAAAATTTACATCTTCAAACTAAGTTTGTTTGAACCTAATGTGGGCCTGTTTTTACCTGCTTGGCTGCACCAGTGTTGGCGTCACTCCTTCTTTGTGTTACAGGAGCGATGGGGTAGCCTTGTGTTTAAGGCGTTTGGTTGTCACGGCAAAGACCATTGTTCAATTACCCATATAGGTGCAATGTGTGAAGCACCTTTCTGATTTCCTACTGTGATATTACTCGAATATTGCTTATAAAAGTCTCCTTACTCACTCGTTGTGCAGCAACTGCACCAAGTTCATGATTATGGCCTCTAGTATGAGGATTCTGTTGGTCGTCCACTCCTTAGTTATCCAGTGTAATTCTATAACCTTACGTTCGTCCAGGTTCAGCACGATGCAGCAGTCATCTTCCAGCCCTACTTCTCCTCTGACGGCCTTGCTAGCCGCTGCCTGGAGTTTGCTGTGAAACTGGACCATATCATGGACTTCACCCGGCTCCGGGCCCTCAACTCTCTGTTCTCCATGCTGAACCAGGGTGTCCGCAACGTCCTAGCCTACAACCACAATCATGCCGACTTCCCAATGCAGGTGAGCTAAAAAAATATTATTATCATCATCATTATTATTATTACAGTAGAACACGGATATAACGAACACGGATATAGCGAACAAACGGATACAACGAACTGTTAAAAAATCCCCGATTTATCTCCTATATAATATCATATAAAATTTACGTATATAACGAACTCTCTACAGCGAACTAACGGATACAGCGAACTGATATCTGATCACCGACAAGCCCATCTATCACTAATAAGGGACGTGTATAGCGAACTGAGAAATCTCACTCAGTGTCAAGTGTCACTGACAATTGGCTGTACGCAATCAGTGGCGAATCAACACAATGGCGGCGAATCAATACAATCAGCGGCGACGGATCAACCTTGTTTAATTTGCATTGTGTTAATCTTACCTGTACATGTAATCTTGTCTGTAAAACAAACATTAAACATAAAAAAATTACGAGATTGTGTCCAAGTGTCAGATCACTTGCATATGCTATCATGGCGGGCAATAGTAAGAGGAAAGCTATCAGTTTAGACACGAAATTGAGAATTATTAATGCTGTTGATCCAAGATGGCGGACGTTTCCGAGCGAAAACGTGTATAATGAACAACTGATATAACGAACTGATTATATCCGTGTTCTACTGTATTATTATTATTATTGTGCTATATGTTTCCATACACAAGGTATGCTCATAGCGCTAACATTATAACCCCAGGCAATGGATAAGTGTAACTCGATATTCAATCTCAGCTCCCTGGAGAGTATACAATCCAAGCTGCCTGTGAGGCTAACAGTAACATTACCATCTCATCCTACTGGGTACCCATTCACTGCTGGGTGAACAGCGGCATATTACGAACAATTATCATCTTGAATCATTCTTGAATTATGTATCTGAACCCCATGTAAACAGACTAGCTTTTCGTCAGACATGATGTACCATGGTGACATGTTTAAGTTGAATGCAACGAAGTGTTACATTGTGCTGATGCTTATGTCTCCCCCAGGCGGAGCAGCTGGAGCACTACCTGTCCAAGTATCTGGTGTACAGTCTCCTGTGGTCCATGTCCGGGGACGGACGGATCAAGATGAGGCAAGAACTCGGGGACTTCATCAGAGGAATCACCACCATCCCACTGCCCCCAACTACCGGCTCCATCATCGATTTTGAGGTATAGGACTTACATAATTAATGATAGCAACAAATGAATGGGGAATGAACATTGTCTTCTTGGATATTAATTCATAACATTTTCTCACATTTAAGGGGCGGTCGGGTAGCCTAGTGGTTAAAGCGTTCGCTCGTCACGCCGAAGACCCAGGTTCGATTCCCGACATGGGTACAATGTGTGAAGCCCATTTCTGGTGACCCCTGCCGTGATATTGCTGGAATAGTGCTAAAAGCGGCGTAAAAAACCATACTCACTCACTTGTCACAGAAGAGACCATTAATGATCATTATATTTTTGGATTATTTGTGTTATTGGGTAATTGTAAGAGTTGACATTTTGTAATTGTAAGAGTTGACATTTTGTGTCTCTATGAAGGTACATTCAGTTTTGTCCTCAAAATGCATATGACATGTTTGATTGATGTTTGTGTGACTCCATGCCGTGGATTGTTTGACACAGGTTGGTATTGGAGGAGAGTGGGTGCCATGGCAGTCCAAGGTGCCTCAAGTTGAAGTGGAGACCCACAAGGTGGCAGCACCCGACGTAGTTATCCCAACCATCGACACGGTGCGTCATGAGAGCTTGTTGTACACATGGCTGGCGGAGCACAAACCCCTGGTGCTGTGTGGACCTCCGGGCTCCGGAAAGACCATGACGCTGTTCAGTGCCCTCCGAGCGCTGCCTGACATGGAGGTGAGATTTATCCATATATGTTGATATCCTTGAAAATAGTGACTGTCGCACTTCGCAAATCTTATTTTTAAATGACAACACCATTATTTGTAACTTGACAATATTGAACAATATCACATGTATAACTTTGAAGCAAACTGAGTTCATTAGTTTCATAACATATCCAGATGTTCAGTATAAGCATCATCTGTTCCATGAGTGATTAAGTCAAATAGTTCTATCTGTGTTCGTTATTTAATAATATGTGTTCAACTGTTCACAAACAACATGTTTGTAACCAAACACTTCCATCTGAATATTTCAGGAGGAGATTTTTTCTGAGCTTATTTCACGTTTTAAAAATGCTTGGATACCTGCTAAAAAGAAAACTGAAAAAAGTCAGGAAGCAGATTATTGGAATATTTAATTATAGAATATTTATGTGTCTGGTATTTGTGCCATTTCTTTAACAATGAACATGTTGGTTGTCCAGGTTGTTGGTCTGAATTTCTCCAGTGCTACAACCCCTGAACTTCTGCTGAAGACATTCGACCATTACTGTGAATTCCGACGAACACCCAATGGTGTTGTTCTGTCGCCCGTACAGCTCAACAAGTGGCTTGTACTCTTCTGTGATGAAATCAACTTGCCAGATATGGACAAATATGGTAAGTTTTGTATTCAGTTATACATGTAATACATTTCAGGAATTCTATTCAAGTAGATTATCACCAGTGTCTGAGCTGACTAAATATTTTCATGGACTCTAAAATGTTTTGTCTTTTGATAACCCAAAATACAAGGAGAGATTCACAGGGTTCACTTCAATTGCCGTATTTGACCCAATAAGCCCTCCAATGCATTTTAGAAGACACAAGTGTCACTTAGGGTTCCATGATGGTATCAGGGGTGGTCGGGTAGCCTAGTGGTTAAAGCGTTCGTTCGTCACGCCGAAAACCCGGGTTTAATTCCCGACATGGGAACAAAGTGTGAAGCCCATTTCTGGCGTCCCCTGCCATGCTATCGCTGGAATATTGCTAAAAGCGGCATAAAACCATACTCACTCACTCACTCATTCCATGATGGTATCAACCTTACAATAATAGCTATGTTGAGAACAAGTTGCAGCACAATGTACATTCTACACTTGTAACTTATAATGCTCTTATTGCCTATAATATGATATGCATGGAAGTGTGAAGCAAGGATTGTTGTTTCTCAGGTACTCAGCGTGTCATCTCCTTCCTCCGCCAAATGATGGAACACGGAGGCTTCTTCCGAACATCCGACCAGACTTGGGTCAAGTTTGAAAGAATCCAGTTTGTTGGTGCCTGCAACCCTCCCACTGATCCTGGGAGAAAGCCCCTCTCACACAGGTGGGTACTCTCCACTGTAGGAATACCAGGCTGATGGGATTTGTCTGCAGATTGGTTCAGTTGCCATTGTGACGTCCTGTAAGTACAGTACATCTTGTGCTGTTTGGGACTGCCAGCTATTTCATGCCTGGAGGACAAAGCGAACTTGCGACTTCCTGCATCATACTTAATAAAAAACAAAATTCAAAATATTCTCGACCATGTCTATGAGGGTGAAACTCGTTTTAGCATTTGTAAGCAGTATTGCTTCGAGTGGCATATCCTTATCTTCTAAAATTACCGTATTTGACGTAATAAGTGCCTAAGGCGCTCTCTAAATTAGAAATAGGGGGCTCCTATTAGAATATTATTTTGGTGGGGAAAAAACAGTAGAAAGATAAATTTTGTGGTTTATGCCGACAGCCTGAAATGTTTATGTACGACAGATATATTTTTCCAGAATTTAATTCCCCATACTTAAGTGTGCATATAACACATGAGTGCATTTAATACGCGAATAAATAAGTCTTGTGTACAATGATAAATCGGAAGGAGAGCTAATTGGGATTGTTCACTAACCAATATATTAGCAAATATCGCTGTGGGCGCTTATTATGTCAAATACGGTAATAACAAAAGATTCTAATTACTTCTCTGTGCAGATTCCTGCGTCATGTGCCAGTAGTGTATGTTGACTACCCTGGCGAGACCTCACTCAAGCAGATCTATGGAACCTTCAACCGAGCCATGCTGAGACTGGTCCCCAGCCTGAAGCCATATGCTGACCCTCTCACCAACGCCATGGTGGAGTTCTACATGATGTCCCAGGTAAGGAAGGAGTTTAAGTGAGTGAGTGAGTGAGTTTTGTTTAACGCCGCTTTTAACTGTATTCCAGTTATATCACGGCTTGTCAGCTTAATGTTGGAGGAAAGCCTGAAGTGATGCAGGTCTTAGACGTTTACCACTTCGGTGAAACCAACGAGCATGGGTATGGTGCTGACAAATCGGGGCAAACCCGGGATTCAAACCCACAATCATAGATTTCAGGCGTGCCCAAAGGACACAACTCTGCGCATCGAATTGCGGCGCCTTAGACGACTGGGCCACCTGTAGCGCCCCCCCCCCCCCCAAGGAGTTTAAGAGAACTTGGAAGTTGAATAGTATATTCAGACACCATTTAATACTGGAACAAAATTAACATATTCCTGTCCAAGCGTTCGTTGTTTGGTAGACTTCAACATGATGTCCCAAGTAAGGAAGGAGTTCAAGTGAACTTGGTGGCTACAGCATCTACGAATGCTTATCGGTCTGTATTGTATAGTGTACTACAGCTATGTACTCCAGTATCCTGTGTGTATTGCAGGAGAGATTCACGCAGGACATGCAGCCCCACTATGTGTACAGCCCCCGTGAGATGACCCGGTGGGTGCGAGGTATCTGTGAGGCACTCCGGCCACTGGAGACCCTTAGTGTGGAAGGACTGGTCAGGATCTGGGCCCATGAAGCTCTGCGACTCTTCCAAGACAGGTACCAATTACCGTTGTACCCTCATTAGAAAGTGGGGGACCCGTGAAGATTCCAGGGTAGAATAGGTCTTCAGCAACCCATACTTGCCGTAAAAGGCGGCTATGCTTGTTGTAAAAGGCGGCTAACGGGATCGGGTGGTCAGGCTTGCTGACTTGGTCGATACAGTCATCGATCCCAAATGCCTGGATCGATGCTCATGATGTCAATCACTGGATTGTCTGGTCCAGACTTGATTATTTTACAGACCGCCGTCATATAGCTCGAATATTGCTGAGTGTGGCGTTAAACAACAAACAAACAAACAAAAACAAAAGAAAGTGGGGATCCTGCAACATCCTGGACAAAGTAGCTTGTCACATTGGACCCTTTCTAATGTCTAGGTAGCAGTCTGTGACTCTTTATCATCAGCCCAAAGCCAATGTTTAGAAAGTTGCTTTTGATAGTATATGGAAGTATCATCTAATCTCAAACTGAGACTAAAAGTTACTGAAGTAATTCAAAGACATATGTTTGGTTTTGGCACAGACTTGGGTTGGTATACTATGATGTTGGTCTAATAAGACTTGAGATAGAGCACATAGCATAAAATTAGCAGATGACCCTGTATTGTTTATCTGCTTTTTTAGTTTTAGTTGAAAGTACTCAAAGAAGTTTTTGTCTGAGTGTAAATATAGTCCCTACAGCAGCATTTGAAAGTCATTTTGGTGAGGACCTAATTATTGACATTCTCTCAAGGTTGCCTTGTATTTAATGTTTTGTAAAATATTTCCAGATTGATCGAAGATGAAGAGAGACTGTGGACAGACCAGAATGTAGATGCTGTAGCTCTGAAACACTTTCCCAACATCAACCGTAATGAGGCCATTGAACGTCCTATCCTCTTCAGCAACTGGCTGTCCAAGGACTATGTGCCAGTTGACAGGGAGGCTCTCCGTGAATACACCAAGGCTAGACTCAAGGTCTGTGCTATATGAAGGTGGTCTGTTTTGATAGGAAAATATTTGATAGTAGTAAAATGGCTTACCACCATGTATGATGAACAAAATGATTTATTTCCAAAGATTTTAGGGCGGTCGGGTAGCCTTGTGGTTAAAGCGTTAGCTCGTCACACTGAAGACCCGGGTTTGATTCCCGACATGGGTACAATGTGTGAAGCCCATTTCTGGTGTCCCCCGCCGTGATATTGCTGGAATATTGCTAAAAGCGGCGTAAAAAAACAAACTCACTCACTCACTCCAAAGATTTTAAAGCTACTTTTACACTTTTTGGGAGGTTTGAAAATGATCTTTTCCAAGTGCTTACAATGCAAGTTTTCAGTCAAGAATTTGTTGTTAAATTTTAAGTTGTGCAGTAATGATATGTTCACTCTCTTCACTGTGATCAGTGAAGAATTAGTATTACTGATTAAATTGTTAATGAACAGTGCCCTGTTACACAGAGCAATCTTTGCATCAGGACAATGATAACTCCTTTCAACATGGACTTGCAGCAGTTGTAGCTCCAAGATTCTTTGTTAAAACTGGGCCCTGGACCTGGATTGAAATTGAAATGTGGTCAAATGATTCCTTCCCCTTGTCCTATAGATCTTCTACGAGGAGGAGCTTGATGTGCCCCTGGTTCTGTTCGATGAAGTCCTGGACCACGTTCTCAGGATTGACCGAATCTTCCGCCAGCCACAAGGTCATCTGCTGCTGATTGGTGTGAGTGGAGCAGGGAAGACAACTCTGTCGAGATTCGTAGCCTGGATGAATGGCTTGTCCGTGTACCAGATCAAGGTCCACAACAAGTACACAGCGTTTGACTTTGATGAAGATCTCAGGATCTGCCTCCGAAGATCAGGATGCAAGGTATAGAAGAATAAACTCTTTGATTGAATGATGGAATACTTTATGCAACCTCTGTTCTTTATATGGTCTCTAGCCCAAATAATAATGGATGACTAGTTCAGACCGGAGTGGAGTGGATTGGATCTGGCAACAGCTGTTCATATGAGACAATCTGACCCTACCCTGTAGAGAAACCATGTTATTCCAGAGTGTACCGTTCCCTAAGAAGTCGTCCAGATTGGCAAGTTCCTTACAGATCATAGTACTTTGCAATGCCCCTTTACACATATATACTACTCAAAAGAAGTAAAAGAACACCTGATTCTTTCATACGAGTAAAGTTAATCTGATGACAGGACAGGTTGACTATAGTTATATGAAAACATCAAGTGTTCTTGAACTTTTTTTGAGTAGTATAAATACATTCCTGACACTAGTTGTCCGGAAAGCAGCCTTTTGAGTTTCACAAGATTTTGCTGATTTTGATTTTTCATTGAGTGATATTGTATCCAGTCGTAAGATCATGATTTGTCAATGTGTACCACTTCTTCCACATCTGTTTACCTGACTCTGTATTGTCATTTCTTTCCCCACCAGGATGAGAAGATCTGTTTCATTATGGATGAATCGAATGTGCTCGACTCTAGCTTCCTGGAGAGAATGAACACCCTGCTGGCCAACGGCGAGGTCCCTGGTCTGTTCGAGGGAGACGAGTACACCACGCTGATGACCCAGTGCAAGGAGGGAGCTCAGAGGGAGGGCATGATGCTAGACTCCTCCGAGGAACTCTACAAGTGGTTCACACAACAGGTGAGGAGATGGCGAAATCAGGGAGCAAGTTTTACGTCATTTTCATTCCTAGCGGGCACTTTAACAATTTGTTTCTTTTATTTGAGAAATGAAAGTGTATTAATGCTATGGACAGCAAAAGCATTAGTTATGACAAACATGGCAGGGAATTTCATGAAGAATGGAACCCTAGGCCCAATTGTATGTTATATGTGAGGCAATGTATAAACCCTGTAACGCCTGACAGCAGCTTGGGTTGTATACTCCCCAGGGAGTTGAGAATGATAACTAGAATGCAAATGGATCCACTGGTCGGAACTAATAAACCGCATTTGAGCAGATACAAGTACCTGGATAAGTGCGGAATATCCATGTATAACATAATTTTAAAAAAGAGGGGGCTTCAGCCTAGACCTGTCTGATGTTGTAGGTGTTGATCAATGCTAACATCGACCATTGCTTTTGGTCACTTTGCAGACCACTTTGATATGTATGTAATGTTGTCAACAACACCATCCAGTCTCTGATGTAAATGCATCCTCTGTGTATCTGTAGGTGATGAAGAACCTCCACGTTGTGTTCACCATGAACCCGTCATCGGAGGGACTAAAGGACCGAGCCTCCACTTCCCCTGCTCTGTTCAACAGGTAAATGTTGTGCTGCTTACACTCCCCCTCCCTCTCCTTTGGGAGTCTGAGGATTTCATCATCCCTTCTGGCTGGTCCAGTCATTTAAGGCAGCACAATTTTCGTTTCATAGTTACGTGCCTAAATCGTCATTAGGTGTGCCAGTTTGCTGGGTTTGTCAGCACCATTCCCAGGCTTGGGGGTTTCACCAAAGTGAGTAAACACCTGAGACCTGCATCAAATCGGTCTTTCCTCCCACTTAAAGCTGACACACTGGAATACTGTACAAAGTGGTGTTAAACCAAATTCACTCACTCACTCATTATCCTTCTCTAAAATAAAATTAACAGTGTATTGTGTGTTTTTTGTTGGATAGTTATAATGTGCATTGTAAATATTTTCATCACTATCTTCAGATGTGTCTTGAACTGGTTCGGTGACTGGTCCAATGGTGCTCTCTTCCAAGTCGGACGGGAATTCACAAACAAGATTGATCTGGAGAAGGCAAATGTGAGTACCATCTCATCAGATATCTCATCACTGTTATCAAATCAAGATGTCAGAGCAAAACATTCACAGCTCTACACTGGCATAATACATTAAACCAACATTTGGTTGGACTGACTATCACCATAACCAATTCAATTTTACTCATTCTCTATTACACTGCTTATGTCATCATCTTTGGCTAAAAACAAGCTGCATCAAACCATTTGATTTTTGCTATAACTGTTAAGATGTATGCATTGACATCAGATTCTCAAACTTTTGCAAACATTCAAAATGGTCATTTGCCCCGACCAGTATTTCACATGGCGTTGCCAAGTGATTTAGATATTTCATCATGTGAGAATTGAGTGAGTATTGTGATGTGTGATGCAACTGAACTGTATCATCATGAATCGGTGTCCTCCTATCATCTACAGTATGTGCCTCCTAACATGATGCCCTGGGCGTGTGAAGAGCTGCCCCAGCCTCCGTCTCATCGTGATGCAGTTGTCAACTCCTTCTGCTTCGTCCACAACTCCCTGCACCAGGCCAACACAAGACTGGCTAAGAGAGGTGGGAGAGTCATGGCCATCACACCACGACACTACCTCGACTTCATCAATCACTTTGTGAGTACTCCCAACCTAGGCTCTAGTCCAGGTCTCATTAACATGTCCCTGTTAGAGGTGACCGAAGAACGATTGGGTGGACAAAATGACTACAGGTCATTGTAGTGAATCTTCTTGTATGAGAGCCGACAGTAATGGGGAAACTGGTTTTCCGTATCTCTTTCTAAATCCCTTTTGATCTTGTCATTTGATTTCTGCACGAGAAATGATGCTTGATATCCCATGCTTGTCATCAGAGGCAACTTGGATTAGGGTCAGGTGCTTGCAATGTGTGACATGGCTGATTGTCATCTCATCTCAACATTGTGGATTGTCGCTCATGTTCTCAATGACTTCCCTTACCCACATTCAGTTATTACAAGTCACAGTGATATGTGGAACATTGGAGACTGCCGCATATGGTGGACCCATTATTGTTTGACCCGTGAAGATCTTCTTAGAAAAGGTTTTCGACAACCCATGCTTTCCGTCAAAGGCGACTAAAGGATGCATGACATCGTATCCCTATTGCGTGGATCGATGCGCATGATCTCAATCACTGGATTGTCTGGTCCAGACTCAATTATTTACAGACCACCGTCATAGCTGTAATATTGCTGAGTGGGGCGTTAAACAACAAACAAACAAACAAACAAACAGTATTGTTTGTCTGGGTGAGGTACAGTGTGATGTCATGCTGCTGACTGCTGTGTTGTACCCTTGTGACTGCAGGCCAAGCTGTACCAGGAGAAGCGGTCCGACCTGGAGGAGCAGCAGCTCCATCTCAACGTGGGTCTCCAGAAGATCCGGGAAACTGTGGACCAGGTGGAGGAACTACAGAAGTCGCTGTCCATCAAGCGTATTGAGCTGGAGGAGAAGAATGCTGCTGCCAACGCCAAACTCAAACAGATGGTAAGTAGAGTCCTGGGGTCCTCCGACCCGTAAAGATTCTGGGGTAGAATAGGTCTTCAGCAACCAATGCATGCCGTAAAGGGTGACTATGCTTGTCGTAAAAGGCGACTAACGGGATCGGGAGGTCAGGCTTGCTGACTTGGTTGATGCTTGTCATCGATCCCAATTGCGTGGATCGATGCTGATGATATTAATCACTGGATTGTCTGGTCCAGACTCGATTATTTACAGACCACCATCATATAGCTGGAATATTGCTGAGTGTGGCGTTAAACAACAAACCAACCAACCTGGGGTCCTCCATACACTGTGCTGGACTAAAGTAGGGGTCAGATGGTTACAGCTGTAACCTGGTTAATTGTGCTGCAACCTTTCCTCATGTGTGGATCTCGGCTCATGTCTCCAGCCACTTGTTTGTGTCAGTCCTGGGTGCCATTGTACAAAGCGACCTTAGCGCTAAGACTTGCCATAGACTTCTGACAGCCGTAGTGCTTAGGCTGTTTTGTACAACGGCACCCTTTTCCATAAAGAGACTTCAACTGTCGTACGTCTATGTTAAAGCATGGGAGTTACGATCATCTTAGCACTAAGATCACTTTGTGGTATCGGAAACAGGTCCGTTCCACAAAGCTATCGTAGCGCTAAGATGATCGTAACTCCAATACTTTAACATAGAGTTATGACTGTTGTTGCGCTGCGATCGCTTTGTTGGACAGGGCCCTGGTCCAGACAAAATTATGTAATGGTCACAACAAAGAAGCTGTAATACTGAATCAGGCAAGACACATTAACTCTCATTACTCACACCTCGGTGCCAAAAGGCTTTTGTTCAGTTCCCAACATTGGTACAGGGCCATCGTCTTCCAAAACAGCGTGAGACCCAATTCATTCTGAATCATGTTCCATTTGTCCAAGTTTGGGGGTCCACCTAATGATAATAATAATTCCTCTCTTACATCATAGCCATAAATTCTGCATTTTGGCTGTCATCACACCATACGACAGGAATAATGGTGAAAGTATTATGAATCCTAACTCACTCTTTCACTCTAGTCTTCAATGGTGGCGAGACCCGCCTCCATGATCGAGTAGATGGAGCATCTGCCAAGAGAGCAAAAGGTTTGTGGTTGATCACCGACCACATCATAAAAGAATTAAAAGTTGGAACTTGTTACCCTACCTGGTGTTTGGCATTAAGGAACTAAAACGAGGACTGTGAGGCTCAAAGTCTATATTCTGTCTGAGTGGGGTATCCATGTTAAACTGTGGCATGGCATCTCAGTGGGCTGAGACCAACATAAGTCCGGACAAGTACAAGCAGACACACACGCACACGCACACGCACACACACACATGCCCGTTGCAATGTAATTGCAATGATCTTGAGCGCGGCATTAAACCCCATTCCACCCCGCCTCCATACTGACGTAGCTGGGATGTTCCGACAGGTGAAAGACCAGCAGGAAGCAGAGAGGAAGAAGGTGACGTCCCAGGAGATCCAGCAGGCCCTCATTGTGCAGACCAAGAACATCAACGAGAAGAAGACCTTCGTGAAACAAGATCTAGCCCAGGTGGAACCTGCAGTCATTGAGGCCCAGGCGGGTAAGTGGGGCTATCGTGTGGGCTGGGTTGGGGGATGCAGACACTGTGCCTCAAGCAATTGTATACTACTTAAAGGCAAGACTTAAATACTCTTGATTAAACAAAACACTTGCCTCTTTTTCCAATCTAGTTAATGTGGGGGTTTGTTCTAGCAATTTGAAGACAAATATATACTTTTGATAAACAAGAATTGTTGCCTGTGTTGCTCCAATCTGGATCGTAATTAGGTTTGGGGGTTGAATTTGAGTAGTTTTGTAGTATTTGAAAACGGAAAATTTAATCCTGTTTTTAACGTGTAACCTATTTTGATCCAATCTGGATGTGGGGTTTGATAAGTTAGATATTCCCTGGTGTATACTCAACCTCACAATCCTTCCTTGGTAACTAGGTGCTGGGTGGATAAGCCCTGTTATCACCCACCTTCCTGGGCTTATGCATGTGTATTGTAATGTGTGTGAAGTGCACTAGCCTTGTTGATGTTGTGACTGTAACGGATAGCTTACCATTTCTGAATTTTAAAAACAAGAACTCGACAAACAAATATGAAGTCAGTCTTGTCTCTTGACAAGGAAAAAGGTAAAGATGAATATAAATGAAAGCTATTTCAAAATTAATAGTGTTTTCTTAAATGACTTGTGTTAAAGTTTGACTATATTCCACAAGGCTATTGCATGTGATGGACTACTATGAAGATATGCACTCCTAATGACACAATGATGTAGATTTAATGTTGAGAGTGTGCTATGTGTGTTTCTCATAGTGTTGCATTTCTTTGAGGTTTGTAGTAGATGGAATTTATTTTCTAGTATTTTAATCATTTTGCAATCTCATTAACATCAGATCTAAGTTCGCTAAACAAAGATCTGAGGACACCCCATTACAGGTCACGTCAGAACGACCTTTCGCGAACTTTGACCGACTAACCTTGAAATGACTAACAAGAAGTCAACATCAGCCAATTAGAAAGCAGCTTCCTCGAGCTTTACGGCATTCGTTCAACCTGGCGACTTCCATTTCAGACTAAAGATATGTCGACACAGTTCTCGATTAAAATTTTTAAAACTGAACAAATGAACATTCCGGTATTTCTATTATATGGTTAAGATTGTATGGCAGTGCTTCCCACGTACTGTGCAACGCTGCCCCTGTTCAAATGTTTATCCCACGGATGCTAGAGATAGACGATAATTTCGACGGAATCAGTCGTACAGGCCGTAACTGTCGTTCGAAATACCTTGTGTTAACATTTTCGAGTTTGCACAATTAGAAAACACAATCCAACTGTCACTTTCATGATCTGGTAAGCCACGCTCTGATTGGTCGGATGAAACGTCGCTCTGACGTGACCCGTAATGGGATGTCTTCAGATCTTTGTTTAGCAGTAGCGAGAACTAAGATCTAATTTTAATGAGATTGATCATTTTGAGATGGCTATCAAGGTTTGTTTTTATTGTAAATACTCTTTTTTTTTAACTGTGCCATTTTTTGTTTGGTGAAGATGTAGTCTTTAACAGTGCTCCTTGTAAAAGTTGTTTATGAAAACACCCTACACCAGTGAGTGCCCCCCAGGAAGCCCCCCATGACCAACTTCTAGACCAATATTTAAATACTCTTTAGAAGCATCTAGTCATCTGAGGCTCTGCAATTTGCTGTGCAGAGTTGCCTCCCTTGGCGTGCCAGAAACCTATAATTATGGTTCAAATCCCGGTTTGCCCCCATTATGTTTCTTGTTTGGTCACCGCCATAATAGTGCTTGTGGCTTTCACCAAAGTGGTAAACAGAGAATTCAGAATTGCATTTTGGTCTAAACTTTATGCTTTGCATTATAAACCCAAAAGTGATGATCAACAATTACCAAACAATTATTGATCAATCATGGGAGTTAGCTAGCTTAAATGTCACCATATAATAAAACAGTATGCACTGGCTACTGATGGTGTTTCTGTCTGAAAAAGGAAACATTGCATGAAGTTCAGATACAAAATGTAAGATCAACTACAGCTATAGAATTGGCACTAGTCCTATAACCCTTGCGAAACTACCCAAGGACAAGTAGAAATTTGCCCTTTAAAGGTTTTGCCATGTTATCACAAGGACTAGTGGACTAAAATGTTGGTTTCTATTGCTGAATTCTCTACAAGGAGCATTGTTCTTTTAATGGTTATTGTAGCTCACCTGCTTTGCACCATTTTGTTGCATTCCTTCCCTCCTTATTTCCGTTTAGCGGTGAAATCCATTAAGAAACAGCACCTTGTTGAGGTCCGATCCCTGGCTAACCCCCCTGCAGCTGTCAAGTTGGCTGTTGAATCCATTTGTGTTCTATTGGGAGAGGGAGAACTCGACTGGAAAGCACAGAGGAGCATTTTGATGAGAGATAATTTCATATCGACTGTAGTAAACTTCAACACAGATGATCTGGCGTAAGTTACTAATTAAGGAGTATATAATGATTGTATATTGTGAGAACAGGTGAAGACAGACCAGGGTTGTCCTGAAAAGAGCTGTATGAAAGCAGTAGACTTCACAAGAACCAAGTTTGAAGAATAGTTTCAATTTCCACAAGCTGGGGTTGTGGTAAAAAAATCTGGTTTAGTTCTGTGCGTGTCAATATTTTCAAGATTTTAACAGAAAATTATTCCTTGAAATTCTGAGCTTTCATTCTAATTTAGGCTTCTGGTGAGAAAACTTTCATGGCCAAAGGAACCAAAGATTTATTTTTAGCTGCTGGCATGGACCAGCTGAATGACATCCTACCGATTTAATCTTAATGACACTCGTTGGCTCTGCAATTTGCTGTGCAGAGTTGCCTCCCTTGGCGTGCCAGAAACCTATGATTATGGTTCAAATCCCGGTTTGCCCCGATTATGTTCCTTGTTTGGTCACTCGTTTCTATGTATGTTTAAGAATTGTGACTTACCCTGCTCTGTCTTCGTCTGTTTTTACCTCCATGATTTCCTTATGCTAATGGCCTTGTTCCCTTGCCATGCTGCGTATAGCTGTGAAATCGATCAAGAAGCAGCACTTGGTGGAGATTAGGTCAATGGGCAACCCACCGCCAGTAGTTAAACTTGCCTTGGAGGGTATTTGTTTGTTGCTGGGTGAGAACACGACTGACTGGAAAGCTATCCGAGCTGTGGTCATGAAGGACAGCTTTATCACAAATATTGTCAACATGAAAACTGATGACATCTCGTAAGTTGAAACAAGACTCTTGTAGAGAAGAAGCTGAAACTAAGACATGCTAAGCTGTAGTTTAGTGATCAAAGCAAAAAAACAGCCATGTTGAATAAAGGCGGAAGATGTGTGGTCATTCCAAACATTTCGCAAAATTGAAAAACAAATTCTTCTCCCAGTTTTTCTCTCTCAAGTGGAATGGTGTTCAAAATTGGCAAAAAAACAATTGATTTGTCCCATAATCAAATGCTGCAGACATTGAACCTTTTGATTGTCCAACTCTCCCCTGAAATCAATGGTTACCTTTTTTTTGCAATTGTAAAATTCGCAAAGTATTCATGTACAACCACCAAGGTTGAATGTAAAAAGCATGTACAATGTCCTGATATTAGGATCCATTCACTTAGTACAGTACATTCCATCTGACACAGTTTCACTTTCTTCTTGCCGAGAATCTTTGTTGATATTGTGTGTGTTGAGTCATTTTCAGGTATTGCAGGTGCATCTCCTATCAAGGGGCTGGTGAATGTTTCAGATAGGATTACAAAACTTAGTTCTGCAGATTTATTGAGGATGCTGTGTTAGCATAGCAGTTAAAGCTTCGGCTTGTCATGCTGAAGACTTGAGTTTGATTCTCTGCATTTATGCTGCAATGTGTGAAGCCCTTTTAGGTGTCCCCACTCTGATATTACTGAAATATTGCTTGAAGTGGCATAAGTCCATACTCACAGGCTGGTATATCTTAAGTGCCACAATTATGTCCATAGTTTTGATTTCAAATGACACAAGATGACATTAGACAACAACAACCTAAAATCTAAACAAAACTTCATTCAGGAACAATGTTTCCCTTCAAAATTGATTTCAAATGACACAAGACGACATTAGACATCAACCTAAAATCTAAACAAAACTTCATTCACAAACAATGTTTCCCTTCAAAATTGATTTCAAATGACACAAGACGACATTAGACATCAACCTAAAATCTGAACAAAAATTCATTCACAAACAATGTTTCCCTTCAAAATTGATTGACAAAACAGCAGAAACACTGGAGTGATTTTTTTTTTCTCACTTTATCTCCCCTGTATCCATGACTACAAAATGACAGCAATTTACTGTAGTATGTAGAAAATAGGATCTACAGGTACAAACGATATCAATGACTGCCAGACACTTTAGCTCCCAATATATAGAGGATGTTATATTCGTGTTCATGTCATACTATGTTTACGACACATGTGTCTAATACTGGAATTTAGGCACAAGTGTTGTAAACATGGTATGACATGAACACTTTTATTTTGTTCTATTTATTACCGAAGAAGATGTCTACATACAGAGACAAATTTTAGTGTTTACCTATAAGTACAACAAGTTGCAACAGCAGCGGAACCACAATTTGTCGAATGACGTCAACAAACTTCAGCTATGATGTCCTTTCTAGTGTGACGTCATTCCGACCTCACGTCACAATAAGATTCGAATGATGTCACCAATGCTGTCTGGATGACAGAAACAATACACTGTTGTCTCGTGATATGACCCTAGGGCACATATGATTTTGATGAACCCCAATATGTTTGCCCTGGTAGGTAATAAATCGCAATATGTACTGCAGTATAGATACCTGTATCACGATATACTGCTACACAAATCTTTGCCATTACACAGCCTTACGGTTTGCTTGTAGTGATGACATCCGTAGCAAGATGAAGTCCAAGTACCTGGCCAACCCTGAATACAACTATGAGAAGATCAACAGAGCCAGCTTGGCCTGCGGACCTATGGTTAAATGGGCCATTGCTCAGGTGAGCCTTCAGGGTCATGAACAGTAACAGTGCTGTGCAAGTTGATAGAAGCCTTGTAGAAAGTACATGTAGAAATATTTGTACTTGTTTAAAGTATATGTTGGGCCACAAAAATTATAAGATTTCCTTAAAAAAATTAAACATTTTTTCCCAATGTAACAAATGTTATATTTGGGACAACACTTTCTTAGTAAAGGACAGATTCCAGTTCTTTTTTTGGGTTGAGTCCCAGAGGAGTACACAAAGTATGTGATCTAGACTGCCAGTTGTCAGACTTTCATTTTTGTGGAAGCCTCGGTGGCTGAGTGGGTTAGATCACTGACTTTGTGTGCTGGCGATTAGATGCCTCACTCTGCAGTGCTGGTTCCAATCCTGGATGAGACTAAACTAAAAAAAGTACTAGCATCATTACTTTACTAAGAAAGTGTTATCCCAAATATGACATTTTTTACTTATCCTGCATTACTCCTTAATGCATTCACTGCTTACTTACGACAACTAGAAGGACAGCGCTGCGAAGGTCCTGGGTGAAGAAATAAAGTTGTTGTTCTCAAGTCCCAATCAGTGGCCTTCCGTCGCTGTCCTGTGACCTTGATGACACCTAAGGTCATCTTCACATCACTGCTTGTCGCAGCACAGCTAGGACGTGTCCAAGCGGAGCTCTCCTTTTGGATTAATTTTAGACCTTCAGTTTGTCTACAATCTTAAAAATTGATCTGCGATGGGTGATGTATTCTTTTCATATTACTTTCACCATGTTGTGTAGTTTTATGTGAATTAATTAGGCGTGAAAAGACGCTTGTCTTTTTTCCCGCCAAAATATTGTTGTTCGCCGCCATTTTGAATTGTGTTACAATCGTTTGCCTGCCAAGGTAGTCATATTGTTTACAATTCTCAGCTACGTATGTATAACATATTCTTATGTTCTTAAATATTACTAACTTTGGCGTAACAGTGAGTTGCGTATACTAAAATTATTGTATACTTTTTCAACTCGTTAAAAATATGGTTGCCGATAGATTAATATCAAATCTACGGCTTTCTTCCAGTCCCGCTTCATCAACAATTCTTTTATTGCGTACCTATGTTTATGCTATTAAATAGTTTTTTGTTGGTATTTTTGGTTTTACATTGAGTTGCGTATATGAACTATTGTATACTCTTGCAACTCGTAGTTTTTGCCGATAGATTATTGTTCAATTCTATGGCATTCTTCCAGTACCGCCTCATCAACATTGGCGTAATTGTGTTTAATTTAAACATATTTTATTGACATATATGGTCAACGGGATTGGGCAAAAGTTATCCAACTTAGGTGGCCCTTTCCCTACTCTATATGTACAGACATTGAATATACATATATATATGTAATTGTGTAACTTATGATTGAGCGTGGGGAAAATCTTACAAAGATTATCATCCACGTTGTTTGGTTTGCGCGCAGATGTGCTCTCCAAACCCTAAATGAAAATATAAATACCCTTGGTTTACATTGGGTTGCGCATACAAAAATATTGTATATCCTTGCAACTCATAAATTTGCCGATAGATTAGTGTTCAAATTCTTCGGCACTCTTCCAGTATTATCTCATCAACAAGGGTTTCATTGCGTAACATACCTTTGAGCATTTTACTAATTGTCGTGGAAAAAACCTTACAAGATTATCATCCACGATTGGTTGGTTTGCGCGCGGATGTGCTCTCCAATCTCTAAATGTAAATAGCCTTGGTTTACATTGAATTGCGTATATAAAAATATTGTATACCCTTGCAATTCATATTTTTGCCGATAGATTACTGTTCAATTCTACGGCATTCTTCCAGTACCATTTCTTAAATGGTTTAATTGCGTAACATAATTATGTTTTCTCGGTGTACATATTGTCGTGGAATAATCGCCCAAAGCTCTTTATCCATATAAAAGCAGATTACTCACAATCATATTTTGCAGTTATTCCGTCGTGAGACGAGAGGAATGTCACTATCGCAGAATAGCGAATGACATATGGTTCTGTCATTACCACCCAACCGTTATTATCGGCAGGTATTATGACGACTGTGATTGCAGAAGTACACCATCCACCGAAATCAACAATACCGGAGGATTTTGTGAGTATCGTAACTGCTCCTATTTTTTCAGCCGCCGGACACTTCCAGATACATGTATGATAATCTGTGACGTCGGCGACAGCACCAGCGTATCGAGATGCTATGATGGGGGTAGATTAGACACAAGCCTTGATCCAGTCAATACTTTTGAGCTTTGTGTCTGATTTATCTGCGCCGAGCGCAGCACTTGACTACAACCCAAGCACTTCTATTACGCAAGCGGCGCACGATCAGCTTAGCGCTGTTCCAACATATCCAGCATAGACCTGCGCCGAGCGCAGCGTCTGACTGATACCCAAGCGCTCCTATCACGCCAGTGACGCACGATCAGCTTAGCGCTGTTCCAACATTCCAGACCTGCGCTGAGCGCAGCGTCTGCGTATCAATCAAGGTCTCTACAATGACGTTAGCCCAAGGCTTACAGTGTACTCGGTTACGTAACCGGCACATGATCAGCTTAGCACATGTACCCGATTGGGAAGCAGACCATCTCGTGTCAGTAACGCCCTCCCCTGATAACAGGGTAAATAAGAGGGACACCACGAGGTCATTGGAGGAAGCCTTCTCCAAAACTCACATTTGCTCCGTGATTTAAGCGACCAATATCGTCAATGTTTGCAGTGGATCAGAATCTATTAGAGGATAACCCTATCTGATTAGATCACTTCCAAACTAAGGTGTTTTTCCTACAGCGTCAGTTTGACCACAGGAAAATTCATCTTGAGACCGTTCTGACGGTGATTACCGTTACACCCAAGACTTTATAGCGTTTCCAACTGAGATGCTGGTTTCAAGGGCAGTCTATTACGTCAACCTTGATCATCTACTCCCCTGTTCAACGAACAGATCGCAGACACGCACGTCAAGTTCCCAAAAAGCTTGGAAAGTCCAAGTCAGGGAATTATAAGCCTAGACGCGCGTTTCTCAGGGAAGACCAGCATTCCCTTACTGAGAAAGGGAGTGGCAGAGACAAGTCTCAAGGACGATTTCGTACTTATCGCACTATATCATGGTGTCCGTATAAGGGTAGAGTTAACCCCACCGTTGACCACAGTTTGATTGGGAAAATCCAACATAGACATACTGTTGGTAAGAAGAGCTGTAGAGTGGGTTCACAACCCAGTCTTTACTCCGGGGTTTTATCCTCACACCTACCTGGTACTCATGAAGGACCCAGACAAAATGAGAATGATCCACAATCTCTGTGTTCAACGAACGTTTGATTCTTCATCAGTCTCGACTATCCATCCCAACCGTAGACTTTTCAGGTCCAGTTCATTGGGGTTCACTACCAATGGTAGTATTTCCCATTTGACATGTCAGTGACACTTATGACTATTTACAGGAGTAATGAAGCCAATAACTATCTACACGTGACGAACACTTGGTTCGAGTCGTAGATGGAGGGCGATCTACTGTATCATCAACACATGTCAATAACTGGGATAGACAATCAACGAGGCGAAGTCGGGAGTATTCTCCTTCCTATTGACTTCAGTTCATAGGAGACCTGTTTAAGACAGACCAGGATATCCTATCTGTACCGAGGGACAGATGGCACAAGTTTCTACTTCTTTTGTCATCTACTCTACACCAACCACACACACTTCGCCAGTGGCAAGTGTTGCTAGGGTTAATCACCTCGGCACAGGAGTTAACTAGCATGGGCCGCTTACAACAGCGACCAATTCAATTTTTTTCCTGAACCCTTACATCAGGAGTCAGGATCCACTCAAGGCCATCACTCTACCAACTAAGCTAGAGCCTCAATTTGTGGCGCTGAATGTCTGCGGAGTCTGTTTATTCGGATTTTCCCCGAATACACACCTGTTTGTGGACGTCCCCTTTCAGGGGTGGAGTCTTCACTTACAAGACCAGATAAGCTCAGGGCTATGGCCCGGCGCACAATGGAAGTGACACATAAACAACTTGGAGTTGGAAGCTTTAATTCTGGCTATATCACATTGGCAGAATCAACTACAGTTAGCCCGACTCGCTATATCCACAGACAACAGCACTGTGGTGTGGTGCCTGTGCAATCGGGGAACAACACATCTAAGGACATTCAGATTTCTTCCATCTAGTGGATCGGCTGTGACTAAGGTTCATAGTTCAGCACATCCCCGGATGTAGAAACATACTGGCCGATACTTTATCACGTCCAGACAGGGTGGCTCCCACTGAGTGGAAATTTCTCACAGAAGCATTCCAGTTACTGCTTCAGGAATTCAGGCAACCAAACATTGACTTGTTTATTACTTGCCTAGGCCACCAACTCATGACGTATATCTCCCCGTTGCCGGATCCGCAGACTTGGGCGGTGGACGAGTTCAGTATCACTTGGGAAGGGCAAAGAACTAAAACTCTTCTGCCACCACTTTTACTTCCCAAGGTGCTACAGGGGATCAAGGAGACAAGGTATCTCGATCTCTCCTTTGGTCGCACCATGGTAACCGGCGAGAGGGTAGTTCGTCAAGCTCGGAAAAATCTAAAACGATTCACTTCCCCTCTCACAGTGGTCCAACCTACTCATCCACCCTCAACAGAAAATTGCCTCACCCAACGTCTACACGCATGGTTCGTCTTTAAAAGGCGTTTAGGTGCGAAGGGTTATTTCGACACGGGCAGCAAAGCTATAGCTTTAGTTCATCGTTACTCTCCCAGAGACGACGATGACAAGTGGGGATCACTTGAGACTTTTTACAGGGAAGAAAAGAATCAAGACCCTACGATTGCGTCACAATTCCTAGAGGAATACCTCCTACATTGCGTACCCAAAAACACTTGGAAGGTAGCACCATTACTACGTAATTGGCTGCAATTATCTTAGTGTTGGCCGTTTCCGGAAAATCACAGTGTGATTAAGGTCACGGAACTACAGGCCATATTATGCTCATTCAGGTTTGAGGATCAGAAGGCCAAGTTCCAGCCACCTGATTGGGACTTGAACGTGGTACTTCAAGGTTTGCGAGGGCCCCCTTCGAGCCCCTCATTGCATCCTCATTTTCAAGCTCCTTCCCAGCGCGTGACACCTTCGTTACACTCTCGGTATAGTATAGAGAGCTCCGCGAACAGGCTATCGCTGTGAGGAGCTTGGACATCACCAAGGAAACAATGGTTTCTCTTGGCATTAGCAATGGCGGTACGGGTGAGCGAACTACATGTGGTCGACTCAACCCGGATCCGTTTTGAGCATGGGACGCACGGAACAGGACATCTAGGGTTATGCTGGGATTTTATTGCTAAAATCTACTACCAGGCCAACCCGACCGTTCTTCACCATCCCACCGATATCGACTATTGTGGGAATCGTACATGGTGAAGTTCTCCTGGGCTCGGTGCGAGCAGTTCGAGTTTTCATTCGACGCTCCAAGACAAGGCGTGGTTCGTCCACGACAGAAGTTAGTCGCATAATCGCAAACACCATATCTATATGGTTACGCGTAGTAATCCTTCAGGCCTACGAGATCATCAAACGGAACTCGCCGAGAGCGAATTACCCTCAAGATCTCAAGGTGTCAGCCTTACCAGGGCTCAACACGGCAATTGTGGTTTTGGAACAATCACGGAAGGATATTTCTGGAGATTCGACACATATTTTCGTTAGTCATAACCTTCGCGTTGTGACTCTCGAGGATGTCAAAGACGTTCGAAGTTTGGCCCTCTGGTTGTTATCCTGCAGATTGCCAACCACTGACGCAAATAATGAACTCGCCCTATACAGAGCCAGTCAACTTCCATGTGCAGTCACTCAGTCGCCACCAGTGGAAGAATATTAGACAATCTTGTTTGTCAGCGACGGCTCTATGACGCAGTAAGTAAAGAATTAGCTGAATAGCTATTATTTTCTTTATTACTAAGCGTGTATAGGGAATTTCTCTTTAATTCCTATGTTCAATGTTTCTGATTTTTGAACAACCCTACCGTAATGGCGTTTTTGTCTGAACTTTTCCGCTTCACGGTTTATCGACCAAATGGGGTCGTATTGCAGGGTGTGAATTATTGAGGTTTCTGTATTCTGAAGGTTGACCCACCTCCAAACCGTCCGATACAGATGCATTAAGGAGTAATGCAGGATAAGTAAAAAATTTAGTAAAATCTAAATATTTTTTACATTTGTATACTTATCCTGCATTACTACGCTTAAGGCCCACCCGTCGTTAGACTTGCCTCCCCACTTTGGCTTCAGAAACCTCAAAAGTATGTTTTTCTAAGAACTTGGGCGACAGGCAGTGATGTGAAGATGACCTTAGGTGTCATCAAGGTCACAGGACAGCGACGGAAGGCCACTGATTGGGACTTGAGAACAACAACTTTATTTCTTCACCCAGGACCTTCGCAGCGCTGTCCTTCTAGTTGTCGTAAGTAAGCAGTGAATGCATTAAGGAGTAATGCAGGATAAGTATACAAATGTAAAAAATATTTAGATTTTACTAAATTTGTTACATTTGGCCACTTTCTAAATGACATTGAGTATTCATTTCTTCCCATGTTCAAAGATCCATTGCTAGATGTTTTCATGAATGCTAAAGGATGGTGGTGTAGCCTTGTGGTTTAGGCGATGGTTCATGATGGTGAGGACCCAGGTTAGACTTTCCACTGTGTACAATGTCCATGTTGTGAAATGGGGGGAACGCTGCTAAGAGCAGCATGAATACCTCACTAGACCTATGAAAATCTGGGGTAGAATAGATCTTCAGCAACCCATGCTTGCTGTAAAAGGCGACTATGCCTGTCTTAAAAGGTGACTAACTGGATCAGGTGTTCAGGCTCACTGACTTGGTTGATGCAGGTCATCGATCCCACATTGCAAAGATCGATGTTCATGATATCAATCACTGGATTGACTGGCCCAGGCTCGATAATTTACAGGCCGCCGTCATATAGCTGGAATATTGCTGAGTGCGGTGTTAAACAACAAACAAACAAACCAACTTTCCCTCTCATTCACATAGCAATGCATCCATTACTGTTGCAGATCAACTATGCAGAGATGTTGAAGCGTGTGGAGCCCCTGAGGAACGAGCTGCAGGCTCTGGAGGACCAGGCCAAGGAGAACCGCATGAAGGGCGAGGAGGTGAACAAGCTCATCATCGACCTGGAGGGCAGCATCTCCAAATACAAGGAGGAATACGCCCAGCTCATCAGTCAAGCCCAGGCCATCAAGGCAGACCTCGCTGCTGTCGAGGCCAAGGTCAGTACTAGCACCTGTTTGTCATTTCAAGAACAGACCGGCCGCCTCCGTGGTCTAGAGGTAGAGTGTCCGCCAGGAGAGCGGAAGGTCCGGGATTCGATACCCGGCCGCATCATACCAAGAGACGTTAAAAGATGGTACTTGTTGTTACCCTGTCTGGTGCTCGGCATTAAGGGGCTAAAACAAGGACTCGTCAGTATACTGTGTCTGAGTAGGGGTATTCATGTTAAACTGTGGCATGGTATCTCGGTGGACTAGCACTATAAATCGGCATCAGTCCCGACTAGTACAAGCAGCCAACTAGTACAGCGTGTATGCACGTCGCTATATATGTGCAATAATCTTGCACATGACATAAAACCTTACCTCAAGAACAGACTGCCTCCATGGTCTAACTGATAGAGCATCTGCTTTGAGAGTGGAAGGACTGTGGTGTCATCCCCGTCTGTGTCATACCAGAAGACCCGTGAAGATTCCGGGGTAGAAAAGGTCTTCAGCAACCCATACTTGCCGTAAAAGGTGACTATGCTTGTCGTAAAAGGCGACTAAAGGGATCGGGTGGTCAGGCTCGCGGACTTGGTTGATGCATGGATTGCGTGGATTGCGTGGATCGATGCTCATGATATTAATCACTGGATTGTCTGGTCCAGACTCGATTATTTACAGACTGCCGTCATATAGCTGGAATATTGCTGAGTGAGGCATTAAACAACAAACCAAACCAAACCAAAAATCATACCAGAAGGTATGAAAAGATGGTTTTTGTTGTTACCCTGCCAGGAGCTTGGCATTATTGGGATGAAAGAAGTACTTATCAGCGCGGAGTTGGTATAATGTGTGTGAGTGGAGTATCCATGTTAAAACTACGGTCAATGCTTTTGTTTTTTCAGAAGGTACTATTGTTGCATGTACATTTTGTGATCATTAATGTAACTGTTTCAGGTTGAAAGATCTGTCGCTCTTCTGAACAGCCTTAGCAGTGAGAAGCAGAGATGGGAGGCAGGCAGTGAGACCTTCAAGAACCAGATTGCTACCATTATCGGAGATGTTCTCCTGTCGTCTGCTTTCATGGCATACGGAGGTGAGCTGGAACAATTTCATGAAAAGCCTACTTGATATAAACAGCTTTGTTCCTCACAGCAACCTTAGCCCTAGGTTTGTCTGAATTTCAATGTTTTAAGAGACTTCAATATCCTTTTCTGGAGCTGGGTTCAGACTTTTAAGCTTATTTCTTATGATGAAACGATCTGATCTACCCGTGCTGATTGGATGCACAGATTGCAGTGATCTCAGGGTCTCAGGTGCCACAAGTCATTTTGTAGAGTTGTGCCCCTTAGTTATGCTGAATCTGCTGTTTTGGGAATGGAATAGCAGATTCACCCTGATTTGTTGCACCCACAGTGGCAGATCCAGCGTGGGGGTTCTGGGTGTGGTCACACACCCCACATCCAGCTCCCTTTTTTTCACATCTGATGACCTTTTGTATGCGCATTAATAATTGTTTACATGGTGTTTATGATATTTGGGGTAGGCTTTTGGACTCTCTTCTCTCTGCCCCCACATACACACACACCCTTAAGACCCAACTTACTCCCTCCCTCCCTCACTGTGTTGATCATGCTATGCTGCTGCTGTTCCAGGTTACTTTGACCAGTCCATGAGACACAACCTGTTCACATCGTGGTGCACGCATCTACAGAAGGCCATGATCCTCTTCAGGAATGACCTGGCCAGAACAGAGGTAACCATAGAAACCTGGGATGATTGATGAGCCTGTTGTGTAAATAGAACAGGTGTGTGATGAAAACATCTTCAGTAAACACTCATTTGATATGAGGTAATGACAATACCTGTAGCACTGGTCCCAGGTGCATTTCCTCAATGTTCGGTACTTTTGAATAAGTTTAAATAATGATGTGGTTTGTAAGCTATGTTGAGGGCTTGGCAGTGCTTGCAATTAAGGGAGTCCTTGAGGTTTTATTTGAATCTTGGGACCCCATAAATCTTAAACTTTTATATGGGGCAGGGTTGGCCCAATCGTCTAAGGTGCCGCAATTTGCTATGTAGAGTTGCGTCCCTTGGGCACGCCAGAAACCTTTGATTGTGGGTTCGAATCCCGGTTTGCCCCGATTATGTTTCTAGGTTTTTAGCACCTTACCCATGTTCGTGGGTTTCACCGAAGTGATAAATGTCTGAGACCTGCATCACTTTGGCCTTTCCTCCCACATTAAGCTGACAGGCCGTGATATAACTTGAATACTGTTAAAAGCGGCGTTAAACCCAACTCACTCACTCACTGTAAGCTATGTTTCATACAAGAGAGTTACATTCCATGGACGTGTCAGGATCTGCTATTTAGGAGTTTGAAAATCAGATTTGCTTTTATTGTAAAGCTTGGTTTATCTGCACTATCAAAGTTCCATCAAAGTGTTGAATGTCTTTGGTCTGTATCAGTTTGGACTTCCAACCACATCAAACTGACAGCATCCTGTCATTCCAGTTTGTTTAGATTGCAGAGTTATGCCATATGTTTAGATATATGATATATGTTTAGATATAAGAAGTACTGCTGATCGTCAGAGTGATATTGTTTCCCTGTGTAATCGGTTTTCGGACGCATAGTTTTCACGCTAATCACAAAAAAAAATGTAAAACATCTCACTCACTTATAAAAGACGATTTGATCTCAAAAGCAGGTCGCCCATTTCTGGTGTCCCCCGTCATGATATTGCTGGAATATTGCTAAAAGCGGCGTAAAACCATACTCACTCACTCTCTCAAAAGCAGGTCATCATCTGAGTATTGACAATGTCCGTGTGACACCTCACCCCTTCTTATAGCGCCAATGATCGCGTAGACATGGTCGTAAAAAAAGTATGATGTCCGAAAACCTATGATCTGACGATACCTTATCTTAATGTATAATGTTTGAACCTTATTTCTCTGTATAGTACCTGTCGAATGCTGATGAGAGACTGAGATGGCAGGCCAACTCTCTGCCCACTGACGACCTCTGTACAGAGAACGCCATCATGTTGAAGCGCTTCAACAGATACCCACTCATCATCGACCCATCAGGCCAGGCCACGGAGTTCATCATGAAGGAGTACAGGGACAGGAAGATCACCAAGACAAGGTGAGTTGTCTTAGGCCCATGACTATTGTTGCCTTAATTTAACATGAATCTACACTAGTCTTAGAGCTGTAGTTTCTTTGAGCAAATGAGGCCTCATTTTATGATCCTGTTATTGCTTTATTAACCATATGTCTCACTTTGTTATTTGTACATATACTACGCGACATTTGCTAAGGACCAAAACACAGTCAAACACTGTTGTGTCGAACATTGATGTGTCGAACTTACGCTTGTCTCGAAGTAAGCACATGGACCTGTGTATCTCTTCTTTCATAATCAGTTGTGGAACCTCTGGTAACTCGAAGCATTTACGTAGGTCCCTTTGACACAACGGTTTTTGACTATACCCATCTTTACCCAATGGTGTGCTCTTTAGCCACTGTTCAGCAGTATATATATTGTTCATCCTGCCTCAGCTTATGGAACTAATGGGTACTCTCAAAACTGATAGGAATGACATTTATAAAATATTATTTCTTAGCCATATCGGGGGCACGGGTGGCCCAGTCGTCTAAGGCCCCGCGATTCCCTGTGCAGAGTTGCGTATCTGGACACACCGGAAACCTATGATTGTGGGTTCAAATCCCAGTTCACCCCGATTATGTTTCTAGGTTTGTCAGCACCATACCCTTGCTCGTGGGTTTCACCGAAGTGGTAAACGTCTGAGACCTGCATCACTTCAGGCTTTACTCCCACATTAAGCTCTCACGCCGCGATATAACTGGAATAATGTTAAAAGTGGCGTTAAACCCAACTCACTCACTCACTCTTAGCCATATCAGCAAAAACACCCAGCGTGGGCTTGTTATTTCTTCTTGAAAGAGGGAAAGCTAGTAGCACTATAAAAAAAAAGATATTGCATACGTTTCCGAAAGTCATTGCCTTAGAACAGTTATTTTTGCTTTTAGGTTTTGATGTCAAAATTGGAGTAATTGCTCTCTTTTCTAATTCACTGTTTCAAATCCCTCCTTGCAAGCACTTATGACAATGTTCATGTAACATATGGGGCGGTCGGGTAGCCTGGTAGTTAAAGCGTTTGCTCATACCGAAGACCCAGGTTCGATTCCCGACATGGGTACAATGTGTGAAGCCCATTTCTGGTGTTCCCCGCTGTGATATTGCTGGAATATTGCTAAAAGCGGCGTAAAACCATGCTCGCTCGCTCGCTCGCTCACTCACTCACTCACTCACTCACTCACTCACTCACTCACTCACTCACTCACTCACTCACTCACTCACTCACTCACTCACGTAACATACAGTGCATAAATCAGTTCTATGTACAAGTGTAGAAGTTGATGATACAGCAACATGCTACTTTTGTCATTGCAGCTTCTTGGACGATGCCTTCAGGAAGAACTTGGAGAGTGCTTTGAGATTCGGTAACCCGTTGCTGGTGCAGGTATGTCACACTTGAAAGTCGGGACTAAGTGTATTATGTGTGGATACCAGAGAGATTAAGCATCATTGCCAGATAGGATAGGAGTAGAGGAGTTTCTTCTTTGGGATCATTGGTGGTCCGGTGGCCTGTGAAATCACTCTTCAGAGTTTCCGACCACCTCCGTAGTCTTGTGGTAGAGCGTCCGCCCGGAGAGCGGAAGATCTGGGGTTAATACCCAACAGTGTCATCCAAAAAAGACGTTAAAAGATGGTACTTGTTATCACCCTGTCTGGCGCTTGGCATTATGGGGCTAAAACAAGGACTGGTCGGCTTGGAGTCAGTATACTGTATCTGAGTGGGGTATTCATGTTAAACTGCGGCATGGTATCTCAGTGAGCTAGCACTATAAATCGGCATCAGTCCAGACTAGTACAAACAGCCACACACACAGACACACACATACATGCACGTCGCTATATAAGTGCAATAAACTTGAATGCGACGTTAAACTCCATTTCACCTCACCTTTGGAGTTTCTACCAATGGCTGCCCTAGTTATTATTTTTGTCACTTTAGGTTTTTTCCCTCCCATATTAACCTGATATGCTGTGCTTTAACAAAAACTATTCGAAGCTTTGAATAAAATCAGTCTGTAATGTTAAATCTTATCCTTGAATTATATTTGTGCTTCAGTATCATAGTAAAAGTTACTGATATTTTCATCTTTGTTTTCTAGGATGTAGAAAGCTATGACCCGATATTGAACCCTGTGTTGAACCGAGAACTGCGGAGGACAGGTGGCCGTGTGCTGATCACCCTGGGAGACCAGGACATTGATTTGTCCCCATCCTTCACTATCTTCCTCTCTACCAGGGACCCGAATGTGAGTACAGGACACAATAGGTAAAGGGGGGCGAGTTGTTAATCTTTCAATATGTCCATTCAAAACCCCAGAAGAATAATGTACAATATACAACAAAGGTGTGGTGAGTTTGTGTTAGCATCCAATAGTTTGTTGATGAGGTCCATTGATGGATGTTGCTGTATTTAGGTATGGTGAGTTTGTGTTAGCGTCCAATAGTTTGTTGATGAGGTCCATTGATGGATGTTGCTGTATTTAGGTATGGTGAGTTTGTGTTACTGTCCAATAGTTTGTTGATGAGGTCCATTGATGGATGTTGCTGTATTTAGGTGTGGTGAGTTTGTGTTAGCGTCCAATAGTTTGTTGATGAGGTCCATTGATGGATGGTGCTGTATTTAGGTGTGGTGAGTTTGTGTTAGCGTCCAATAGTTTGTTGATGAGGTCCATTGATGGATGTTGCTGTATTTAGGTGTGGTGAGTTTGTGTTAGCGTCCAATAGTTTGTTGATGAGGTCCATTGATGGATGGTGCTGTATCCCCCAGGTGGAATTCCCCCCCGACATCTGCTCCAGAGTCACATTCGTCAACTTCACCGTCACCCGCAGCAGTCTGCAGAGCCAGTGCCTCAACCAGGTGGGTAGTACTCAAAAATCCACATTTTAGCATGTTTTAAATGTTACAAAAATAAAACATGTTGCTAGCCAGAAAGTGTTTTACCAGCTACAGGGATTTATCTAGGCTGATATTCGGACGCAAGTTAGCAGCAATTGTGATGAAAATTCCCAAATGGGAATTAATATTTCCTAGTTCATGTAAATATAGGTACAACTAATGTTACGTTGAGATGATTTGTTTTCCACTGATAATAGCACCAAGAAAGAGAAGAGGATTAACTTTACACTATTGTATTGAATGCCATGTGAACAAGCCATGTTAAACCTCTAAAAACAACAACAACAGATAACATAAAAATGAAATAATATTTTACTTGAATGTTTAAATAAGAAATCTTAGAAAGCCGAAAAGGAATTCAAACTATGTTTTCCCCATCAAACACAATCTGATCGATTCGTTGCTGTGATAGATACAATGAATACTTTATCATTTCGGGACTGTTGGGTGGTCAAGCGGGTAAAGTATTACACCGAAGCCATGGGGTCAATTCCCCACATGGGTACTATGTTTCAAGCCCATTTCTGGTGTTCCCCTATGTGATATCAGTGTTCGAAATACCTGCCTGCCCGACCGTCCGAGGCGGGTTGATTTCAACTCGGGCTGCCAGATTTTCAAATTCCCCTGCCCGACGGTCGGGTTATATTTCATATGTGAAAATATTCTAAATATTTCCCGATGATAGGCATTAATTCACATGTAAAGATGAATGATAAAATGTAACCAAAAAGAAACCCCGTAAGCTTATCCTGAGAAACATATGATTATAGTGGGCAGGCGGGTTTTGGTCAGGGCTGGCAAGTATTTTGGGTAGTTTTTTTGAAATTTTTGGGAGTTTCATACCCTGGTGATATATTGCTGGAATGTTGCTAAAAGCGGCGTAAAACTATACCCACTCACTTCCTCATTTCAGGTGTTGAAGGCTGAAAGACCAGATGTTGATGAGAAGAGATCTGACCTCCTCAAACTGCAAGGTATGGACAACTTGATTGCAAGATGTGTCTCTGTTTGGATGCCATTGGTCAAGTGAACAACGTTTTGTCCTCACATGTAGCCTTTTTCCAGATCCATCAATATTTACCTGTGAATCAACATCATGATATTATTCACTGGATTGTCTGGTCAAGACTCGATTATTTACAGACCGTCGTCATATAGCTGGAATATTGCTGAGTGCGGCGTTAAACAACAAACATAACACACAAAAAACAGTACTGATGGAACTTTGTCAGTTATGTTCCCTATTTAAATGGGGTTTGGGGTTGCTTTGAGGTTGGATTTTTGCTGTGACAAGGATGTAGTAGTACAAATAGAAAACTAAAACAGGGTTGTTTTATCAGGTGAGTTCCAGCTGAGACTGAGGCAGCTTGAGAAGTCCCTCCTCCAGTCTCTGAATGACGCCAAGGGGAAGATCCTGGACGATGACAGCATCCTCAGTAACCTGGAGACTCTGAAGACAGAGGCAGCCGAGGTTGCCCGTAAAGTGGAGGAGACAGACATTGTGATGGCGGAGGTTGAGGCTGTGTCACAACAGTATGTGCCCCTGGCCCAGTCCTGCAGCAGCATCTACTTCACACTGGAGGCTCTGCAACAGGTGGGGATGCTTGTCTGGGTCACAGTGGTGGGGATGCTAGTCTGTCTGGGTCACAGTGGTGGTGATGCTAGTATGTCTGGGTCACAGTGGTGGGGATGCTAGTCTGGGTCACAGTGGTGGGGATGCTAGTCTGTCTGGGTCACAGTGGTGGGGGATGCTTGTCTGGGTCACAGTGGTGGGGGATGCTTGTCTGGGTCACAGTGGTGGGGATGCTAGTCTGGGTCACAGTGGTGGGGGATGCTAGTCTGGGTCACAGTGGTGGGGATGCTAGTCTGTCTGGGTCACAGTGGTGCGGATGCTAGTCTGGGTCACAGTGGTGGGGGATGCTTGTCTGGGTCACAGTGGTGGGGGATGCTAGTCTGGGTCACAGTGGTGGGGAATGCTAGTCTGGGTCACAGTGGTGGGGATGCTAGTCTGGGTCACAGTGGTGGGGATGCTAGTCTGGGTCACAGTGGTGGGGGATGCTTGTCTGGGTCACAGTGGTGGGGGATGCTTGTCTGGGTCACAGTGGTGGGGATGCTAGTCTGTCTGGGTCACAGTGGTAGGGGATGCTAGTCTGGGTCACAGTGGTGGGGATGCTAGTCTGTCTGGGTCACAGTGGTGCGGATGCTAGTCTGGGTCACAGTGGTGGGGGATGCTAGTCTGTCTGGGTCACAGTGGTGGGGATGCTAGTCTGTCTGGGTCACAGTGGTGGGGATGCTAGTCTGTCTGGGTCAAAGTGGTGGGGGATGCTTGTCTGGGTCACAGTGGTGGGGATGCTAGTCTGTCTGGGTCACAGTGGTGGGGATGCTAGTCTGTCTGGGTCACAGTGGTGCGGATGCTAGTCTGGGTCACAGTGGTGGGGGATGCTAGTCTGTCTGGGTCACAGTGGTGGGGATGCTAGTCTGTCTGGGTCACAGTGGTGGGGATGCTAGTCTGTCTGGGTCAAAGTGGTTGGGGATGCTAGTCTGGGTCAAAGTGGTGGGGATGCTAGTCTGGGTCTCAGTGGTGGGGATGCTTGTCTGGGTCTCAGTGGTGGGGATGCTAGTCTGGGTCACAATGGTGGGGATGCTAGTCTGTCTGGGTCACAGTGGTGGGGGATGCTAGTCTGGGTCACAGTGGTGGGGATGCTAGTCTGTCTGGGTCACAGTGGTGGGGATGCTAGTCTGTCTGGGTCACAGTGGTGGGGATGCTAGTCTGTCTGGGTCACAGTGGTGGGGGATGCTAGTCTGGGTCACAGTGGTGGGGGATGCTTGTCTGGGTCACAGTGGTGGGGATGCTTGTCTGGGTCACAGTGGTGGGGGATGCTTGTCTGGGTCACAGTGGTGGGGATGCTAGTCTGTCTGGGTCACAGTGGTGGGGATGCTTGTCTGGGTCACAGTGGTGGGGATGCTAGTCTGTCTGGGTCACAGTGGTGGGGATGCTAGTCTGGGTCACAGTGGTGGGGGATGCTAGTCTGTCTGGGTCACAGTGGTGGGGATGCTAGTCTGGGTCACAGTGGTGGGGATGCTAGTCTGGGTCACAGTGGTGGGGATGCTAGTCTGTCTGGGTCACAGTGGTGGGGGATGCTAGTCTGGGTCACAGTGGTGGGGGATGCTTGTCTGGGTCACAGTGGTGGGGATGCTAGTCTGTCTGGGTCACAGTGGTGCGGATGCTTGTCTGGGTCACAGTGGTGGGGATGCTAGTCTGTCTGGGTCACAGTGGTGGGGGATGCTAGTCTGGGTCACAGTGGTGGGGGATGCTTGTCTGGGTCACAATGGTGGGGATGCTAGTCTGTCTGGGTCACAGTGGTGGGGATGCTTGTCTGGGTCACAGTGTTGGGGATGCTAGTCTGTCTGGGTCACGGTGGTGGGGGATGCTAGTCTGGGTCACAGTGGTGGGGATGCTAGTCTGTCTGGGTCACAGTGGTGGGGGATGCTAGTCTGGGTCACAGTGGTGGGGGATGCTTGTCTGGGTCACAGTGGTGGGGATGCTAGTCTGTCTGGGTCACAGTGGTGCGGATGCTTGTCTGGGTCACAGTGGTGGGGATGCTAGTCTGTCTGGGTCACAGTGGTGGGGGATGCTAGTCTGGGTCACAGTGGTGGGGGATGCTTGTCTGGGTCACAGTGGTGGGGATGCTAGTCTGTCTGGGTCACAGTGGTGGGGATGCTTGTCTGGGTCACAGTGGTGGGGATGCTAGTCTGTCTGGGTCACGGTGGTGGGGATGCTAGTCTGGGTCACAGTGGTGGGGGATGCTAGTCTGTCTGGGTCACAGTGGTGGGGGATGCTTGTCTGGGTCACAGTAGTGGGGGATGCTAGTCAGGGTCACAGTGGTGGGGATGCTAGTCTGGGTCACAGTGGTGGGGATGCTTGTCTGGGTCACAGTGGTGGGGGATGCTAGTCTGTCTGGGTCACAGTGGTGGGGATGCTAGTCTGGGTCACAGTGGTGGGGATGCTAGTCTGGGTCACAGTGGTGGGGATGCTAGTCTGTCTGGGTCACAGTGGTGTAGTCTGCCTAGTTCAATGGGTTGATATTGACTGGCCCATCTGGTTCAGTAGATGGGGGCTTTGACTTACCCATCACAGTGGGAGTGATTGCATTAGAAAATCTGTTAAAAAATATTCCGTCTGTTGGAGTATTTTCACATATGTATTTATTCTTCCTTTTAGGTTCACTTCCTGTATGGCTACTCCCTGCAATTCTTCCTGGAGATATTCCATGCCACTCTCAACTGTGCCCAACTCAAGAACCAGAAGGAATATGCAGCCCGACTGTCCATCATCACAGCTGACTTATTTAGGGTAGGATAAACTGTTGTTTTTATTTTCAGGGCCACATGTGGGCAATATTCATGGTACGTTCGAGCCAGGAGTAGTTGGTCTGACGACACAGATATGATAATTAGGGGTAAAACTGTGCATCGTGAGTTTTCATGCAGTGGCATAGTACATGATATGTTTTTTTCGGTATTGCTACAAGACGATACTCTTGCTCAAATATAGTACTTCCTACTTGATGACCCCGTCAGTCAAATATTGCAAAATGTGTTGTAATTAACGTTTCAAGTTCACTTCTAAAAATAGCTGCTATGAACATTTGTCAATAGCTAGCGTTTCCTTTTGAACCTGCTCTAAAATATCAAAAGTCAAGAAGTTTTGTCGCGATTTGACGTAAATATGCGTATCGCGATACATAACGTAACGTATCATTGCGTGACCTTGATGCATCGTTTCACCTCCAATGATGAGGTTGTGTTCTTCATCCCCAGGAAACCTACAGCCGTGTGGGGCGAGGAATGATTCATGAGGACAGGATCACCTTCGCTATCCAGCTCTGTCGCATCCACTTGCAAAGCCTTGTAGGGTACGTTCTCTGCTACCTTCAGTATTGCTGCGATGGTCAAAAAAGGGTTTACACACTGCTTTTTTTATTTCCAAATAAGTGGGGGAACCTTTTCTTAATGATCCTGCTAAATTATTGCTGGAAATAACTTTGGAATGCCAGAACTTACTCTCAAATATTGCTCATTGTTTTGACCAGAACATCAAGAGTTCATCCTTGGTATTATGTTGTCGGTTTTCATTTGTAACACTGACAGCAGTATACAGTTCAGTAATTACATTTTTGGTTGATTAATACTTCCGTGATGAATGGCAATTCACCAACTCCAGACTGCATGTAAAGTGTGTTTACTCTTTCTCAGAGAGTCCACATACACAGAGGAGTTCAATCACTTCCTGAGAAGCCAGGAAGGACTCCTCACCGAGAAGCCTGCAGCTGCCATTGCTGGTCTTACACCATCACAGGTGAATATTGAACCAGACATAGTTTACCATTTACTGACGATACAAAGCATATATTATACATCTCTTGCCTCATAGATAAAATAGGGTTGATGTCACATTTGCTATAAGAATAAGCATGTATGAGTTGTTGATCATTTCATGAAGAAATCTGATTTAAGGTAAAACTACATGAAATTTACTTGATATTAATTTCACTACCATTGTCTAAATGTAATATTCATTTATCTATGGATCTTGCTTTGTAAACTACTTTTCATAATTTTATGATTTTTTTAAAGTAATATATCTTACATTTCCTTACAGCAAGCATCCCTGGTGCGTCTGAGCAAACTCCCGGCATTCAGGAACATTGTCAAGGAGGTGGATGGAAACAAAGTAAGTCATCAGAATTTGTTCATACTTCACGTTCAATGATTTGTTCTTTACAAAGTTCATTTCTTCCAATATTGGTGTCTTTTACTCTAAGAAATTTTCAGTATATGCATGACAAACTTTCAGATAGAACAGAAATTTTACATTTTTGGAAATAATTTTGGTTTGTTTTTCCACCAGGATGTGAAGACATGGATGGAGAGTGCAACTCCTGAACAGACGGTGCCTCAGCTGTGGAGTGAAGGCAAGGCTCTAAGTAAGTTGTTGCATTTCCTGAGTGCCATTTATACAGCTAGTAGCCCATGCATGATACATTCATATCAGACAATTGGATCAGAGAAGAGTGGTGTCTCCTTATCAATGACAGGGAATATGTTGTGACCACATCCTCAAGAGGGATTCCTGGCTGGTTCATCCCCTGTTCTTCTTAGTACCATGTGACTTGATTGTCCATGAGAATTCCAAGTCAGGATAGGTTTCCAGTATGGCTCAATGTCTGCATACTGTTACAATGTGGGACAATCAGTCTAGCAGTCACAGCCTCACAAATAAAGCTGGTGCATTGCTGATTGTGGTATTAAAAAAGGCATTTATTTCTCCATTACTGCTGTTGTAGGTCCTATTGGCAAGGCTGTGCATGGTCTGCTGGTGATCCAGTCCCTGCGGCCCGACAGACTTACTGCCATGGCCCGAGTCTTTGTGGAGACAGCACTGTCATCTGAGTTTGTTCACTGTGGAGAAAAGGAACTCAACCTGGGAGAGATTGTAGAGAATGTGGTAAGTTTTGATCTATTCTTAGCAATCAGAGCTACTTGATTTTCAAGAATAACTACAATGAATGAGATTTTTTAATGAGAACTTTTTTATATTTGTTGGGGTAGATCATTTTGGTTTCTTAATAGAATATTATTGTGTTCAATAAACAATCCCTGAATTCACGTTGTGATGTCTGTATATGATTGTGTTTAGTTGTTGATCAAATGTCACCTTTATCATACCTTTATTTTATTTTATCCTGACTCATACTTATTGCTTATTATTATTATTAATCCAAGCAAAAGATTTTGTTAAAAAGGGTTAATTTTTATGGAAAGCTTGGATTATGATGCACAGAAAAAATTTCCAGCTGCCAAGATGGCACGAAAAAGAGAGTGATGTGTTACTGGGCTTGGTCACATGGTTCCGGTGCGCATGCACGGAATAAGGGTGCGTTTGGGTGAGCTGTTTTCTCTGTTCTTTGGGAACAGCACAGGAGGTTTCCACTACCTATTCGGAAGAGAGAGAGATAAGCAATAAGTATGAGTCAGAATAAGTATAAGTGATATTTTTACTCTAAAAAATACATGTTTTGTTTGCTGACCAGATAAAGGCCAACACGCCAGTGCTGATGTGCTCTGTCCCTGGTTATGATGCCAGCAGTAGAGTGGATGATCTGGCAGCCGAGTTGAACAAACCACTGACATCCATCGCTATTGGTAAGCTGGGCCCTACATCAACTACTGCAGGATTGTTTCATTTAGATTTCCTGGTTTCCACACATTTCCGATTTCATAAAACATAACTGATAACGACTATGATGTGAGCCCTTGATGATCTGGGTTAGAATTGGTCTTCAGCAGCCCATGCTTGACTTGGTTGATGCATGTCATCGTATCCAAATTGCCTAGATCGATGCTCATGATGTCAATCACTGGATTGTGTGGTCCAGACTCCATTATTATTTACAGACCGCCATCATATAGCTGGAATATTGCTGTGTAGCATTAAACAACAAAAACAACAACAAAAAACTAAAACTATGTCGTGAGATCAATTTAATATTTACTCATATTATCAATCAACGATTATCGTCTTTAAATTTAAATTTGAATTAAATGGCTTTACTTAACTGAGGGGGGCACGGGTGGCCCAGTCGTCTAAGGCGCCGCGATTCACTGTGCAGAGTTGCATCCTTGGTCATGCCAGAAACCTATGATTGTTGGTTCGAATCCCAGTTCGCCCCGATTATGTTTCTAGGTTTGTCAGCACCATACCCGTGCTCGTGGGTTTCACCGAAGTGGTAAATGTCTGAGACCTGCATCACTTCGGGCTTTCCTCCCACATTAAGCTGACACGGTGATATAACCGGAATACTGTTAAAAGCGACGTTAAACCCAACTCACTCACTCACTCACTTTAACGGAGACTGCCTCCGTGGTCTAGTGGTAGAGCGTCCGCCTGGAGAGCAGAAGGTCCGGGGTTCGATCCCCAGCCGCGTCATACCAAAAGACGTTAAAAGATGGTACTTGTTGTTACCCTGTCTGGCGCTCAGCATTAAGGGGCTAAAACAAGGACTGGTCGGCTCGGAGTCAGTATACTGTGTCTGAGTAGGGTATTCATGTTAAACTGCAGCATGGTATCTCAGTGTGCTAGCACTATAAATCGGCATCAGTCCGGACTAGTACAAGCAGCCACACACATACACGTGCAAGCTGTCGCTATATAAGTGCAATAATCTTCGACACGACGTTACACCCCATTTCACCTCACCTCACCTCACCCCACTCTTTAACTGCTTGTTACCAGGTTCTGCGGAAGGCTTCACCCAGGCGGAGAAAGCCATCAACTCATCCAGCAAGTCTGGAAGATGGGTGATGCTGAAGAACGTCCACCTGGCTCCACAGTGGCTGGTTCAGCTGGAGAAGAAGCTCCACAATCTCACGCCTCATCCCAGCTTCAGGCTGTTCCTCACCATGGAAATCAACCCGAAGGTAGGCTGGAACATACAGCCTGTTAGGGATATCGGGGCAGAGTAGTCCTCACTGAGGAGGATCAGATGGTTACAACATGGGAGCTGGCTGATTGTGTATCATCGTACCCTAATGCAGAGGATCGTTGCTCATACTACCAACCACAAGTTCATCTGATCCAGGTTTCATTTTTAACAGGCGGTGGGGGATGTCTTGAATATTGATTGGTGGGCATTATATGCAGGCTGTGGGGATTGCTCGAATATTGATTGGTGGGCATTATATGCAGGCTGTGGGGATGTCTTGAATATTGATTGTGGGGATGTCTTGAATATTGATTGGTGGGCATTATATGCAGGCTGTGGGGATGTCTTGAATATTGATTGGTGGGCATTATATGCAGGCTGTGGGGATGTCTTGAATATTGATTGGTGGGCATTATATGCAGGCTGTGGGGATGTCTTGAATATTGATTGGTGGCCATTATATGCAGGCTGTGGGGTTGTCTTGAATATTGATTGGTGGCCATTATATGCAGGCTGTGGGGATGTCTTGAATATTGATTGGTGGCCATTATATGCAGGCTGTGGGGATGTCTTGAATATTGATTGGTGGGCATTATATGCAGGCTGTTGGGATGTCTTGAATATTGATTTGTGGCCATTATATGCAGGCTGTGGGGATGTCTTGAATATTGATTGGTGGGCATTATATGCAGGCTGTGGGGATGTCTTGAATATTGATTTGTGGCCATTATATGCAGGCTGTGGGGATGTCTTGAATAGTGATTGGTGGGCATTATATGCAGGCTGTGGGGATGTCTTGAATATTGATTGTGGGGATGTCTTGAATATTGATTGGTGGCCATTATATGCAGGCTGTGGGGATGTCTTGAATATTGATTGGTGGGTATTATATGCAGGCGGTGGGGGATGTCTTGAATTTGGATTGGTGGGTATTATATGCAGGTGGTGGGGGATGTCTTGAATATTGATTGGTGGGCATTACATGCAGGCTGTGGGGATGTCTTGAATATTGATTGGTGGGCATTATATGCAGGCTGTTGGGATGTCTTGAATATTGATTGCTGGGCATTATATGCAGGCTGTGGGGATGTCTTGAATATTGATTGCTGGGCATATTACATGCAGGCTGTGGGGATGTCTTGAATATTGATTGGTGGACATTATATGCAGGTGGTGGGGGATGCCTTGAATATTGATTGGTGGACATTATATGCAGGCTGTGGGGATGCCTTGAATATTGATTGGTGGGCATATTACATGCAGGCTGTGGTGATGTCTTGAATATTGATTGGTGGGCATATTACATGCAGGCTGTGGGAATGTCTTTAATATTGATTGCTGGGTATTATTTTCAGGCTGTGGGGATGTCTTGAATATTGATTGGTGGGCATTATATGCAGGCTGTGGGGATGTCTTGAATATTGATTGCTGTCTTGATGGCAACATTGCAATATATTTTAATTGATTTCAAACCCTGGATGGATGTATTTTTTTAATAATCAGGATTTTTTTTATTCTTGAGTAACTGTTTGCCAATGATTCTACTCACCATTTTGTTCAGATTTCACTACAAGATTGAACCTGTGAAGATCCGTGTTAGAATAGGTCTTCAGCAACCCATGCTTGTTGTAAGAGGCGACTAGCTGGATCAGGTGATCAGACTCACTGACTTGGTTGATGCATGTGATCGTATCCCAATTGCATAGATCGATGCTCATGATATCAATCCATGGAAAGTCTGGTCCAGACTCGATTATTTACAGACCATGTCATATAGCTGGAATATTGCTGAGTCTGCGCTAAATAAACAAACACTACAATATAGTCAGCATGATGCACTGATAAATAACATAGTAAGGTATAGTTGTCAGTTGTTTCTTATGTTTCCTGTTGCAGCTTCCCTCCAACTTGTTGCGAGCCGGTCGTGTGTTTGTGTTTGAGCCCCCACCAGGTGTCGCTGCCAACCTCACCCGGACATTCAGCACGGTACCCACCTCCAGGATGTGCAGGGTGAGTGTGATCGTTGTCTTCAGTTTCAGTGAACCTTAACCTTTGTATCACTTCTGAGAATATGGCATCTTGTTACCAATGAAAATAATTGAATATCATTGCATCATTGTGACCGTTTGACCAAAGCAAATGGTCCAATGTTAAATTTCCCCTTCGACAGTGTCCCCAGTCTTATTGAGAATCTCCCTGGAGCCCCAAACCTAAAAGATTCTGGGTGGCAGATAAATATCAAATATTTCTTTTCCATCTTTTATCCATTTCCTTGATTTATAGAAACTGTAATCAAGAATAAAAGTTTGAGAAGGGAAAAACAAAAATACAAACATGTTTTTGCAATACATGCAAATCATCTTCAAGTATCACTTGAGCAAGTACTCAAATATAGTTGTTTCCTCAGCATCAAAAGCCCTTAAAAAAAATATTGTTATTTCTTGTTTCATCTTTAGGAAAGTCATTTTGCACACTGTGTATTCCACTGACACAAAATGTATGTACTGTGTACTGCAGGAGCCGAATGAGAGAGCCCGGTTGTACTTCCTCCTTGCCTGGTTCCATGCCATCGTACAGGAACGGATGCGCTACACTCCACTCGGCTGGGCCAAGAAGTATGAGTTCACCGAGTCAGACCTGAAGGTTGCTTGTGACATGCTGGACGTCTGGATTGACTCTGTTGCCCTGGTAGGTATTTCTGTGCTTTTATTCTGGCATGGGGAGTTGTCCGAGGGACTGCCTTTTGTTGTGCAGAGTTTCATCCCATACGTGTACCAGAAACCTTTGGTTTGATTAGTTTCTGGGTTGTCAATGCTGTCCTGTGCTCATAGGTTTCACCAAAGTGGTAAACATACCTCTGCCTCCCAATCATAAGCTGCCTCCCAATCAACCTGACATTGTGATATATTTTACATACCATTTGATGCAGCTTTCAAATGAAACTCATGCACTCTGTAAGATGATTTTTCTGAATAAAATACACAATTTTTTACTTATCCTGCATTATTCCTTAATATTTTTGCAAATATGGCAATAAAGACCACAGGTTATTCCCAAACTGGACAATTTATTTGAGCTTCATATCTGTCTGGTGACAAGCAGTAATGTGAAGTTCACATGACGTCATCACATCCGAGTCACGTGGTCTGGCTTGGTGGGTCCTACCTGCCTCACACTTCATTGACACAACTTTCTTTCTCAGTAGCTTCGTTGTCTGTCAAAAGTAAGCAGTAAATGCATTAAAGAGTAATGCAGGATAAGTCTACAATCGTAAAAAATATTTAGATTTTTCTAATTTTGATATTCTATTTTGTCAGGGTCGTACCAACCTGCCCCCAGAGAAGGTCCCATGGGATGCCATCAAGACTCTTCTGTCACAGTGTATCTATGGTGGAAAGATCGATAATGACTTTGACCAGGTAACACATTTGCCGTACATAGCATGTGTTTTATACGAATGTGAATTAGCACTTAAGAGGAACAAGGCTCCATAGTTCATTTCCAGTAGGGGTCACTGGTGTCCCAGTCATCTATGGCGCCGCAATTCGCTGTGCAGAATTGCGTCCCTTGGGCACGCCAGAAACCTATGATTGTGGGTTCAAATCCCGGTTCACCCAGATTATGTTTCTAGGTTTGTCAGCACCATACTCGTGCTCGTAGGTTTCACCAAAGTGGAAAACGTCTGAGACATGCATCACTTCGGGCTTTCCTCCCACATTAAGCTGACATGCTGCGATATAACTGGAATACTTTTAAAGGGGCGTTAAACCCAACTCATTCACTCACTCACTCATTTCCAGTATAGACCTAGACCATTTGCCGTGTGTGGTACCGAGACTTGGCCTCTGTTAAATTAAGGTAACCATTAATGCTTATACACATGATACAATGTGATGTAGCAGACATAATGGTTTTCAACTTGAATCAAACCTCCTGGTACGGCCAGTTGACTCAAACTTAGCTCCCCTGTTACTGTTAAAGTCTTATTCAAACATACCCTGGTATTTACCTTTAGGTTATAATCATCTACTATATACTACATATAATCATCTACTTCGTATCCCCTACATCCAGCGTCTCCTGAGCACATTTGTGGACAAGCTGTTCACCCCCAAGAGTTTTGAGGGTGACTACAAGTTGGTTACTAATGTAGATGGTGTCCCAGGGAAGAATATCTCGATGCCAGATGGAGTCAGGTAGGTAGCATGTTACCCTCGTATCCTCTCATGTGAACACCTTCAGGTGTCTCCCATACTCCAACATAGACTACTGTGACATGAGATCACTCGGTGGAACAGGACACAGGACAATGAGTGATCAAGCAGCCATGGTCTTTGTAGTATATTCACTGTATAGAATAAGATGTGGTCCTGCCTGCAGCAGTATTTCTTGAGGCGAACTTTACACTTTCCTCTTTGTGAGGGGTCACGGGTGACCCAGTCGTCTTAGGCGCAGCGATTCGCTGTGCAGAGTTGTGGCCCTTGGGCACGCCAGAAATCTATGATAGTGGGTTCGAATCTTTGTTCGCCCCGATTGTGTTTCTAGGTTTGTCAGCACCATACCCGTGCTCGTGGGTTTCACCGAAGTGGCAAACATCTTAGACCTGCATCACTTCGACTTTCCTCCCACATTAAGCTGACACGCCACGATATAACTGGAATAATGTTAAAAGCAACATTAAACCCCACACTCCCTCGCTCGCTCGCTCGCTCACTCACTCACTCACTCACTCACTCACTCACTCACTCACACACACACCCACTCACCCACTCACCCACCCACCCACCCACTCACTCACCCACTCACCCACCCACCCACCCACTCACTCACTCACTCACTCACTCACATTTGTGATCTGTTCTCTTGTAGACGGGAACAGTTTGTCCAGTTTGTGAATAACATGGAGGAGAGGCAGACACCGTCCTGGCTGGGGCTGCCCAACAATGCAGAGAAGGTTCTCCTGACAACTAGAGGTAAGCAAGGACAGACAGCATGTACATCAACCGTTCTCCACCTGTCCTTCAGACATCCCAACAATAAGCAAAGTGCTGTGGGTGAATGAGGAAACAAAATATGATTTATGGCTCTGATTCTTATCCTGGTGTTTCTGGGGCAGAAAAAGTCCCTAGCACCCCATGATAGTTTGTTTTTTAGCTAGAATGTGCGAAAGGGTATAATCTGGCTGGTTGGGTCATCATGCCCTATCATGGTTTGTTACTCATGCTGTCAACCACTGTTTTCTCTTGTTGAGATTTGTTAAGTCTCAATTTGGCTGTAAGAGTGAGGTGCAAAACGACATTCTGTCACTTGGATTCACATTCAACTTATCCAGATCATATCATATCATCATACCAAAAGACGTTAAAAGATGGTACTTGTTGTTACCCTGTCTGGCGCTCGGCATTAAAGGGCTAAAACAAGGACTGGTCGGCTCGGAGTCAGTATACTGTGTCTGAGTGTGGTATTCATGTTAAACTGCGGCATGGTATCTCAGTGAGCTAGCACTATAAATCGGCATCAGTCCGGACTAGTACAAGCAGCCACACACACACGTGCATGCACGTCGCTATATAAGTGCAATAATCTTGGATGCGACGTTAAACCCCATTTCACCTCACCTCACCTAATGATAAGAAGCACTGTAATGTTAAAGTGTTTGCTCACCAATGTCTGCTAGATGTGAAACACTCTTCAGTACCCCATTCACTGTTCTAGGTAGCGACATGATTGCCAAGCTGATGAAGATGCAGCTGTTGGAGGAAGATGACGTGATCGGCGCCAAGGCCGATGACCATGAGGATCACAGAATGGCTGATGGTCGCCCCGCCTGGATGAGAACCCTCCACCAGTCTGTAGGAACCTGGCTCAAGCTGGTGCCTCAGGTCAGTGTTACACAAGGCCGAGATTTGTCCACTTGCAGACTGTCAAGTGATGATTTCATGTTGCAAACATCAGTGTTGTCATTACCTGTGAAGATGGGGTTAGCATTGATCTTCAATCCATTCTTGTTAGAGGCAACTAACAGGATAGTGGTCAGGCTCGCTGACTTGGTTGATGCATGTCATCGTATCCCAATTGCGTTGATTGATGCTCATGATGTCAATCACTGAACTGTCTTGTCCAGACGCGATAATTTACAGATTACTGTCATATAGCTGGAATATTGCTGAGTGTGGCATTAAACAACAAACAAACAGTTTTGTCATTTGTACATCTTGTATTTAAGGAAATTATTTGTATCTGTAATATTTTCAGTTCAGTGGTATATAATTAATGAATATACACAATAATAACCCTTGACATTGAATGAATATAAACGCAGATCAATGCTTCTCTGCAGATGTCTGATATTGCTTGCAGGAACGTCAAATTTTTGTTTAATCCTAAATGTATTTTCATCCCTACTCTGTGATGTGCGAGCTGTTTCACAAAGTCTCTCATAATCTCAAATAATCTCAAATAATCTCACAATCTCTAGTAGGAAACTGTTCAAACTTCTTGTATCACTGAACAACTCCTACGTACTAACTAGTTAATTCTTCTATCCATCTCGGGGATTCTGGGAAAGATTTGGTCCACGTCCTGTTTGTCGTAAGCAACTTAATGAATCAGGTGGACAGTGTGGCGACTTGATGTCATCATACCCCGATGGCATGGGCCGTTGCTCATGATATCAGTCCCTGGTTTGTCTGGTCCAGTCTTCATTATTTACAGTTTGCCATCACATAGCTGTAACATTGCTGAGTGTGGTGTTAAGAAACAAACAAACCTGCATCATGTATGTCCGTGGGCGGTCGGGTAGCCTAGTGGTTAAAGCGTTCGCTCGTCACGCCGAAGACCCGGGTTCCATTCCCGACATGGGTACAATGTGTGAAGCCCATTTCTGGTGTCCCCCGCCGTGATATTGCTGGAATATTGCTAAAAGCGGCGTAAAACCAAACTCACTCACTCACTCACTGTATGTCCGTACAGGAAGTGCAAGATACACAATAAGATTAAAACAAATCTCATTTCTAAGGAAATTCAACTTGTTTACAAATGAACCCCAACAATTATTTTCCTGAACAGCCGGAAGATGCAGTGGTGAGTGTAGCCGTTCCTGTCCACACGGAAAGGGTTTATTGTTTGCTTCGTCCAGGATAGTATTGGAGATGCTGGTTGAGGATAGTTTCTGTGTAGGGCAACAGGATGTACTTCCTGTGGTAACAAGACAGCCGTTTATTGTATGGGAAACATGCAGTACTGAGGAACATCCCTGATTTCCCTGTGTATTTTATCTTCATCCCATCAGGTTAAATATGCTGGACCCTTTCGCCACCATAGCTTCGTTTCAGAAGTGGCATCACCCACCATCTCTTAATTATTCTAACGATGGAGCTTGAAATTAAATACCAATCTAAACACCTCCAAAAGTTTGGAATAGATCAACATTTCAAATCACGGTCTGTTAAAGGCAAGCCCTGGATACATTTAATGAAATGAGAAGGCTGTTATGAATTTATCTCATACTGTAAAAAGTATTTTCCGGAGTATTACGAAGGGAAGGGAAATGAAATCCTTAAGCTATTGGAAATACAATCAGTAAGGTGATTCTTGACTGCTAATGAAATGGCTGCATGTTTGAATCATGTAAGCACTGTGTTTTGTTGGACTCCTATTTTTGGTCATATCAAGACATTTTGACTCAAAACAAGCTATAGTGCTGAATAGGTCCAGGGTATTTACCAATAGAATGAAGATACACTGACTGATGGAGGCTGCATAGAGGAGTAGCTAGAGGATTGTTTTTTTCGGGATTCAGTTATGGTTTTGTTTCTTTTGCTGTAAGTCATAGAGTAGAAAGTTTTTCTTTTATGTGTTTTGTCCCTGTGCACCACACAGTATATGAAAGCATTTAGAGTGAAGGATCAAACTATTTTGTCATCATTTTCAAAGCCTTGTTGTATGTCCGCCACTCTAAGTGTGTTCATCAACTGTTGGAATACCTAATACCTAGCACCCAAGTAGCAGCTTTACTTACCATTTACATCTTGATATTTCCATCATTCCGTCAACTGTCACTTGAACCGTGTGTGGAAGCACCTATTTTTTGTTTATTTTTTACCCATTTTCCCTTTTTTCTTACCTCAACATTTATTACCCACTTAAAGTATGCACCTTCTTTTGAAGACTTTTTTTAAACTAAAATATTTTAAATTAATTTCTTTTCATATTTGAGACATTCTTTTAGATTTACAGGAATAGATTTTCTATTCCCTATTTTTTTGTATTCTGTATACAGTAACGCATGTGTGTTTTAACCCTGTTGTATGTGACTGTAACACTTAATCTCATTGTAATACGTCGTTCACAGTAACTGTTCTTAACTTTGTTTCATAACTCAGATGTTCAGTGTAGACTTTTTGTTCTCAACTTCACATTTTTTTGTTCAGTCATACATTAAACATTTTGAAGCCTAAATTTGAATTCCGCTTTCAATGCTTGTTGACCTTTCAGTCGCTGGGCGCCATGAAACGAACAGTTGAAAACATCAAGGATCCACTGTTCCGGTTCTTTGAGCGTGAAGTGAACGCTGGAGCACGCCTCCTGAACGATGTACGTCAAGATCTCCTGGACGTGATGAAAGTGTGCAACGCTGAGAAGAAGCCCACCAATCACCACAGATCCATGATGGCTGACCTTGTCAAGGGTAGGAAATTATTCTTACTAATTATTGTGAAAAATATTTCATGACAAGTACTAAGTTTTCACATCAACTGATCAACTGCATTGAGCATTTGCTTGGTGAGGTAGATTAATGGTTTAAGTGTTTACTCGCCCTGCATAGAACATGGGTTCAATTCCCCAACTCGGATAGAAAGCAATTGCTAGAATATTTCTATAAGTGCCATGAAAACCATACAGTTTCATTTTAATGCCAGCCTAGTGGTTAAAGCGTTCACTCGTCACGCCGAAGACCCGGGTTCAATTCCTGACATGGGTAAAATGTGTGCAGGCCTCTTTCTGGTGTCCCCCGCCGTGATATTGCTGGAATATTGATTAAAGCTGCGTAAAACCATACTTACTCCCTCACTTACTCATTTTAATGCCCTGCCCCATCGAAGTGATGGATACAGAAAGCCTTTATCATTACAGTCTTGCCAGAGCAGATATTTGTACAAAGTTTTATGGAGTTGTTGTACATCAGCTCTTGTATTCAGCCTCTTCCACAAGCAGGTGGACAAACTGATCATTTACAATGTCACATTTGATTGCACATGTCATTGTCTTTAAGATTGGGCGGGGTTATGGATGACTGTTTTCTTGTTATTTCTGGGGCAAGTATTGCAATCATAAGCTAACAACCATTTAAGAATAAAATCTAGGGAAAAGTTTTTAAATTACCTGTTAATATAGTTAAACTTTTTAGGTCAAACTGCTGTTTAAATGGCTGAAGTTGATTAATATTTTCATTGCTCCACAATAATTATCTGCTACAGAGTTACAATCTGCCTAATGGTAAAAATGTTAGTCCACCAGGAAATATCTCTGGTCCTTCATCAATTTTACTTGTCTTGGACGAGCAGCTTTATGTTAATTTTAGAAACCCTATTGCTGGTTCAGTTGGTTTGAAGAGAAGACATTTTCAATCTCTACTGTTGTAAAACAAATGTATATATCAAATGGTCAAGTCCAGGGTATCTGTGTTATACAGCTGTATTGCAAACTCTTTTCTATGCAGGCATAATCCCCGAGACCTGGCGCCGCTACATCATCCCAGGTGGTTTGACTGTCATCCAGTGGATCACTGACTTCAGCCAGCGTATCAAGCAGCTGCAGAAGATTGTGCAGACGACAGGCTCTGGTGGAGCTAAGGAACTCAAGGTGGGTGTGGCAGTTAGAACTAAGGAGACCATGGTAGTCATGTTAGTCCAAGACAAAAGCGATGATGCTATGTAACCCCGTGGTGATTCCAGGGCAGGGTGGGGCAGGGTGGGGCAGGGTGGGCCCCAAGTACTTCATGCTTGTCATAAGAGAAACCAAACTGTAGATCAGCTGGTTACAGTGTATGACCTGTCTGATTGCGTGTCATCCTTCACAGACAATGTGGATGTTAGTCATGCTATCAACCACTGGTTGGACTGGCCAAGTCTCAATTCATAACAAGCAGCTGTGATGCAGCTGGAAGGTTAGATATGGCTCGGTGATCTTACTGTACAGAGTTGCGTTAAGCAAAGTGACATTAGACCATTCCACTTCCTTACATTCTCACACTGTTCTGCTTGGTGTGTTACAGAACTTGAATGTCTGGTTGGGTGGACTCTTCATCCCAGAGGCATACATCACGGCTACACGGCAGTACGTGGCCCAGGCTAATGGATGGTCTTTGGAAGAACTCTACCTTGATGTAAGTACTTTTCACACTGTGTACAGATTCCAAAATGCTTGGAATATGACTTCTAAACAATATAAAAATTCCACTTTTTCTATCACTGGACACGGTTGCTAATTTGAATTTGAATTCGACTTGTCTTTTATGTAAGCTTTGCCAAGATGATTTTGAAAAACAAAATGTACCAGTATTTTCCAAATGTATTGTATGTGTTTTGTATTTCAAATTGTAGTATACCGGTAGTATGGCACACCTGTAGTAATTAGTCTTGGTTCCCACATTCTCACTTTTACCTTTCAGGTGAACGTAACCGGCAAAGCTGGAGCTCTTGATGCGTGCAGCTTCGGAGCAATAGGTAGGAGCTGATGCATTTACAACAGAACATTCTCACCAGCAGCAAGTCTTCCTTATTGATCTGATGAACACTAAAACATTGTTATAACCATTCAGGACTGTTTATGGTCATGAAATCGGCATTGGTTACAGGTGGACCAGTGGTCCTAGTAGCCACGATTAACTGTACAGTATGACGAATGACGATCTGGGTCATCAACAACCCATAATTGCCATAACAGTGTTCAGTATGACGAATGACGATCTGGGTCATCAACAACCCATAATTGCCATAACAGTGTACAGTATGACGAATGACGATCTGGGTCATCAACAACCCATAATTGCCATAACAGTGTACAGTATGACGAATGACGATCTGGGTCATCAACAACCCATAATTGCCATAACAGTGTACAGTATGACGAATGACGATCTGGGTCATCAACAACCCATAATTGCCATAACAGTGTACAGTATGACGAATGATGATCTGGGTCATCAACAACCCATAATTGCCATAACAGTGTACAGTATGACGAATGATGATCTGGGTCATCAACAACCCATAATTGCCATAACAGTGTACAGTATGACGAATGACGATCTGGGTCATCAACAACCCATAATTGCCATAACAGTGTACAGTATGATGAATGACGATCTGGGTCATCAACAACCCATAATTGCCATATGCGATTAATGGGAGTGGGTGACTTGGATAATGCATGTCAAAGTATCACATTTGTGTGGACTGATGCTCATGATGTCACTGTCTGGTCCAAAGTCAAATATTTACAGACCGCTGTCATATAGCTTGAATATTGCTGAGTGTGACATGAAACAACGAAGTGTGCAGCGTTGCACCCTTCGTAGTGCCAGGATCATGGGTTCAAATCCCATATATGCCCTGATTATGATCCTTGGTTTGTCAGTACCACACGATTGCTGACGGGCTGCTCCAATGTGGTAAACATCTACATCCTGTTAGGTTTTCCTCCCTCACTGAAGACCGCCTCCTAGTCTAGTGGTAGAGCGTCCGACCGGAGAGCGGAAGGTCCGGGGTTCGATCCCCGGCCGCGTCATACCAAAAGACGTTAAAAGATGGTACTTCTTGTTACCCTGTCTGGCACTCGGCATTAAGAGGCTAAAACAAGGACTGGTCGGCTCGGAGTCAGTATTCTGTGTCTGAGTGGGGTATTCATGTTAAAATGCGGCATGGTATCTCAGTGAGCTAGCACTATAAATCGGCATCAGTCCGGACTTGTACAAGCAACCACACAAACACATACGTACATGCATGTCGCTATATAAGTGCAATAATCTTGGACGCGACGTTAAACCCAATTTCACCCCACCTCACCTCCCTCACTGAGCTGTCTAGACGTGATACAACTGACATGTTCTTCTATGTGGACGCACTTGCTCACTCACTGTCATCAGAATTACTTGTGAAAGACCAACACATACTGGTCAGGTCCAGGTAGTAGTGTGATGGTAACAATGGGATGTTTGCTGCAGGCCTCAAGCTGCAGGGAGCGGTGTGCAAGGACAACAAGTTGGAGCTGTCATCCACCATCTCTACAGAGCTGCCTCTCACTCTCCTGCGCTGGATCAGGTACGCTCCTCACTTCAGTATCATGCAGACTTCAGTCATATGTTATATTTTGGTGCCATCAGCTTAATCCTCTTGTAGAAATATGATCCAACGTAATTTTACTTGTCAATGCTTCCTTACACAAATATTACTAAATATGAGTCTTTGTTCAATCCCTTCTACCTCAAGATATGGGGAGTCACTGTAACTGCATAGATATGTATCTGACCTGACATTACGATCATTTTATCTGTGCACTAGTTAAATAGTTACATAGGGACACTGATGGTTCAGTCGTGTAAGTCGCCACAATTGGCTGTGCAGAGTTGTATCACAAGCTTTCTGTCAGAGATCTCACAAGACCCGAGTTGTATACCACTCGCCCCCCGTGTCAATGCGGAGTTGTATACAACTAATTGCATACAACTAGTTGTACCGTGTGAATGCCCCTTAAGGCGCCGTGATTCGCTGTGCAGAGTTGCGTCCCTTGGGCACGCCAGAAATCTATGATATTTGGTTCGAATCCTGGTTTGCCCAGATTGTTTCTAGGTTTGTCAGCACCATACTCGTGTTTGTGACTTTCCTCTAAGTGTAAATGTCTAACACCTGCATCACTTCAGGATTCAGCTGACATGCTGTGATGTAACTGGAATACTGTAATGAGTATAATTATTATCCCCCGCCGCGCGAAAGCGCGAAGCGGGGGATATAGTATTCACGACCGTCCGTACGTCCGTCCCACCTGTTTGTTGCCGCGATATCTCAAGAACTAAACACTGGATTGTCTTCATATTTGGAACTATGGTGTATATACAGACTCCGCAGACACCAGTCGGTTTTGGTGACCTTGATCCCATTTTCAAGGTCACAGCAGGCAAATCTGCTTTTAGAGTTGGAAAACGGTGTTGCCGCGATATCTCAAGAACTAAACCTCTCGATTGTCTTCATATTTGGAACTATGGTGTATATACAGACACCAGTCGGTTTTGGTGACCTTGACCCCATTTTCAAGGTCACAGCAGGCAAATCTGCTTTTGGAGTTAGAAAACGGTGTTGCCGCGATATCTCAAGAACTAATTGCTGGATTGTCTTCATATTTGGAACTATAGTGTATATACAGACACCGCATACACCTGTCAGAATTGGTGACCTTGACCCCATTTTCAAGGTCACAGCAGGCAAATCTGTTTTTGGAGTTGGAAAACGGTGTTGCCACAATATCTCAAGAACTAATCGCTGGATTGTCTTCATATTTGGTACTATGGTGTATATGGCGGGGGATATTTCGTCACTCTGTGACAAATACTTGTTCAATAAGAAAGACACTTGATGGTTTTTTTGATAATCTGAAATTACAACATAGACTTTGATCTTGATTGAGACGTTTGTGAGGGCTGTGAAATGTTAACCTGCTCATGTTATTTCCAGACTTGAAGGCAAGGAGCCATCCAAAGGGAAGGTAACTCTGCCAGTGTACCTGAATGCCACCAGGGGGCATCTGCTGTTTACACTGGACTTTGATCCAACAACGCCACTGACTGCAGCTGGCCACAGCTTCTACGAGAGAGGAGTCGCTATCACCTGTTCAGACATCAGCTAGATGTCTCACAACAAACTCTCCTCAACCAGGATGGTTACTAGGGAGATATTTACCCTGACATTTTCTTTTCATACATGTTTTCTTGGTGTTTGCTTCTGGGAACCTGCAAAATCCTGCCTGTCAACAATGTTTGTCATGAATAGTGTCAAGAAGAAAATAAGAAAATGAAAGCTCTACTTTTCAACAACTCATTTTTTAACTCATCTCCACTGTCCTTCCTATTATTTTATTATTATTATTATTATTATTATTATCAGCAACAAATGCGCACACAGACACAGAAGTGTGTATACTGCGCTATACAAATGAGTGTATTATTATAACTCTTGGTGTTTTCAAACATTTGGTTCTTTGTCATAATTTCAGTGACTTGATACCTTACAAGACTGTTATTAGATGTTCTTGTTTTGAAATACAAGTGAATAATTTTCAGAAGTCATGAATGCTTATGTTTTGTTTCAAATGAAATACATATAACAGAAATAAATTGTAACTATTTTGCCATGTTGTAATAAAATTTGATTAAAAGTAGTGCTCAGTTATGTGAAGAAATCTTATACAGAATTTGATCTTGCAATTCAGATTTAGAGCATAAGAAATATGTTGAAATAAAGAGGTTTTCATACTTCATGTGCTTTCATGCAACATGTCTTAATATTATGCAGGTGTTTGAGACACATCTCCCAGTTTGTTGAAAATTGCTTAATAAATATCAACTTGAAGTTATTGTTTTGTTGTTTCTTGGATATTTTTAGGAATTGCTTGTACCTGGATAGTGTCTACTGTTTTATTGCAATCGGAATGGCACAGATCAGAGGCCATGTACCAATATATATCAGTGTATGGTCCCTGCATAGATCAATACTTAAACTTGAACACTGTTGTCTTTTGTGGAGACTTCACCTGAACCTGTTGGGACACTGAGGACAGTAGCCAAGGGCGGATCCAGCATTTTCAAAAGGGATGGGTCCAAAATATCAAAATCCTCTCTCCGTCAGTTTTACTATCAACAACATACTACATTTGGTTTTATAGTGGGTGGGGGTGGACCCCCCCCCCCCCCCCCTCTGGATCCAACTATGGTAGCAGTTGAGTCTTTCAATAGAGATATAACTACTGTTTAGGGCTTCTTGTTGTCTCGGACTAGTGAAGATCCGTGGTAGTTTTGGTCCTCAGCAACCCATGCTTGCTGTAAATGGCGACTAGGCTTGTCATAAGAGGCGACTAACAGTATGGGGTGGTCAGGCTCGCTGACGTGGTTGATGCATGTCATTGATCCGAATTGCGTGGATCGATGCTCATGATATCAATCACTGGATCGACCAGACTCGATTGTTTACAGACCGCCGTCATATGGAAGATTGCTGAATGCGGCGTTAAACAACAAACCAACATCTTGTTCTCTCGGTACTTGATATTTGGGGTATTAGCCGGTCCTGCATCTACATTGCCTGCAAATACCTCCCTCCCTGGCTTGCCCGAGAGAGAAGTCAGCATTTGTTTGAAGCACTTGTAAAATCTTAACTCAACGTGCATCAGCGGGTAAATTGTAATCCTGCACTGCCGCCAAGTGAGATGCAAAGCAGCGCGGAGGCAGCACACCTGTGTTCTGCATGTTGAACAATCGCTGTATTTCCTTAGTACTGTATTTCCAACTAATATGCATCATATTTCATATTGCTGAAACAATAAAGGGACGCCATAGGACTACTGGAGCAGATTATGTTCCCACTGTCTTGTGATTGACGAAAAAGCCGACTTATGAGGACACGGTATATAACTAGCTATATGACCTGTGTCATCGTGCCCAGGGCGTGGATCGTTTGACAACCACGGGTAGTCCTAACCCCGGCTCCTTAATTCAGGATGGGCAAGTGCGTTTACTTATGTCACCCCCTGCTGACGTTGTCACGCACAACATAACCACCCACCTCTCACGAAACGATCTGTCGGCATGGAACCTGAGAACCTTTCAACCGTGTGCCACTTCGGCGAAGCTAGATTACATTCTCAGTAGACATTTTCGGTTCAAGATGGTGCAGCTGTAAATATGAGCCATCATAACTGGTACTAAAGTCAAAGCGGTTTATTATAGTATCACCAATGATTCTACAATACTCTTTGTAGAATAGCGCCAAAATCTTTCTTTCAAATTTAAAATATATGTATTTTTTTTGTTTTAGGGTTCTTGAAAGCCGCAAGATTCAATCTATATGGAGTTGCCTGTAAATAGTCGAGTCTGAATAAACCAGTGTCAGTGCTATTTTAAGAAACGCCCCATACGCAGTCAACCAGTTCGCCCAGACTTGCCAACCGATCCATTTAGTCGCCTCTTACAAGCATAGCTTGATGGGGAACTACATCTAGCGTATTGTGCAAGTATTGCACCTGATCGATGCTAACCTGGAAGCCCCACACATGGTATACACAGCTTGTGGAAGAAGCATCTACGACTGGTATGGTGGTTACATCGACCTGTACTTTAAGCAGAGATCCTATACAGGAGGTTGTCATGATTGACATGATGCACGTATTACATATGCACGTTGTATACTAAGATACGAGGATCATACTGGATACAAAATGAAATCTGACAACCAGGTCATAATTTAAGGCATACAAACAGTGTTCTCTTCCTGGTACGTTGCTATGGGTAGACAGGCGTGTTTGTAGACAGCATAGAAACGAAGACCAAGGGGGTCCCTGTTGCCATGTGCAGTTATCACACAGCAGTATCAAATATCACGAAATCAATATTAAGCCCTAACTTAACACTGAAGCGTATTTCTGCCTGGCTGTATCGGGATTTATCATTAAAACTACAAATTTTAAACAGTTTACAATTAATCTCAACTTTAATTAGTTGTTCAGGTTCCGTTATAGAACTTTGCTGGTTAATTGTAGTTAACTTAAATTGGCAGATTGAGTATTAAAGATGTGGAATATACACGTTATTTGACAAGAATTGTATTCGTTATAACGACATCCTTCGCTATGTAATCTTGAAGAATTGCGCGTAATGATCCGCCTTGTCAAACAGTGAAAGAGATTGAGAGGGAATTTTGCGCCGCTTTTAGCAATATTCCACCAATATCACGACGGGGGTCCCACGAAATGGGCTTCATATTGCACTCATGTCGGGAATCGAACCAGGGTCTTCGGCGTGACGAGCGAACGCTTTAACAACACCCCACCGCCACGCAACCACACACTTCGCTTTAACCACACCCCACCGCCCCTGAACCTTTGAGTGACCGTGGAGTTTCATCACTCTCTTTGCAATAAAATAGTACAAATAAATACCCGCCCACCTCGGAGTAATACATGTACGCGTGAACAAGAAAACATTTGTAGTTCCAGGGCAGCATGGTCCCGATTAACTCATTTAGTGTAAAATTATGTTAAGATTGTTTCTTTGTTGTTTAACGCCGCACTCAGCAATATTCAAGCTCTTCAGACGGCGGTCTGTAAATAATCGAGTCTGGACCAGAAATTCCAGTGATTGACATCATGAACATCCGGAAGAGAATTTATGGATGTCAACTTCTTTATTATGAGGAACACAACGTTTCCGAGTATATGCTTACTCTATTGCAGGTGAATGAATGCTATGAGGCAGAGAGCATATATATATGTACATGAGCATCGATCTACGCAATTGGGACACGATGACATGCATCAACTAAGTCAGCGAGCCTCCGACCCCGTTAGTCGCCTCTTTCTTCAGGGGGTCCTACAAGTAATTTATAATGATTGGGTCCTTGGTACTAGTTACAATGTGTGACCTGGTGAATTGTGTGTAATCGCGTCCAGACGGTGTTGCTCCCTGCTCCTACTGTCAACAACTCGTTTGCCAGTCCCAATCAAGTTTACTTATGTGTCGTCGTGATGTAGCTCGACAAGTGCTGACCCTGCATTAATAAATGACTGGTTATTTGAATTGGTTATTTTATGCTAGTCAGCAGTATGTAATTAATATCACGGCGGTCTCTAAATAATAGTCCAGTCCACACAAGCTAGTGGTTCATGTTAAGAACAACGCCCCCTGTCGTCGGGTTAGGATGACGAGCAATCAACCAAGTCACCTAGCATGATCACCCCATACATTTCAGTCCCTTCCTACGACAATCACAGGTTACTGCATGGGATCCAATTCCGTCCCACGGGACTCACGGGATGTCAGTGATATTTCAGAGAAATAATAACCTTGAATATCAGTATATATGCGTATACCTCAGCTTGCTACCATGTTCATTGGTTCATTTAACTCAGAACGCTGCCACGGAAACACGGCTGTAGGACATTTTTTTAAATGTTTGAATTATGTGCAGTTCTGCACTTCATCTTAGTACATCTTTTCACTTCTCATTTCGTTTCTCATCAATGCGTAACCAAGGTAAACGGTCTTATATTTATCAGGGTCACAAACTCTAATATTTGTCAGTGTTAGACATTCGTCGGAAAATAACTTTTTCACATTGTTTATTGACAAAAGGGTATATCTTTTTGGACAGATTCAAGTTCTCTTGTAAAAGTAGAGTTTCGGGCTAACAGGCTATACTTGTTACATGAAAATGTGTAAAGTTGGTACGTTTACAATCCACAGACATGTTTACATGTTTTATTTCACGACTAATATATATTGATATAGGCATTTCTTAGAAGTTGGCGGATGACAAAGTAGACACAGTTTATGGCTAACAGCTTCAATGCTTGACAACGGTAATAGGATCTATACCGAAACATGTTTATTTCAGTAAATAAAGAATTGGTTATCTATAAATTGTGGCTACTTTATATATTGATAATATATAGGTGCACATTTTGCCACGCGTTTTATTTTTTATGCTATATACTATGTGTTTAATATAGATAGAACAGGTGTAGATATGTATGATAAAGAGTCTGAACATCGATTTTTTAAAACACGACACTGGAGAGATTCTTTATTTTGTTTTGCGTGCCATTGTCTCATCAAGTCATGACACGTAAATTTGTACTCCAACTGAGCTTATCTACCTTTGCTGTCAGGAGTTGCCGCTAGGTGTCCTTCTTACTCTTTTGACCAATCGTGTTCGAGCGGGATCAGAAAATTTCAAAGATGGAGGATTGACTCAAAACATTGACACCGGATGGTGAAAAAAAATACGAGTACAGCTCCATGTGTCAGTAATGACACTGACTAAGTTTCATAAAATGCATGACATGGACTGGTCCAACACACTGCGAAAATTCTTAAGTGCTAAACGTGGTACGGTGCTTTGATTTCAACCTAAATATCATGCATATATGTGCAGGCATGCTATCGTTGTATCTGTCACGAAGGGTGTTGTTTTTATTTGAAAGTGAATTAACACTAATATTTGCCTCAAATGAAAGTGTAACAATAGCAGTATTTCATAGCGTATCCATTTCGTTAAATTTAAGTTTAACGTCCCTGTGTTAACAAATGCGAATTGCAGCTTATGAAATCAAATATTAATGACGTTTTTCTACTTTTATTTCTTGATATTCATTAAAAAAATGCAGCAAAAGTTTATATATACCTATTATCGAGGAAGAACCAGAAAAGAGATTGTTGATGATCTGAGTTGCCTCAGGGAGCTGTGTGCAGCAGATGAGGCACATGGCTTCAGTTATCAATAATTCTACCCCTAAGTTTAACTATTGTAACCAAACAGTCAAGAAGAGATTTATTTATCATCAAATCATATATTTTCGTACATGATATGTTTTTTGACACCCATGGTTATTTTGATTACTCACATTATCACGAGGGGTGTTGCGTCACAGACATTGTAAATACCAGGAAGATGGCTTGTTTTTAAGATGGTCTTTTATAATAGAGTGACATGTAATACAGTTATTCATATGATTTGTAAGAAAACTGAACTTTTTAAGTGTCAGAAAACCCATAATACAAGGATATTTGACTTGTTTCTTTGAGCTGTTTCCATGTCCTTTGGATTACCACTCATAAAATAAACAAATCTCCATTCTGTATTCAATTGTTTCTTGAAATTTGTTATGCCCCAGTAATGATAATTGCCAAAAACATGACTACAACACCCCATGAAGACACAGGTTACAGTTGGTTCCCAGCACTCTAAGCATGTGCGGATACAGAGGGGGGTGCGCACCCCCCCTTTTTATTTCGAAAAAAATCTTTATTTCTGTATAAATTACCACCAAAGACAATAAATAGATCTTAATTGTGCACCCCCCGGTTTTCAAAAAAGCTATATCCGCCCATGCTAAGGCTTGTGAATCTGATATTGTTTAACATTATTCACTCACAAATGAATACAACAATGTTAACATTGTTCATTTTTATGAATATGATAATGACTTGAATGTTTTCAGTAAAAATAATAATAAGATTCTGTTTCCATCATCAGATCATCACCAACATGGACGTTAGAAAAAAGCAAATACTGATATGTTTTAAATTGAAAAAACTATGTTTGTCTTTTTGTGTAATAATATTGCTCTCATAACAGACTCCTGAAAGATGAACTCATTTCTTGAATATCCTTCATATTTATAGATAATTAGGAATGTCAAGAAATAAGTATTAGTTGAAAGTCATGAAAGTAAAATTGATGCCTTTTTGTTGTAGTTCGAACCATTCCTAAAGATAACAATGAAGAAGTAGAAGAGTTCACCAAACTGTACAAAGAATGGAAGGGACTTGGTGAAAATTACAAAAATGTCCCAAGCCTGTATGTTAAGGTAAAGTATTAATACGGTTCATGATATCTTTCCCATGTTACAGTATTTTCTATAATACACATGATGCAGAAGTTTGTTAGAAGGAAAGTTCCCATATTTTTTTCCCAATGTTTGCCTAAGTAAAAATACGTTGCAGGCCATCTGTAGATTGCTGTAGATTGCAAGAAAACTTTCTAGCCTGCCATTGAATAACGTTGTTCAACGTCTGGAAAGGTATTTCAGATGAGACCCGAAAACAAAATGGTACCAAGGTTGACCATGTTGACACCCACAAATAGTTAATTTAAGGAAACAAATTGTAAATTATGATAAAGGGTTTTGAAAACAGCTCTAAGGTAAGGCATAGTGAACATGAAGCGAATATGATGCTGTGACAGTCATGTGACATGTATTAAATATGTATGCTTATAAACTTGATCGTGACTGTTAATAGTATTATGATGGTAAACATTAACACTTCATCTTCCTTTTCAGTTGCCCTCTGAAGATGAGCCCCTGTTGTTGAAACTAAGAGAAGAATCAAGGTAAACTGCAGCAATAGCAATTGTGTTAAATATCCTTAGATATAGAACAAATAGGTTGTCATGGGGGTAGGGGTGGAACATGTAGACATGGGTGTCCCATGGGTAGGTGTGGAATATATAGACATGGGTGTCCCGTGGGTAGGGGTGGAACATATTATCAACTTTGGTGTCCAGGGGGTATGGGTGGAACATGTAGACATGGGTGTCCCAGGGGTAGGGGTGGAACATGTAGACATGGGTGTCTTCGGGGTAGAGGTGGAATATATAGACATGGGTGTCCCGTGGGTAGGGGTGGAACATATTATCAACATTGGTGTCCTGTGGATATGGATGGAACATTCAGACATTGGTGTCTTCGGGGTAGTGATGGAACATGTAGACATGTGTGTCCTGGGGGTAGGGGTGTAACATGTAGACTTGGGTAGAACATGTAGACATGGGTGTCCTGGGGGTAGGGGTGGAACATGTAGACATGGGTGTCCTGGGGATATGGGTGGAACATATTGATATGGGTGTTTTGAGGTATGGGTACAACATACAGACATGGGCGTCCTGGGGGTAGGGATGGAACATACAGACATGGGCGTCCTGGGAGTAGGGTCGGAACATATAGACATGGGTGTCACAGGGGTAGGGGTGGAACATACCGACATGGGTGTCCTGGGGGTAAGGGTGGAACATATAGACATGGGTGTCCTGGGAGTAGGGGTGGAACATACAGACATGGGTGTCCTGGTGGTAGGGGTGGAACATATAGACATGGGTGTCCGAGAGGTAGGGATGGAACATACAGACATGGGTGTCCTGGGAGTAGGGGTGGAACATACAGACATGGGTGTCCTGGGGGTAGGGGTGGAACATATAGACATGGGTGTCACAGGGGTAGGGGTGGAACATACAGATATGGGTGTCCTTGGGGTAGGGGTGAAATCTATAGACGTGGGTGTCCTGGGAGTAGGGGTGAAATATATAGACATGGGTGGCCTGGGGTTAGGGGTGGAACATACAGACATAGGTGTCCCAGGGGTAGGGGTGGAACATACAGAGATGGGTGTCCTGGGGGTAGGTGTACAACATACAGACATGGGTGTGATGGTGGTATTGGTACAACATATAGACATGGGTGTCCTGGGGTTAGGGGTGAAATATACAGACATGGGGGTAGGGGTGAAATATATAGACATTGGTGTCCTGGGGTTAGGGGTGAAATATATAGACATGGGTGCCATGGGGGTAGGGGTGAAATATACAGACATGGGTGTCATGGGGGTAGGGGTGAAATATACAGACATGGGTGTCCTGGGGGTAGGTGTACAACATACAGACATGGGTGTGATGGTGGTATTGGTACAACATATAGACATGGGTGTCCTGGGGGTAGGGGTGAAATATATAGACATGGGTGTCCTTGGGGTAGGGGTGAAATATATAGACATGGGTGTCCTGTGGGTAGGTGTGCAACATACAGACATGGGTGTCGCAGGGTTAGGGGTGAAATATATAGACATGAGTGTCCTTGGGGTAGGTGTGAATATACAGACATGGGTGTCCTGGGGGTAGGGGTGAAATATACAGACATGGGTGTCCTGGGGGGAGGGGTGAAATATACAGACATGGGTGTCCTGGGGGTAGGTGTGAAATATACAGACATGGGGGTAGGGGTGAAATATATAGACATGGGTGTGATGGTGGTATTGGTACAACATATAGACATGGGTGTCCTTGGGGTAGGGGTGGAACATGTAGACATGGGTGTCCTTGGGGTAGGGGTAGAAAATTCAGACATGGGTGTCCTTGGGGTAGGGGTGGAACATGAAGACATGGTTGTCCCAGGGATATGGATGGAACATATAGACATGGGTGTCCAAAGGAATAGAGGTGGAACATATGAAAATGGATGTCCCAGGGGTATTCAAGGAACAAACATTACTTAATTCCACACTTTTAATATCAATGAACAACATATTTACTTTTTAGGGCTGTGTTTCTACAACGGAGAAGCAGGGAGTTACTGGACAATGATGAGCTACAGGTTCGTATTAACAGTCACAATTCTCATGGGTTTCTGTATGCCGTTGTCCTCAGTATTTCCCCATCACTGAACATTAGCAGATAGCTCACCAAAATAGCTTTAACATGGTAAAGACTGACCCTGATTTTGAAAGCCAACCAGAACATACAAACACAAATGTTTTTATCCAGAACATTGTTTGGGTTTGCTATGAATATGAATTATGAATGAAGTACCTATGTTGTTGTGTACAGAAACTGTGGTTCCTCCTGGACAAGCACCACACCCCACCACTGCTGGGCGAGGAACAGATGATCAGCTATGAGGACTTCCTACTAGTCGGGAAGGAGGCAGGACTAAAGTGCAAGTAAGACTACATCAATACTTGGAGCATGGACAAGATATGGGAAACAGTTGGTTTCATTTCTATAGTGATTATTAGACTGAGCATCCCATATCTTCAGGCGATCATATTCTTGATATAGATACATTTTACATTTTTAGGTCGATGTCAGTTTGTTTCTGAATACAAATCTCAGGTGTTGTCTGAACTAATGATTATGAAAAAGACTATCTGTCAAAATCGTTGTAATGCCCTTTTACTTTGCGTCTCCAGCAAAATACCAGCTTCATAGCTGTGTAATGAGTTATATTTTTTCTGTTTCAGACCATTTTTTCATGCAACTGTATTCAGCAAGCTGCTCCAGTCTGATCCATTCGGGCGGATCTCCATCATGCAGTTCTTCAACTATGTGATGAGGAAGGTGTGGCTCCACCAGACTCGGATAGGACTCTCACTCTACGATGTGGCTGGCCAGGGATATCTGAAGGAGTCGGTATGTTCACCACATTCTGACACTGGATGTACTTACTGGAACCCCTGAATGCCCATGAAGATCCGGGTTTAAAGAGAATAGGTCTTCAGGAACCTATGCTTGCCGTAAAAGGCAACTATGTTTGTCGTAAGAGGTGACTAACGGGATCAGTTTGTCAGGCTAGCTCACTTGGTTGATGCATGTCATCGATCCCAATTGTGTGAATTGATGCTCATGATGTCGATCACTGGAGTGTCTGGTCCAGATTCAATCATTTACAGCCCGCCGTCATATAGTTGGAATATTGCTGAGTGCGGCGTTACACAACAAACAAACAAATGAAACCCCTGTATACAGGTTCCATTATTGTGAAGATATCTTTCTGCCTGTACTGGTACAGGGAATTAATAATAAAATTCATACCATGCTTTTACTTATAAGATGTGGTTGTTTTTTTCAGGATTTAGAAAACTATATCTTGGAACTGATACCAACACTGCCACAGGTAAGGGAGATAATTCTTACAAGATTACTTGTATTGATCTGTTGTGCTGAGAGAAGCGGAAGGGAGCCTGTGTTAGGTCATCTGATTCCTCCTTAAATTAATAAAATGTGTTTAGTATGTTGTTGATGGCTGCTATGATATTTATGGCCTATTGGTCAAATTAGCACAAACTCACTTGTCCTGGTGTGTATGTGTTAATTTGTTTGGTTTTCTTCCATGACTTGCCTTGGAATAAGTTGTTTGCTGTATGACATGTCATGGTATTGTATTCACGATGGTCTCTGATCTCTTTCAGCTGAATGGCCTGGAGAAGTCTTTCTACTCATTCTATGTCTGTACAGCTGTGAGAAAATTCTTCTTTTTCCTGGACCCTCTGCGAACTGGCAAAATCAAAATACAAGATATACTAGCTTGCAGTTTCTTAGATGATCTGTTGGAGGTAAGCATAGGAAGATATTATTGATTATACTGTTGATTTGTTTATTCCCCCAATATATTACAGTTTGATGTGCTTATCATGGCTCAAGCTTGTTCAAGGCATACAGCAGCCATATTGGAAAAGGCAAAAAAGATCATGCATCATCAATTGTAAATCTTCCCTTCAGAAACCACCACACCAATTCAACTCAAACTTCACATGCTTGTTCCTATCAATGATTTATTTTGATCATGTCATTAGGATTTTCATTAAATTATCAGTATGCTGTAAACATTTGCTGACATGATATTTTGGTTGTTGCTGTCTTTGCTAACATGTAAGACATGTTCAGCTTTTGATTACTTATTTAGGTGAGCTACAGTGTCGTGGCATTTTATGTTTTGGTGTTAACTGAAGTCTTGATTGAAACTTAGATAATGCATTGAAATTATTTGTTAATCTGTGAGCCCGTCTCCATGGTCTAGTGGTAGAGCAACCACACGGAGAGCAGAAGATCTGGGGTTTGATCCCCGGCCGTGTCATACCAAAATATGTTAAAAGATGGTACTTGCTGTTACCTTGTCGGGCGCTTGGCTTGAAGGGGCTAAAACAAGGACTGGTCGGCTTGGAGTCAGTATACTATAAGCACTATAATTTATAAATTGGCTTCAGTCCGGACTAGTACAAGCAGTCACACATGTGCACATGCACGCCGCTATGTAAGTGCAATAATGTTTGATGCATCGTTAAATCCCATTTCGCCTCACCTCTTAATCTGTGATGTTTGCTGTAGTACAGTGACAGATATGAGTTGTAGTTGTTCCTGTTCTGACAGTTGCGAGATGAGGACTTGTCCAAAGACATGCAGGAGTCCAACTGGTTCTCTGCGCCCTCAGCACTGCGAGTCTATGGACAGTATCTTAACCTGGACAAGGACAGGAACGGGATGCTCAGCAAGGAGGAACTAGCGAGGTGAGTCGGCAGCAAATGTATTCTAGTCATACTCTCACTTGATTTTGTCTTTTCAGTGCTGCAATCCTTTAACCATTGTGCCAATATTGAAAGTATCGCGGATACTTTCAATATTAAAACAGTGGTTAAAGAATTACAATATAATCTCTATTCCCCAAGCATGTACCTACATGATAGAGATGTATTAATGCTTGGTGTTTCTTGTGTTTTTATGTGTGGATTATGTATCTAGTGTCCTCGCCACTTGAAATAGTGATGAACATTGTGATAATTAATTAACGAAGATAGCAGCATGTGTGCTAATTCTTACAAAGTGAAAACAACCATTCCGCAATAAGGAATATTACTAACAGTAGTGACAAAAATTGCAAAGTGAACTTTTGAAGAAATATCCCTTTTGCTTGCAATAAACATTGAGTTTTGATCACATGGTTACCATCCAGGTAATAATCGTCAGCACTAGTTGCTATTTAGCAGTGAACTTGGTCAGTAGTGTATTAAACACTACATCTTCATGTATTTTTTCTTTCAGTTTGTGCTGGTAACATGCTGGTAAATATAGCCTCAATATAGTCACTCGACTCGTAACTTCCAGGGGAGCATTATATAAGACCTATATAATATAGCAGCAGTATACAAGACCTATAAACCCTGTCTGATTTTGTTATATCTAGGTACGGTACAGGGACCCTGACGGACGTGTTCCTCGACCGGGTGTTCCAGGAGTGTTTGACATACGAGGGAGAGATGGACTACAAGACATATCTGGACTTTGTGCTGGCCATGGAGAACAGACGAGAACCTCAAGCTCTACGTTACCTCTTCCGGATTCTTGATGTGCAACATAGGAGCAATCTTAATGTCTTCTCTCTCAACTATTTCTTCAGGGTAGGTCTTGATTCATATCACCTTACCTTGTGTAGGATGTTGAAGGGCTTGATAGGCTAATCAAGAGCTGTAACCAATGTTCTTCATCCTTTGATCCCTTAGGGTTCCATGCCAGAACATGTAACATTCAAACCACTAGTTGGTCAATCCTTTTTTGAATTCATGTAATTAATTTTGTATGGTTTGATTGATACAACACATTTCATCAGAGTGCATCCCTATTTTGGGGATGTGGGGAATCATGGGTGTCTAATGAAACCTTTCAAACCCGGACACACATGACTTTAAAACATATGACCATGGTATGTGACAGTGACCCCCAGTACCTCTCTACAATGCATGCATGTCCAGTACCTCCCTATAGTGTGGAGGGCACAGCCCAGTTGTCTGAGGTGCCGCAATTAGCTGTGCAGAGTTGCATCCCTTTGGTACTGCAGAAACCTGTGATTGTTGGTTTAAATTCCGCTTCACCCCAATTATGTTGCTAGGTTTGTCAGCACCATACCCTTACTCCTGGGTTTCACCAAAGTGGTTAACATCTCAGACCTCACACTTTGAGCTTTCCTCACACATTAAGTTGGCACGCCGTGATATAACTGAAATACTGTACAAAGCGGCATTAAACTCAATTCACTCTCACTCACTCTCCATGTGTGAATGTATCCTCTCCAACACCTATCAATACTCATTTGCAGTGCATGTGTGTGTGTTTCAGGCGATCCAGGAGCAAATGAAACTACATGGCCAGGAACCTGTGTCTTTCCAGGACGTGAAGGATGAGGTGTTCGACATGGTCAAACCAGCCAACCCCCTGGCCTTGTCTCTACAAGATCTCATCAACTGGTAGGCACATCTGCTGTTTTTTGTTCAAGTAATCTTTTTTAACAGCAATAAAATTAATGGAATAAAAAACAGTGAATGTAATCTTCTCAAATGACATCAATGGCATATCATGTATATTGACAAATGTAGCTTTTTTTCTATTCTATTTTTGTTTTGATTATTCAGTGTTGTGCATTTTGAAATACGAAGTCCACTGCTTCTTGATGGAATGTAAATGAACATGATGAAGGGACATCTAATTGGTGCACTGCAATTTTACAGTTACATTACTCAAAAAGCATGCTAGGTGTAGTATTGATCTCAACTTTGTTGCACAAGTGATTTCGATACATGCTTTTACTCTGTAGTAATACCGAGTTCGCTAGCAATCTGTGCTGATAGTAAGAGTCAACTAAATGGATCGGGTTGTCAGACCAGTTGATCAGCACACTGAATGAACCGAGACTCGCATCATTGGTGACTCAGTGACCCCGAAGGCATGCATCATTTCTCGTAATATCCGTCCATGGATTGTCTGGACCACACTGGATTATTTACAGGCACCGCCCATATTTGAACATATTTATCATGTCTTTGTAGTATCAGTTCAGCATGAATGATGTAAGTCATTAAGTAATTGCAAATTGTCCACATGTTTTATTTTACCAGTGGCAAAGGGGACACAGTTGTAAGTATTCTCATAGACCTGAATGATTTCTGGACATATGAGAACAGAGAGTACCTGATGCCTGAGATGACGGAGGACTGACTATAGGCCAGTATAGGAGGATTGGGAGTTTATCACCAGGACAAACAGTGTCAACGATGTTTGTCAGCTCAGGCCATTCAGGTCGCCTCACATGAGACGAAAGTGTTTGTGTATGTGATTTGTGGAGCCTCAAAACACATTTGTAAAACTTTGCCGAAGAAGATGGTGACAGTTGATCCGTACACGGAATGGACCGAGACTCGCATCATTCCCGCCTGGTGTCCATCACTGCCAGCAGTAACTGTCCTCATGTGTCAACAATGCAATTGCCTTCATTCCAGTGACCACAATCTGGGAACATGGTCTTCATTCACACACATTGCTCATTACTCGTGCCAGCTACAATAATCTTATGTTGCTACTGCTTCCCCTGGGATAAGAATCACCACTGTCTTTTGTCTTAATTAACTGGGACCCACTCAACATGCTCAACATTCATATCCTAGCACACCAATTATAGATCATTCTAAATGTATATGTTGAGTAGTGCAGTAGTTGTGTTCACTTACAGTCTTGGGTTCGATTCCCTGTATGAGTATGGTGTGTGAAGCCCTTCGAGGGCATAATGAGCGAAGCCCAGTAATTGTAATTTACATCGTGTATAGCTGTAACATGGCTAAAGGTCAGGTGAAATGCTGCCCATTTACCTTGTCTATTCCTGTTTCTGTATTGCTGTATGGGGTCTAGTGTCATGTTTACATTGTAGGGAACAAGGAGATTGCTCACATGTGTTGTTATGCTTGCAATGGGTGATGTTACATTCCTCGTGCATGTGTAGTCATGTGTACTGTAATAGTGGTTGGAGAAGTTTAACAAGGTTTCAGGGATATCCTGGAGTTAATAACTAACCAGCATTTTATCACGCTTGAGATTTTGCATTTTCTGTGTTCACATTAAAGTTATTCCTGTTCCACTATTAAACAATGGTGACTGATTAATTATTTGTCAGCTGTGCTTGAACGTCTTTCAATTTTGTGAATAAGTATCATTATCGCAGTGGTAGGTGATTTATTTTTTTTGCTTTAACATAAACAGAAGCCATTGCTATAGTTGTATGAAACAAATATTCTTTTTATTTCAGTGGATGCAATGCCCTTATTAGATATTTTTATACATGTATGTTAAATTGGGGGAACGGGTGGCCCATTTGTCCTTGTTTGCTGCAATTCGTTGTGCAGAGTTGCATCCCTTAGGTGTGACAGAAACCGATGATCGAGGGTTCGAATTTCTGGTTCGGCCTGATTATGTTTCCAGGATTGCCAACACCATACCCGTGCTCATGGGTTGCAAAAAAGTTGTAAACGTCTAAGACCTGTATCACTTAGGGCTTTCAAGTATCATCAGGCTATACCAGTAACTGAAATGCTGTTCAACTCATTCACTCACTATGTGTTAAATTACTGGGAAATTGTTAGAAATTAAAGCTTGTTCATTTTCTTTCACCATGTTCATGAACATTACTGTATTAACCATGAATAGAGATAGAGTTTGCAAGATGAGATTGAGAAAATTCAGCAATAACAATGTCATGTCCACAAACACATTGATGCTTAGCTGAGACTGTTGGTCATTACACCATACTGTTACTACTGTTACCCACATTGTCATGCCAAAATCTTCTTACTTGCATTGCATTTAACATGTATAATTCCCAGAAGACTTCAGGATTATGTTTTGGTGAAAACCTTGTCAACTCGGTCGTTAGTTTTAAGACGAGAAGTGTGTGGATATTTCACACATGGAAGTGTCATCGCTGATGACCTAGGTCCTCTGTCACTTGTCGTCAACTCAGCTTCAATCAGTTGATCAGAAACCACTATATCAACTTCATGTACCTGTCTTGACTAGTTACCCTGCAATCAACTCCATAGGTCTGTGACTTTAGCCACTAGTCCAAAGCCCAAGTCTTGTAACAGTCTCTTTGGCCCTGCAACTTCAATTTATAATTCTCCAATTTGATGACACAAAAGTCTATTGAAAATCATGCCGAAAGCCAATTTGAGTTAAGTAGACTCGTAATAGTTAAGCGCAGACTGCACCATGTACACTGGGCGTGAGATATTCCAACCTGTTTTAAGAATGGATGCTTCAGTTTGATGTCAATAAGTTGCTATGTATTTTGATGCAGGGAAGGAATCAACTATATTGACTCATCCAAATTTGACTTGGTGAAATAATCTAAAGATTTTGCCAGGAACATGGTGTCTAAGCACCATACCCATACCAACAAATGATAAGGGTTTGAGTTAACAAGGTTTTACTGTATATGATTATCACTGTGTAGCAGTGGTAGACACACACTGCCCAGCTCGTGAGCATGTCAGGTAGGGTTATTTACACTTTACGTAAAAAGCATTGAATTTCCTATACATATATTACCAGCCTTGCAAACTCATGAAGGTAGCCATGCTTGCATGTCCACTTCTGTATCTCTGTGTGGGCATGTAGTGACAGTCCTTGAATGTGCAACAACTACATGGTTTGTGATATCAACAGCCACAGTCGGCCTTTATTCAGCAATAGTTGTTGTTTTTAACTTGCAAATATTTTACTCATGACGGTGAAGGACCACCTGTTACTTCATATTACTAGAGGAAATTTGTCATGGCATAACAGATTTACTATAGTAATATAAGAGTTAGTTGGTTCTTAACATTTTTTGAGTAGTATATAACCATGAAGTAACACCAAATCAAATGTCCTGGGTGCCATTGTACAAAACAACCTTAGCACTGCGCCGTCGTATGTCTATGTTAAGATATGGGAGTTACTATTACCTTTGCGCTAAGATTGCTTTGTACAACGGCACCCTGCTATGTGACCACTGTTTGCAAATTTGTAGGACACATTTTTAGTTTTGTGGTGAGTTGCCAATCTGAATGTAAGGTGTTAGTTATGTTAGTTATAGAAACATTGTACAGTAATTAGAAGGGATTAGATGGGATTAGAACTGAATGTTAGAGAAGTTATGTAGTTAGGATGATGTCATGGAACTACCACTGCCAGTATTAGTGTTCAGGTGAGTCCAAAATGTCCTGCCGGACCATATCATTTGGCATTAACAACACCAAATTTTGATCATGGTTGAATTTGTTATGTAATAGGGACCATGTTAATATAGTAACATGCTTGTGATTATATGTTTTGCTTGATGGTTGACCGAACGATAATCATTATTTACATTGAGGGGTGATCTCAAATTTACACATTGACACTTTGTTGATGCATGATCTGTTTTGTCTCTTTGGTCTTGCATATAGGTGCATGTACATTTGATATTACCCCTCCCTGCTAGGACACCAATACCATTGCAGCTGCTGAGAAAGGCTGATTTGCATTGTTCCAAAGTGTTATATGTGATACAGTGTGTGAATGTGTGTAGATGAAATATGTGCAGTTTTGCTGTCCAGTTTGTGTTGGTATTATGGGATGGAGTAGGGGGTTATATTGTTGTTATACAAGGGGTTGGATATTATTGTCATTTACAGCAAGGGGTTTACAGCATCAGACTTAGGAGGCTTATGTGCTGTTGGGGATGCTGTTGCAGCAAACATCAACTTCAGATAGATTCTAGGGATGGGGAGTCTGCTAGGGGATAGATCATCAAAGGGTGGGTGGGGTGTACTGTGTGAGGGTCTCACTGCTACAGTGTGTGTACAGTGAGCTTCAGCAGCCACCATGTATGCTATGTCTCATTTATGCAATGTTTACTGGTATCACAATAAAGATTTGAAAGCTAATACTATAGTTCTGTTTATTTGTATATTTGTTTATTTACACAAATGAAATATACACAAAGATTAAACCATGACAAATGGCAAAAATCATGGCATGGGATAACTGACAAAACGAGCTGGGCGATACCAATGTCGTCGGATAGAACAAACATTTGACAACAAATAAAGAAGATATTGGTGAGTTGTAGTTGAAATTTACTGACAAAAACATCATGGTAACACAGGTACTGTTTTGGACCTTAAGTAAACGAGTTACGCTTGATATTTCATGTGAAAATGTTCCTTCAAGTCTCTACTTGACATGACACGTGAAACACATCAGTAGCGTGTATAACCGCCACGTGTCCGGATGACGCATTCCACCCTACGTCTCATGACTCCAGTCAGACGTTGGATCTGTTGATGGGTCAACAACAACCACTCCTGATGCAGCTTCCAATTGGTGTAAATCGTGTACAGGAGGATCTCGTGCCTGTATGCGCCGCCCCAGAATATCCAAAACATGTTCAAGGGGTTCAAATCTGGGCTCATTACTGGCCAGGGTAGAGTCGTTATTGCATTGACCCTCATGTAATCCACGACTGCATGCGAACGATGAGGCCTGGAATTGTTATCCATGTACTGATGTCGAGTAGCAAGAGGGTGATTGTCAAACAGGAACGACGACTGGCCCCAAGACGTCTCGGCTGTACTGAACCCCCGTTAAATTGTCTCTTATGGTGACCAAATCCAACCTGCAATCATGAGACATACAACCCCAAACCATTACCGAGCCCCCGCCGTATGCAACAGTCGGTTTAATGTTCCTGGGGTGTTGGCCGTGTTCCGGTGCCTCCAAACTCGTTCTTCCATCAGTGACGTGGAGCAGAAAGCAACTTTCGTCTGATCAATGGATCCGTCTCCAAGTTCTCAGATTCCAGTTCTGTCGCGCAAAACACCATGCTAAACGAGCAGCTTTTGGTGATCCCTCAACAAGGGACGCTTTATGACTTGTTTAGTCCTTCTGCTTTCAGCCGGTTCCTGGCGGTTCTGGTGCTGAAACGACGATTGGGCAACCACAGCTGTTTCAGACGAGTACTTGTTAAAAAGGGTTCTCGGCGTATGAGGCGAAGAAGGTCCCTGTCTTCGCAATGTGTCGGCACAGGAGGTCACAGGAGATAATCGCCTTCGTGCCATGGTCACACAATGTCATGGAATATCTGTTTAAAACCGAGCTCAAGAAAGTAATTTTAACGTTTGGATAAACTGCTTTTAGAGACACTCGAGGGTAGCATGCTGCACGAGCATACCATGCATGGCACGTGAGCTTTCGTCACGCTGATTGATAACATCATCTCGAGAAAACAATTCTTCCCGTAATTATATCTTTTATGACTGTTACAAATATTGGGACCAAACAATAATGAAATATATTGGGGTGTGCTTAACTTTTTTCTTTGCGTATACTTTGAGTCAAGTGAGCCTGTGATGTCCTGCCTGAAACGTCACATGCTTATTCCCACCAATAATGGAATTCCAATTTCTTGAAGACGTTCGAATCCAATGATATTTATGGCCATTACTAAGTCATTTCTGGTTTGTAAAATAATGAAATTTGGTATGTGTAGTTAGTATTGCGACTCAACACATACTCTCGCTCTCTCCCTCGTCCATTTTTAAATGTTTATCTTGATCTTGACCTTTGAATATGTTCTTATTCTCTCCAAATGCATGTCTTTGCACAATAAATGTCACCCCAGAAGTCTCTGGAAGAATGAAACTAAAACTTAACATACTTGTTCCCACCACTGTTTATTGGATTCGTGGATGCAAAATTAGTTGTAATATGGTTCGAGGAGGGACCATCATGTTCAGGCTGTCTGTTAGGGGTAGAACTGACCCCTTTACTTTGTATGTTTTTTTGTGCACATGAATCTGGAATCCAAGATCCAAGTGTGTGCTGTTGACTCATTCCATTTCTTGCACAAGATGGCATTTAAGCACGATAGCATACATCAACGTTAGAACGTCAGTGTGTCGCTCTGACCAGCATCTTCACATGGTCTTAGTCGCATAGAGAACACCGCTCGATGAACTTGGACAATGTTTGTACTGAAACCTGACCACCTGAACTGAAGCAGGCAGTCATGGTTGTCAATAGTCATTTAGTCACTAGGTAAGTCAGTGTTGTACATACAGCTAGTAGTAGCAGACTACATACTGAAACCCACATACTTTGACATTGTTACACTGTTTGACTTTGCTTGTCAAAGGTACATGTGCTCTGGTGCATGGTTTGTGAAAGAGTATTTCAGTTACATCAGGGGGGTTCAGTGGTCAGGATCAGTGACCCAGTTGATTCATGTTATTACATAGATGACTTATTTACAGACCGCCATCATACAGCTGGAATACTGAGGAGTGTGATGTTAACAAAGCATCACTGTGTGCAAGCTTGATGTGCGAAGGAAGCCCGAAGTGATGCAGGTCTATGACCATTACCACATTGGTGGGACCCGTGAAGATCCGGGGTAGAATAGGTCTTCAGCAACCCATGCTTGCCGTAAGAGGCGACTAACGGGATCGGGTGGTCAGGCTCGCTGACTTGGTTCATGCATCGATCCCAATCGCGTGGATCGATGCTCATGATGTCAATCACTGGATTGTCTGGTCCAGACTCGATTATTTACAGACCGCCGTCATATGCCTGGAATATTGCTGAGTGCGGCGTTAAACAACAAACAAACCACATTGGTGCTGACAAACCTAGAAACTTAATCAGGGCGAATCTGGAATTCGAACCCCCCAACCATTGGTTTATGGCACGACTAAGAGACACGATTCTACTCAGCCAGTTGAACAGGAGGTGTAGTGTCCTTGACATCTGTGTTCCATATTAAAATATGTTGCTCACTGAGAACACAAGGAAATGAGCATGGCTCATCACATTCAACCCATGAATAAGTGCACACCCCTGGTGGCAATATTCCAGCCCAATCAGGAGCGGTCGGGTAGCCTAGTGGTTAAGGCGTTCGCTCGTCACCTGAAGACCCAGGTTCGAGACACCGACATGGGTACAATGTGTGAAGCCAATTTCTCGTGTCACCCGCTGTGATATTGCTGGAATATTGCTAAAAGCTGGTGAAACCATACTCGATCAATCAAATTCAGCCATGTCATGGCGGCCTTTAAATACTGGAGCCTAGGCAAGTGGCTGGTATCCTGATCAAGGTGACACCAAACTCTTCGGACACAGTGACTGGGCTAGTACAAAGCCTGGCACAGAGCCGATAGGCTAGGCGCAGGCGGTGTTGGTGTAGATGCAGTGGGTGTAGGCGATGTTGGTGCAGTTGTGATGGAATTATTGGACATAACAACGTTTATAGATACACATACATACACTTTATTCACACAATCGAATTTTAATTTATTTAGCCTTGCATAAAACATAAAACGGTTTTATTTCATTATAAATATCAGAGACCATATTATATGGTCTCTGTAAATCTGTAGCACTTCCAGTCATCCTTAACAAGACCGCACCGAAGGGGCTACCACAGTATGAATGACGAACAAGGCCATGATCACGAATGTGTTATAATGGATGTTCCCCTGATGATATCGTTCCTGCATCATCATATCGTAACTAGCTGCAAGATATCCAAGATATAATTGTTCCATGTAAAAAATCCACTTGTTAAATTCACATGTGTATCTTTCAAACCTCGCGTATTCCATGTGCAGCTGTTGATAAAACTGTTTATGATATGATAAAATGTGTTCGGACAACGGGAGACGAAACGTTACTGTAGCGAGCATCATGGAACACCTGCACATGCGTGTTTAGATTGTACTGCACGACGTGATCTGTAGAACTGGACAAATGTCATGCATGCTGTCCTGCTCGCGTATGATATTCATTGACGAAAGTTTGGTCAAGTCATTGGAACAACCTCAGTAATGTTTGCACTTATAATCTTGTGAGTGGGTGAGTTGGGGCTTAACTTTACTTTGGATGAGTGAGTTGGCCGCTTTTAACAGTATTCCAGATGTATCACGGCATATCAGTTTAATGGGTGAGGCCTTAAGTGATGCAGGTTTCAGATGTCTACCACTTTGGTGAAACTCATGAGTATTGGTATGGTGCTGACAAACCTAGGAACATAATAGGGGCGAACCGGGATTCGAACCTGCCATCACAGGTTTCTGGCGTGCAAAGAGAGCAAAGGGTCTGAACACATGGATGTATAGAAGCCAATCTTTTTTCCAATCTGGCATCGTATACTTAACGTGGTCTCAGTCCCAATTTGTGCTCGATCATCACATGACCTCAGTCCCGCCCTGTGTTTGGCCACACCACATGGCGTCAGTCCCACTCTAGGCTCAACCTTCACATGACCTCAGTCCCGCCCTGTGTTTGGCCACACGACATGGTGTCAGTCCCACTCTAGGCTCAACCTTCACATGACCTCAGTCCCGCCCTGTGTTTGGCCACACGACATGGCGTCAGTCCCACTCTAGGCTCAACCTTCACATGACTTCAGTCCCGCCCTGTGTTTGGCCACACGACATGGTGTCAGTCCCACTCTAGGCTCAACCTTCACATGACCTCAGTCCCGCCCTGTGTTTGGCCACACGACATGGCGTCAGTCCCACTCTAGGCTCAACCTTCACATGACCTCAGTCCCGCCCTGTGTTTGGCCACACGACATGGCGTCAGTCCCACTCCAGGCTCAACCTTCACATGGCCTCAGTCCCGCCCTGTGTTTGGCCACACGACATGGCGTCAGTCCCACTCTAGGCTCAACCTTCACATGACCTCAGTCCCGGGTCATGTCTGAACCCCAAACCCAATTGTCGCCAACACTCAAGCGTCATTCTCAACCTATACGCAAGAGCACAATATGTCGTCCCCCATCCTACGCCCTGCCCCCATACACGGAATAGCCGGTGGCGGCGCTGGCGTGCGGCCTGATGACGGGACCAAAGGCAGTTCCTATTCCCGCCACTGCTGGAGCCAAACCAATGCAGCCCCGTCGAAACCACTTCCAGCTGGTGCGGAACACTCGGCGAATACGCTTCCTGATCTGAAATTAACAGATGGGCATTAAATCATGTTCTGTAAATATACCTACAACTTACTAGAACATTATGGTGTTTTATAGTTGATACAAGTTCATACAACTACATCGGAATAATGACCTGTGACGATCTGGTCTAGAATCGGTCTTCAGCAACCCATGCTTGTATAAGAGGCGACTGACGGGATCGGGTGGTCAGGCTTGCTGACTTGGTTGATGCTTGTCATCGTATCCCAATTGCGTAGATCGATGTTCATGATGTCAATCACTGACCGGATTATTTACAGACCGCTGTCACATAGCTGGAATATTGCTGAGTGTCGCGTTAAACAACAACCAAACAAACATCAGTATAGTGAGTGAGTGAGTGAGTTGGGTTTAACGCCGCTTTTAACATTATTATTCCAGTTATATCACGGCGTGTCAGCTTAATGTGAGAGGAAAGCCCGAAGTGATGCAGGTCTAAGACGTTTACCACTTCGGTGAAACCCACGAGCACGGGTATGGTGCTGACAAACCTAGAAACATAATTGGGGCGAACCGGGATTCGAACCCACAATCATAGGTTTCTTGCGTGCCCAAGGGACGCAACTCTGCACAGCAAATCGCGGCGCCTTAGACGACTGGGCCACCCGTGCCCCCATCAGTATAGTGACCATTCATCGTGGGTCCAACCCACTCTCAGACCCCATGCTCACTGTACTGTTTATATTCGCTAAAGGTGATGTGAAGTGAAATGGTGTTTAACGCCCCTTTCAATATTGTTCACTTATACAGCAAGGTGCATGCATATGTGTGCGTTTGCGTGCGCGTGTGCGTGCGTGTGCGTGTGCGTGTGCGTGTGCGTGTGCGTGTGCGAAGCTGCTTCTAATAGTCCGGATTTATAACAATTTCATAGTGCAGTCTTTTAGTTATATCTTTTCGACAAAAGGATGCGACATTTATTTCATTTGGCATGTCCCATATATATAAGAACAAACATTTACTCTTCAGTCTTGCGCACTGGTGGATCAAGAGAGTAGAAGTTTGAATCAGACAATTGGCTCACTATTATACAGACGTAGCTTCACCCAAACTCAGCCTATTATAATCAAGCTTATGTCCCGTGTTTGTGAACTTGATTATACCTTAATAGGAAGAAGAGGAACGATTACAGTCAAGCAGTTTACTGTCAGTCAGTGGTGTTGTGTTCTGACCAGAGGAGATGCTTGACTTTTATAGTAATCGCCTCGTATATTTTGACTTTGAGAGTGAATTGTGCATTGTCTTCATCTAAATCTTGACCGACGATACGTCACGAGGTAATGATGCTGTATTGTTACATAATAATAGCTTCTAAAGCCGGTGCGACTGCGGCCTCTGGACAATAGAATTCACTCAGCGCGATGGGTTTGATGGATACGTCCATCCTTCATCACTGTAGCCTGCTATGTAGCAATATAGAGTTATTTTACACTGGTATACTATCCGACTTTTTTTTAATTGTCAAATAACATAAGTACAAAGCACACTTGCATTCCTTTACCACAGTTACGTGCATCCGTTGATGCGTGTCATCGATGATAAATGGACAGCAATTGCTAACAATATATCCTAAAAATATATTAATTCGGCAAATTAATATATTTCAAGGATATATTGCTTGCATACAAGCCATTCGTGTTGTCGGTTTGCGTGAGTTGAATTAATTATCAGGAAACATGCTGTTTGTATTCATTTGACAATTTCGAATACACCAAGAGAAGGTATCAGCGCATAAACCAATCTTTTATACTGAAAATTGGAATTTTGTTTAGAAAATAGCCATAATGCAGAATATTATTTTTGCATGCACGACATCACATATACATCACATATATACGGTGTAATCACCACATTGTATGGACTATATTCCATGTGAATAGTTATGCGTGTTGTATGCATGATGCACACTTATAATCATTACCGAGGTTTAAATCAGGTATGCATGCAGGGAACGCTCTGAAACTCCCCGATCCGGGGTCTTCGGCAACCCATGCTTGCCGTTAAAAGCGACTTTGCATGTCTCAAAAGGCGAATAACGGGATCGGGTGGTCAGGCTCGCTGACTTGGTTGATGTATGTCATCGTATGCCAATTGCGTAGATCGATGCAAATGATGCCAATCACTGGATTGTCTGGTCCAGGCTCCATTATTTACGGACCACCTTCAAAGAGCTGGAATTTTGCTGAGTGCGGCGTTAAACAAGAAACAAAATAAACAAACAAAATCTTAAACTCTCCAGTCCTGTATATATAGGAGATCGTTTCCCGCGTCTGTTCTCCGTGTGAGAGTGGGTTGGGTTTAACGCCGCTTTTAACAGTGTTCCAGTTATATCACGGCGTGTCAGCTTGGTGTAGATAGAAGGCCCGAGATGGTGCAGGTCTGGAGCTGATCGAACTCGGGGCGGTGGGGTAGCCTAGTCGTTAAAGCGTTCGCTCGTCACGCCGAAGACCCGGGTTCGATTCTCGACATGGGTATAATGTGTGAAGCTCATTTCTGGTGCCCCCCCTCGTGTTATTGCTAAAGGCGGCGTAAAACCACACTCACTCACTCACTGATCAAACTCACGATCATAGGTTTCTGGCGTGCACAAGGGACGCAACTCTGCACAGCAAATTGCGGCGCCTCAGACGACTGGGCCACCCGTGGCCCCCAAATCCCTGCTGAGATTTGACTTCTGTAGATTCAGACCCATATATCTCACTTTTACGAAAGTTCATGTCAGTAGTCTTCATGTCAAAGTTATATCTGTTTCTTTTACGTGCCTAATTATTAGTTGTGTATTTTTTCATTTGTTCATCACATATCAGTGTGTACTCACTGGTGTGTGAAGGATATATCATACTGAAATGTATCATACTTCACAAGTATTGATATAATACTAAAATATTGTTCTGAAATAAACAGTATAGCTAGTTTAATTAAATCTCCTAAACTGAATTGCGTAGCAATATTATTTCAGTTGTAAAGCTATATACACTTTAGATACTAATAGCGAAAGTATACTATAACTTGTAAATACAGTACTCCATAAGAAATATTTAAATAACTATTTATTATGATGTTATGTACCACGACAGACTGCATATTTTTGGCTTATACGCTCTTAGAAGGTGAGTGAGTATGTTTTACGCCGCATTCAACAATATTCCAGCTATATGACAGCGGTATGGAAATAATCGAGTCTGGACAGACAATCCAGTGATTGACATCACGAGCATCAATCTACGCAGTAAGGGATACGATGACTTGTATCAACCAAATCAGCGAGTCTGATCACCCGCAATCTCATTAAAATGAGATCTTAGTTCTCGCTACCGCTAAACTTTGTTTAGTCGCCTTGGCTTCACATGCGGTACCCATGTGATGAAGTCTATCCCCAGACTTCGACGTGATAAGTGAATGCATTTTCCCCCACAATTCCCCCTCATCGCCATAACATGAAGATACTCATGAAGATGTATACAATGATAATACAATGTGATTTTAGATCATAAATCAGCTTCTATCTTTCTTTATATATTCACTCACTTTTACTTCGAGATCGGACCCGTGAAGATCCGGGGTAGAATAGATCTTCAGTAACCCATGCTTGCCGTAAAAGGCGACTATGCTTGTCGTAAGGAGCGACTCCAGACTCGATTATTTACAGACCGCCGTCATATAGCTGGAATATTGCTGAGTGCGACGTTAAACAACAACAAACCAAACCAACCAACTATACTTCGAGATCGTGAATGGGAACACGTCACATCGTGACTTCTGTGTAAAGTTTCAGGCACAACTGTTCCCCTACAATCCCATCACACTATCAACAACATGCCATGTGAATGTCCTCAGCACACCATGACGGTTACAATTGTAGATAATGTATGGTTTGGTGGGGGGTCCTCTCCTTTAATTACTCCTAAATGAAAAATCACTCGCTAATAATGCTGTTTACAACTTATGGATAATGCTTTTGTATAAGCACACCATGATGTTTACAAATAGAGATGATATATGGTTTGGGGAGGGTCCTCTCTTTTAATTACTGCTTAATGAAAACTCACAAACTAATAACGATGCTTACAACGTATGGATAATGCTTTTGTATAAGCACTACATGGTGTTTATAACTATAGATAATATATGGTTTGGGAAGGGTCCTCTCTTTTATTTACTCTTAAATGAAAAATCACTCGCTAATAACGATGTTTACAACGTATGGATAATGTATTTGTATACGGGAACTTACCTTCTTGTTTCGGATTTTCTTCTTTTCTTTCTTCTCCTGTTTAAGTAACTGTCTGGTCTGGGGGTTGGCGGTATGAGGGTGTTGGCCATCTATCAAGGGGTTCCTGTCGCTCTCGCCAGGGGTCACGACCTCTGTGTCCTCGCTGTCTGTCGTCCACTCGTCTGGGTGTCCGCCCTCCCCTGGCCTATCGGGACTCTGCGCCGTCTGGGTGGGTATCATCCCAAATGTTTGCAATCAGAGCAATGTCGTCTGCTCCGACAGAACACTATATATCCGTTGTCATCAGTGACACAAACGCACTACCTATATCCAAATGGGTCCAGTCCGCATGGAGTGTCAAGTGTTAAACTAGGGTTGTGTCGTCTGTTCAAGAACGCCGGACAAATGTCGTCTGCCGAGACATGTTTTATCAAACTACGTGTTTCAGTTCAATTTTACGATATGGAACTGTCAAGTTTATACCCAACACGGATGATGTATTTTGCTCAGCTAGAAAGTCCAATGTAATTGAAGAGTAATTGTCCATATCATGCAGTTGATATACAAGTTAACAGTCTGATCTAAGTCATCTGCAAATGTCCCCAGATCTGTTCACAAACCTTCAACATCTTCAGAGGATGTCCACACAAGTCGGGGCGCTTGTAAATGGATCGACACCCAATAGAGTCGACATTGAATGTATTCAGTTTACTGTAGATTAGTGTTGAGGCCCGTCCTATATACTGTCCTTCACTCGCAGGTCAGGGAGATTGTGATTACACATTCGCCGATACATACTGTCACGTGACCAAGACCATACAAACCGACCCGCCGCTTGGCTTTTCAGGGGTAGCTGGCTGAATGCGAGGAGCGAGAGACGTCATGCCCCGGCGAGCCAACTTATGGGTCAGCTATTGTAAACATGTTACCTAATGTTTCAGAGTACATTGAGTATGAGATGAACTTTTACCTTTGAAACTAATGACTAGAGCTTCATGGAGAGCTCTTGCATATACAGGGTATATATCACATTAAAACTATAAAGTGTAGCCAATGTTTGTACACCAAAAAACACTATGTCACGTAATATTTTTTCATCCCCACTCCTAAACATGTAAAATGTTTTCCATCGCTGTCCCTCCCTATAATATATTACCAGTCCCTAAATACACATTTGTGTTTACGTGTATATGTGTGTGAGGGTGCTCTCTTACTATTGACATTTGTTTGGGTTATTTTCAGCCCACTCGAACCAGTATAAGACACTCCCCGCCCCAGTGACCATCACCTACTTCGATTATTTCCCTTCCACTAGTGACGGCGACAGTGACTACTGGGGAAGGCGCTGAGGAGCGTGGCTGCCTTCTGGAGAAGCGTCTTTTCGTAGATTTCCAAAGCCGTCTTTGGCTACACCCTTTCGGTCTATTTTTGGACACACATTTTCGATCTTGTTATCAATGCTTTGGCTCACATTTTGGCTGTGTAAACGTCTTTTCATATCAGAGGACACTTTTGGCCCCGATTCAGATGCTTTCTCTAGACACACGCCATTCTATTTCTTCATTATACCTAAAAATATATTGATGAATGGTTTGTTTTCCTTCCGTCATTGGATCTAATAACTCTAGTAACAGCAACACGCCAGGAGAGGCAGCTCTACAAAGTGATAAGATATCTAGAAGTTATAACGCAGAGTAAACTATAATGAATTATTCAGGAGACAATAGCTCTAACCGGCTGTTGCAACACGAGGGAACTATGATGCCGAGTTTTGTTTCAGACGCACATTTTCATCTGAAAAGTGAACGTTGTGCGAGAGTTTGTTTTATTTAACAGCTTTTCGGAAACTGTGTGCGAACAAAATGCTGCCTAATATCTGAACAACAAATATATATACCAAATGGATTTGTATGCATATGTATAACTTATACATTCGTTAGGAAAAATAGCTCGCCATAAATAAAGAACATCGAGTTTCATCTATGACGCCAGCGTTCGTTTTCAAACCATATTTATTTCGCTTGTTTACATCGACATTTATATGTGTGACGTCAGACGGTGAGTGCACGAGGAATGACGTAATACATTGTGCACCTCGGCATGCAGTTATCATATACTATACACAGCGGAACAAGCCGATTAAACTCGGAATGTTTTACAAATTGCAGCGCCATCTGGCGTTCTTTATTGTCAACGTCCTTTCGTGTTCACCGACGTTCTTTATTGAAAACGTCCTTTCGTTCTCACTGACGTTCTTTATTGAAAACGTCCTTTCCTGTTCATTGACGTTCTTTCGTACACATTGTTCTTTCTTTTCTTATGACGTCTTTTCGTAACATTTGACTAATAATATTGTATTTTGACCTTTAGTAGTAACATTTAGTTCTTTGTTCGTAATATTTGACCTTAATTGCGTACTTTTGTCCTTTTTTTCAACTTTTTTATTTTTGGACCGAATGGCCGCCCATATTCTACGCCCCTTTAAGCAATAGCCCGATCATACGACGGCGGGAGACACCAAGAGTGGTGATCCTTCACTAGATGTCCAGCAAATGGCCTCGATCGTCGCTATTCACCCATATGGCATCCTCTAATATTTCATCCTTGTGCAGATGGCAACAATCCCGATATAGTGCAAATTATATACCCCAGACAGCTAGTTTATATATTGCCACTTCTACTTCTGCATATGATGAAGTAATATGTAAGAAACAGCGAAAGAGGCAGCTTTTAACCTTGGCATTTCTGGCTGATTTCGACAGATTTAGAGGGTGAATATTTGTTGACAACTATCATGCAGTCACCGCTTAGTGTTGAACTACCATGTATACGGCGTTTTGGATATAAAGGCATCCCGAGTACGTGGCCTCACATGTAATGCAGCTGGCTTTGCCGGAAATAGACGATGACGCCGCCTCGTTCTGTCTTCGCTTCGGTCTAACGTACAGTGGTTGCTAATATAATATCCTCTCTGTTGTTAACAGATTTACTATCGCTCTTGCTCGCTTCCACTCTGCATTTCGTTGACCACAACATCCATGTAACATTTTCTAATGACAAGATGTTAATAGCTAGGCTGCATATTAAGAAGGCATTTTGATGTATTTTAAAGAGCTTAATACGTAGATTAATACTGCAGTATTTGACCTTAGTTTGGCGGCAGTATCGCTTGTGATGACATTGGCCGCCATTTTTATTCAGAAATGTGTGTCTTTTTGATGGCTTGTCTGCCGCTGAAATGAAAGATGTCCCTTTTTTAGTAGGAGGAACGATGTTGTTAAATCATTATAGATTAATTTTATGTATACGAATCGTAGCTGTGGTATTTATTTGAGCATTTATTTATTTGTAAACTACTCTCTCAAACGTAGCCTACGGCCTACAATGGCATCATTGGAAGGTCCAAACAACAATTAAAGCCCATGTTAATTCATTTAACCAACACCTTGTTTGGGGTTATTTTCAGCACGGGTTGATATGATTTGGTATCATGTCACTCCTGCTGCGAGCTTATGGCCGTCGCTGGATGAGGAATCCGACTGTGTATGTATTTCATATAGGGGAGACCTGGGACAAATGTAACACGGGGCATTTGTAACAAGGGTCATTACTCTCCCGAAGAAGAAAAGCTAAAGCAAGTGTTAGGTAATGTAGAGTTACTTCCCTTACTTCAAGGACATCTGGCCATGATGAAGCAGTCGCCACAAGCGAAGAAGCAGTGAACAATATTCAAATTTTATGCAGGCAAGTAAAAAATTATTAAAAAAACGATAACGTTGTTTTTTTACCCCACGTATGTTAATAGTTGTGTGATTATAATTTTGAAATGGAAACTATTCACATTGCGCCATATCTTGAAGTAGATATGTGACACGGGATGAAACATTGATGCCTTTATTCGGGTCAATTGTAACATCCCATGCAGTTTAACTAGATGTTACAGTTACCCCCGTCATTTATATGTATTTAATGCTTACGTCTATGCATATATTTTTACAGTATGCTTGTCGATGTCCTGGAATTCTGACGCAACTGTCCCTGTCATTTCATTGGTCAGTCAATGTTCGCGAAAGGTCGTTCCGACGTGACCCGTAATGGGATGTCCTCAGATCTTTGTTTAGCGGTAGCGAGAACTAAGATCTGATTTTAATGAGATTGCAGGTTCATTAAAAAGAAACAATCTCCCATTGCAAGTCATCATCTGGTTCTGATAGAAAAAGTTTCTTTAGACACAGACAAAGATAATTTGTTTTCAGTCTTCGTGAACTCCCGATGTTCCTGTCCCTGGGACTTCAGTTGTTCCTGATGACCCTGTCCCTGGGCATTCAACTGCTTCCAATGTTCTTGTCCCTGGGACTTCAGCTGTTCCTGGTGACCCTGTCCCTGGGCATTCAACTGCTTCCAATGTTCCTGTCCCTGGGACTTCAGCTGTTCCTGATGATCCTGGGACTTCAGCTGTTCCTGATGACCCTGTCCCTGGGACTTCAGCTGTTCCTGGTGACCCTGTCCCTGGGCATTCAACTGCTTCCAATGTTCCTGTCCCTGGGACTTCAGCTGTTTCTACAGATCCTGTCCCTGGGACTTCAGCTGTTCCTGATGACCCTGTCCCTGGGACTTCAGCTGTTCCTGGTGACCCTGTCCCTGGACATTCAACTGCTTCCAATGTTCCTGTCCCTGGGACTTCAGCTGTTCCTGATGATCCTGGGACTTCAGCTGTTCCTGATGACCCTGTCCCTGGGACTTCAGCTGTTCCTGGTGACCCTGTCCCTGGGCATTCAACTGCTTCCAATGTTCCTGTCCCTGGGACTTCAGCTGTTTCTGATGATCCTGTCCCTGGGACTTCAGCTGGTCCGGGTGACCCTGTCCTTGGGCATTCAACTGCTTCCAATGTTCCTGTCCCTGGGACTTCAGCTTGTCCTGATGATCCTGGGACTTCAGCTGTTCCTGATGACCCTGTCCCTGGGACTTCAGCTGTTCCTGATGACCCTGTCCCTGGGCATTCAACTGCTTCCAATGTTCTTGGGACAGTGTACTGGGAGGACGAAAAAGAAAGAAATCCCAAATCCTCACTGACATGCCTGTCAAACGGATCTTGATAGAAGAGAAACTAAAGGCAAAAGAAACGAAGAAACCAAAATCAAAATTAAAACGTCTGGCTTTTAAACAAAGGAAGAAGCTCGTTAAGTACGATTCTAACAGTGATTCTGAGTCTGAACTGAAAATTTGCTTGGTTTATTGCGACAAGTTTTCAAAGAGTCGTCCAGGTGAAGTATGGGTTCAATGTTCTTTTTGCAAGTATAGGGCTCATGAAGAGTGTACATCAATACAAGGATTCTTCACTTGTCAGAACTGCCAATCGGACGATGATGAAAGATGAATGTACATTTCTTTCCAGTTCAAACAAAGTTAATTCGTTTCATAGTTCTATTTAAGTGTATTTTCAATATTAAACGGTTTGTTACATTTGACCCTTATGTGTTACATTTGATCCATCCACCCGTTACGAATACACGTCTCTTGTTAAACAAAACAAACTCACTCCCGGGTCCCAATGCAAGACAACGGCATCCCTGCTGAAGCGTAGGAAAGATTTTACGAAATTCAAGATAATTCTAAAGGTTGTGACGGTTGTAACCTTGCAGTCAGGTTACAGTAGGTTATTTCGTAGTCCACAACTTGTACGTGTAATATGGGAAAGCTTTGGTAAAGTCTACAAATAAGAGGTGTAGAATAAAAAAGATCAGTCCCGGTGCCTACATATCCTGGTCGAACCATTCTGCTCACAGGGTTAGATTAAGGCAAAGTTGTCGGAATAAGTTGTTAAAGACTGTCATCTTTGTCACATCCATATA